GGCCGGGCTTGCCACACTTGAAACAGTTTCCTGAGGGCGCAGGGACTGCGGTTCTCGGACGTTCCGGTATGGCTGGCTTGGGGAGGAACGCGGTTCGGGTGAACAGAGTGGATGTGGCTCGAGTCGGCTTCGACGCTGATGACGTCTTTGCCGTATCCGTGGTACGTGTGGACGTCCTTGCGAGAGCGGGTAGCGGATTCAATTCGTTGTTCCGGCACCGTTCCTGGTCGAAGGCGGTAAGTTCTCGTACCATGGTCTGGTATTCTCCCTTCCATTGGTTTTTGATGATCGCAACGCGGCTGCGGAATTGAGGAGTCAACTTGTTCCACATGTACCGAAACCATTCCGACTCGGAGACTTGTCCTGTGATAGCTGCACTTTGGAAACGAGCCTTGAACTCTGGGAAGGTTTCGCTAGCATGCCCTTTCTCTCCCATTTGCAGGTCGTCGAAGAGGTTCCTGGCCTGTTCCGTCTCGTTGCCTGTGAGGTAGTATGAACCTAGTAGATCCATCATCTCCTCAGCACTGCGGAACCCATGCGTAGCGGACAGGTATGGTAGGTCTTCGCCAGGCCGGTCATAGTTCCCCATATCAACGCTCTTCTCGAGACGTCGGTAAGATAGTGATCCTCATTAACTACGAGTCGGTCCCGAATCGAAGCGCTCCATTGTAAGAAGGTATGTTCTACCCCATCGCTGAGAGGAAGGATTTTCTCAGAGATGGTTGATTTCTTATAGCGATTCGGAGGGTCCTCGGTGTGCATTCGTGATGACCCTGGAGTCGAGGGAGAATGAGTGTTCCGAAGAGGCGGCAATTGAACCGTCTCGGGTGTGTTTCGTGTACGAGGCGTTCGTTGCTCCGTAACTTCGACTGTGGGTATGGGGGCGTCCACCGGCGGTGTGGACGGGATTCTGGTCTGGGATGCCGACAGGATAACTAGTAGATCCTTGACCTCCTGTATCTGTGCTTCGAGGTGGGCCATTCGACTCGGGATGTCTTCGGATGGCACAGACGTCGTAGCTGCAGCGGTGGTTTGTCTGGTAGTCATTCTGGGCAGTTGACCGTCGTTGTCTTGGGGTATGTTTGATGTCGGCTTTTTCGACATATTGCCTCGGGTGTGTATCAGTACCGATACGAAAGAGCTTGACTTCCGGTAGCTCGTAGCTATCAACGCTCTTGTCCACAATTTCCTCTGTGCTATGAGGGGGTTCTTAAGGATCTCGTATCCTATTTGGCGCCAACGCGTCGGCGACTTTACCAGCTTGTTCTGAAGAATCAAACCCTGATCCACTGGCTGTCCGTGAGATCTCTGGAATCACGGCTATTTGAAGTCGTCAGGTCTCTACTCCGAAACATCACCGAGTCGCAGTCGATGGTGCAACGGTAGTTCTCCTGAGTCGTTCCGTTGTGGGATATTATTTAAGTACGGCCGTCCCCGGCAGGCGTGATCTTTTTTGTATAATGTAAGGACACAGGGAATACGGCTCTCCGTAGGTGCATATGGGAGTGCGAGTCGGAGGTGATGCTGTATTCTATCCTATAGGTCTACTACGAAGGATACAAAAAAGATGAAGGGGGAACCCCGTTGAGTCTGTTTCCTTAACTCCCGAAACGGGCCCGACTCGGTTATCCCAACCCTAGCCCTGAACCTTCCACCGCAACAGGTCTACATCGGCCCTGAACCCTATACACTTACCATCCCCCACTATAGTGTAACTCGCTATATGATCCTCTACTGGTTCGAAACCCCACCGAGTCGGATTCCATGTTTGTAGTGACCGTAACAGTTCTGAGACAGGTTCTTCGAGTATCTAGGTACGGAGGCATCCTTACAGCGTGAAGACCAGGTTGGAGTGAAGGCTGCATTTTTAGCAGGGAAGCAAGGGGGCTAGCGAGTCAACAGTGGAGCGACCGCCCGAATCTATATAATTCCTTCATTCCGCTTGAGAGTCGTTTTAAAATCCATTCTGTAATGGTGAGTGCACCAGATGTGAGAATCTAGCCACCCAAGGAAGGGATGATTTTACCAAGACAACACACTGTCTTAGAAAAAGAGCCAAAGGGTCGTAGCTTAGACTATTCCACAATGCAGCAATCAAGTGTATGATGTAGTGGAGTGGTTTAGACAAGTTGTACAGATGTTGAGTCTGAGAACTGAGGGATAAGTCAGAGGTCAACACCTCACTGACTTTTCAGAAACAAGGAGTAACAAGATTAATGCTTGGAAGCTTGGAAAAGACGTGGAAGTATGTGATAGTCGATTTACTGTATTGTCTGCTTGCCCTTTAAGGAAAGGGCAATCCTATTTATGCTAAAGGAGTGTAGTTCTCTCATTTTCCAAGACTTTCCATGACTAACCAGGCTTGGTAACTGTAGTCGACGTAAGAGAATCCCATAGAACCATCTCCTAGGTTCCTAGCCTATAGGAAGTGAAAGGAGGTCCAAGGTCAGAGTAGCCCTATAGACAAATTATGTCATAACTTAACCAATCTTGTGGGTAACTAAGGAGCGATGACGTGTAATGAATCATAGAGGGCTGTAGAAGCTTTTGGAGCTATCGTTCATGTTCCTAGGCCTCTAGTTGATAGAGATATGTCATGTGTAGTATTAGCCCAGTAACTAAGGAGTGATGTCATGTAATGAATCATAGAGGGTTGTAGAGATATGCTATGTGGTCATCTCGGCCCAGTAACTAAGGAGCAATGACGTGTAATGAATCATAGAGGGTTGTAGCAATCATTGAGTAGTATTGCTCTTGTTGTTGGTGTGACAAGCCAAAATATGTATAGTGACTTGTAGGTTTGAGGAGGAGATTTCTAAGTTTGCTCTTGAGTTTGATAGCAAGCTGAGTGCAACGAATGTCAGTATGACACATTCTCCCACTCATGTCCTACTCTGTGTCAGCATGGCTACTGTGAACATGAACTGCGTTGAATTCTATAACCCCAACCTCAAACCCGCCTTAAAGGCCTCACACTCTCAGCTGACGAAGTCGGGGTTGAACAAGCACCGACTGCCTCTACAACCCAGCAGATCGCCACCTGCAATGTCAGTGGGGGATGTTAAAGATAACGACTCTTTAGATGACTCTCTTCTATCACTTGAAGAGCTGCTCCGCCCTCCTCAAAACAAAGACATCGCTCAGGTGCCACATCAAAACCACCAGTCCCTCCATATCTCGAAGCGCCAACTGATTGACGAGAGCCGTCTGCTTACTGATGCTACAATCTCGAACTCGGTCTATTTGCCAGGCAATAATCAAAGTAGGTTTCTGAGCTCGCTTTTGTATGCCCGTACACCTTATTAATTCCACGCAGAAGAGCCCTTAATTATCGAAGATGAAAGCGACGACGAAGCTGAGGCTGGAGTTGCCTCGAGCGATCTCCTTGCCAGCATTGAGGACCAAGACGCGAGCGAGTGTGGCCTGGCCACTCAAGATACTGCCTCGACCCCAAGCAGCCTATTTGGCCTGTCCACTCCTCGAGACTCGGATTGCCTCAGTGCCGATTGTTTCTCCAAGGATGGACAGCAACGCCGGTTTTTTGCAGAGCCGGACTCGACATTTTCTGTTCACATTCAATGAGCTTCTCCAAGTTGCTCTGAGCTAGCTGAGCCAACGGATTTTGATCAAATTCACCAGGGTGTTGAGAAGGCCATAGTCGACGAAATGAGGCCTTCTCTACTACGCGAGAGGGCTGGTGGATCGTGCGACCGTGGCAGCGTCTGTGATATCGAGAATGAACCACAACAAACTTCAAAAGAACCAGAAGGATCGCCGCCTTCGAGCGCAGCCCACTCCCAATGCAATCTGCTGAACCAGGAAACTCAAGATAATACAGAAATTCGAGGTATTTCGACTGAAGAACTATTGTGGAGAAAGATGATAGAACAGCAGCAGTGCCAACAAAACGAGAAAGAAGACGAACAGGAGGACGACATAGAGGTGACCAGCAGCGACGATAAGGGCCTGATTAGCTACTGCCAGCAAATGAAGGAGAGCCCTCAGCACCACCGGGTGAGAGACGAGACCATAGTTGAGGCCCCTCCCTCACAAGTCTGCCAACACAGCGCCAAATCATATTATAAAGAACATGAGGATAATGAGGATTATGAAGATGGGGAGGACGAGGATGAGGACGTGCGGCCTCCGAGACGACGAAAGCGGTGCCGCATAGATTCTGATACGACTGAAATTGCCACCCGCAAGAAGGTCCACAGGCGCTCGTCCACTATAGCCCAAGCCCAGACCTGCACTACTCGAGGCTCTTCAGTTTCTCGAAGTTCACCAGACGATACGGAGTCAAACGATACGGAGTCAAACGATACGGAGTCAATAGGTGCGGACTACCAAGAATACCCTTTGCAGGGCTTCCTCAAGTGCGTGAGGATCGGACGAGAGACGACTTACAACCTCGAGTTCAGGCTGTTAGACCTTCCAGATTCGCTCAGACCATCGATCGGTCTCCACATATCAAATCCCACGTCTAGCAAGGAATCAGTTGTTGGATCAGCTCATTCACGGGTTTGCGCATCTCATGCAAAGAGGTCACGGCCAGGTCTGCAAAAGCAGAGAAAGCGTGGACGTCTCCAATATACAGCGGAAGAAGATAATTTGCTAATGCGACCCAAGAAGAAGGGCTTGTCGTGGAAAGAGATACATCGGGCTTTCATCCGTGCTTTTTCAGACAGGAGCATCGGATCGCTTCAAGTACGCTATTGCAATGAGTTGAAGGACAGAGACTCTGAATCAACGCTCTTGAGGAATTCTCCCGGAAGTGAGTATGGAAGCACATCAGGTACAAATTGGTTTTAGGTTAAAACTGGACGTCATTCAGAAACAATTGCTATAATTATACATCAAATCGATCCCGGTATCATTGTGTCGCATAACTTCCCCCATACCCTGTCCCTAGGAAACTTCTTGAACGCCTTGGGGCATGTGATAAAAGACGTTGAATCAGCCCAATAATGCATCTTCATGTCCTCAATGGGATAGCGGCATTATTGGTGTAACTCTACTGCACGACCTCTTTTCTTAGGCTTTTTGAAGGCTTTATCGATCCCTTGAGACAGGGAAGTGTCTGGAGTGATATCTCGTGATGGAGTACGGCTTGGCTGGCTTTCAGCTTCCTCTTGTAGAGATACAGCACCATAACTTGATTTGCGAGAGAGATGGTGGCTTTGCAACCCCTGTGAAAGTCCAGATCCCCCTAGGTCGGATTGCTGCGACACCTCAAAATCTAAATCGGGCGGTAACTCATCAATAACCGAGCAGATTCTTTTGAGGTGAGTCGGCATCCATATATCGTAGACATTTTTAGTGAACCTGTATGCAGTCCATTTCTCTTTGCCATCCAGCGATGTAAAGTCGAACGTATGGATTGGGTGACGGTAGAATGTTGTCTTGTCTCCGCTTATTATAGGATAGTGGCCGTAGATTCTCACCGTGCGATGGTCATGGGAGAGTGAGAAGGCGAGAATTTCCCGGTGGAGCTCCTTTTCGCGCTTCACTAATCTAAAGAGTTCAACTATACCCCTCACTGCCATCGTCATGCTATGAGCATTCTGTCGATCTGCAACGTCGAGAGCGGCAGCACCGCATTTGACCTCGCATGTCAGGAACGGGAAGTACATGTAGTATGTGGCCATGAAGTAAGAGGTATCTGTAAGCTCGCCAACGAAAGGTTCCAGTCGTTTGAGTTGATCTTCTGTGAATGCCTCTCGCCCAAATCCAACAGCATAGTCGGGTTGCGGACGAATCTGGGTGATAGGTATGGAGTTATTCCAGCCTTCGTTGACACTTTCGACTAAACTCTCGAGGTGTTTCGATCCGAGTGTTGCAAGAGTTTCCGCAGAAGGGACGATTAGTCGAGCAATATCCTGAACGACTCTAGCCTCGTTTCTATTTTGTATTTTTTCGCAGGCTTTTTCAAATAGGTCATCACGAAACAATGACTCTTGAGGCACCGTCTGCTCATTCTCAAGTAGGGTTTGACAGAGGCTTTTGCTGGCATCTGTGCTGCCCAGTTCTGATTTGCTCATGAAGCTGCCTTGACTGGCAAGAATAGTTTGATAACGCCCATCTTGATAAGGAGCGCTTTTGACTTCTCGGGGCTTTTGATCGCTAGGCGTAGCAGAGCTGGCCGTGACAGAGCCGGCATTTAATTGCTTCCTGCGAAGAGAGGATGATGATTTCTTCCTGGCAAGTAGATGGTTCATCTCTGGCACCCAATACTTCTCGTACCAGCTGTCTTTCTCGAGATCTTCCCTTGCCTGATCGTCTTGTTGAAAAAGTTCCTTTGGCCACCGTTGTTTTCTCGTCCAGAATTCAATGGGGTTGATCTCCTTCACCTCAACTCCGGTCGGCGTACTCCCGATAGATGTATCCTCAATAGCAAGTTGTCGGGGTGACGTTCGCGTTCGCTTTGGGGACTGCTTGATGGATTTATCCCCGATAACCGAGCTTGTAACAGATGTTCGCGGTCGCTTTCGAGCAGAATTGGATAGTGCGCCACTAAGTGGGCTTTCGGATTCTTGCGGTCGTCTTCGTTTTCGATTCTCAGCTTTTAGAGGTTCCAAGGAGTTCTGTGGGGACCTTGAGTTAGCTGTGCAGGTGTCGTAGGAGACGAGGGACATACCTCTTTCACTCTTGGAAATAGAGCTCCATGCGTATTTGTGTCCCCAGGTATGGTTCGTTCCTGGCGGCGTTCTGGATTTTTTAGGCGCGCACTCTTGCGATGTGGTCGTTTCTCGATACCTTGAGGTCTCTTTCCTGTCAATGATCAGTTGGAGTACGTTATAACAACGAAAGATGACTTGCCATGGTCTTTTGGCGCCGATGATTTCCGCCCAACCTTTTGGACGTTTGGCTTTGCTTCACGAGGGGCCATATCGACTGGAAATGTGAAGTTATATTACAGCGGGGTTTAAACGGCCGAAGATGGGCAAAAGAGTCAGAGGTGCAGGGTAGGAGGCGACGGGTGAAGGTGGAGGGGTTGAAATCGACGGGAACTAATCGTGGGCGCTATGCTGAATACGAATTAGTTGAGAAGCTGAGGTTGTCTGCCTGTTGAGCAAAAGCCCGATAGCCAACCATTCTGCAAGTTCGAGTATTTCTGGGACTTTCGTAGAACTGTCGCAGGGACGACTGGCAGGTTTCAGGCGTGACAGCACGGGTTAAGATGACAGGAGGCACCTGACAGACCTATCTGCGCTCCACCCTCAGCCTTAGCGCCGTTCCTCAACAAACTGACTGGAGCCTGATTTGCCGCCAGTCTCCACGCACGATCACGTGACTACTTCGCCTGAATAATCGACATCGCTCGGAAAGTTATTTAGGCGCCATGCCAAATAGTGATTGGTTGGAAACAATGCTTCGAAGTTTCAGCCTTGATACTACACCAAGTTTGTGACGCAACATCTCCAGTGGTTAGGGTTTAACACAAAACCGAATCTTTTAGCCTTTCTCAGAAATGCAGTACCAAGCTATCGGACGTATGTCTTAGCGATACTGATATGTTGGTTCGTCAGTGTGAATTTCCTGCAATGAGGCGAGATCCCTTACAAATGACCATGTTCCCTAATGCGAATCCAAATCCCGACGAAGAAGAAGAGGAAATAAGGTGGACAGTCGAGGGCTTGCAAGAAAGCTTAGAGAACGATTCATGCTGTTTTCGGAAAGTGACCGTTGGCTCTGATTGCTATGCTGGCTTTGCTGTGTGGACTCTGGAGTCGAGCAGTGGAAAAACAAGGCGCAAGGCAAACTCGAACGAGAGGCGTGAGTCCTGGAATCCTGCTTCACTAGATGTGAGAGCTTGGAATCAAGTCTCTAAGCGTCTGAGAGAAGAGCGCCAAAAGGTGCTGGATGGCAAACAAAACATATGGAGTAAGTCTGCTACTATTCCTGTTCTGAAGTGAACTAAGTCCCTGTGTTAGGATTGAATACGATATCGGTGGCACCAGAGTATCAAAGGCAGGGCGTTGGGTCTATGCTGCTGCAGTGGGGCTGCGATAAGGCAGACTCTTGTGGCTGGAATTCCTTTGTTATGGCATCTCCTGATGGAGTTCGACTCTGCAGCAGATTCTGTTTTGAAGTTATGGGGCAGGTACAGACAGAGCATGGTACCTTCACAAGTATGTTTCGGGAATCGAAACCGTATGTGGGACAAGAAAAGAAAGCTGGGTTTGTTGATATTTAAATTTAAATATCAAACTGGTTTAAATCCTTCAAGAGCAGTAGTGACTGTAAATAGTAGGTTCTTGAAAACAGGTACACAACAATCCAATCCAATAACCGTCACTAAAATATCAGGTTCGTAAAGTCCATCCTGCCTCTATCATCCGCAAGAATGGTTCTTCTGGTGCTCAGAACCTCCTTGTGGAAAGCACTGTTCTCTGCAGTGGCATCTATCGTCTTCATCTTGGTTGAAGACCCAGAACGCATCGATCAGGCCCGAAAGTGATCCTCGTGGTATCATGACATTCGCGGTTCCTTGTGTGATCTCAACCGAAAGCTGGGTGTCGTGCTTATCGAAGTATCGGACCCCGAAGACACCATGCAATCCTAAGTCCTGAATAGTACGAAAAGCCTCCATCAGGAACTCGCTGTTGAGCTGAGGCTCCGTCAGGGAGAAAGAAAACTCGAATGGAGCTAGTTTCCCGTCAAGCAGTCTGATCGACCGGGGAGCAATGACCCCATCAAATTTCAGCACGGCGGTGTTCTTGTTTTCGTCCCCCAAATCCCATGGAAGAGAGACGGGCCCGTGTTCAACGAGACGTTGACCATTGGGAATTTGAAAGTGATTGTCGAGAAGACATACGCCGTAGTGGTCCTGCACTTCGTGGTCCAGGAACAATTGCCGAATTGGACCTTGGAGTTTGGCCATGACATCTTCAGTCATCAAACTATGAGCTTTTCCGAGAGATGGAAGAGTGTTGTATGCCGCTGGGTCGTAGACTGTGTCCAGCTGGAAGGGATGAGATGAGAAGGCCGAGACAGTAGCCATGATCGCTGGCGATATTGACAAGGGGGGTTTGTTGATATGTTAGAGAGGGCCGAGGGAAAGAGCTGTAACGGTCGAGGAACTCCGTACTTATAGAGAAAAAAACTACTGCCTTGGTGGAAAGAAAGCTCTTGCGTGGTACATATCATCATGTTTCCCTGCTGCTGATTTAAGATGTTATGTAGCATGCGGTTGGTCGGGAGGAGCGGCGCTCGTTCGAGGCCAGCCTTATTGAAGGGCCATTTCTGGGCCATGGCGGTATTTGAGCAGGAGTCCGTAACCGTCCAACAGTCACAGGAGGCATGCTACGTGCATGGCAGTTAAGGAAATTCCTTGCTTCTGCTAGTGGCCTTGGGTGGGTTCACTGCAATGCAACTGAATAGGATGAAGTGAGTCAGCCAGCGCCAAATTCTGCGCGTGAACTGTTGGTCGCCTTATTCCCTTTAAGCAGCAACCAAGCAGCAATAACAGAAACAGGCTAGGCTCATGTGCCCATAATCTGAAAATGACGGGTGATGGTGTAGGAAGAACGGTTGGATGCTACACTTTTCACAAGGGAGACCACTCATCAGGTGGAGCCAGAGCTAGGGAGCGATTAAAGCTATGAATATCCTAGTGAGAATCACATCTATTGAAAATCGAAAGGACCACACGGAGACATTCCACTCTTGCACAATCATATGACATAAACCCTGCCTTCCAACAGTATAAACGCTATCCATCTCACGTTAATGGTCTGCATCCCCCACACTGTTGCATTGTGAATTGGTCTAGCTAGGATTTCCCCCAAAACTGTCTTGTAGATATGTGCTTCTCCCCGTGTTGTTTGCATGATGCACCAACAAACCCTTGATCACTCAGCCCATGCGTAATGCTGCATGGCGATGGGCTGCTGGTAATCCTGAACGAAGGAGAATCGGCTTTCCTCAACTCCCCGGCCGTTGTTGGTTTCAGGGGGGTTGGTCTTCCATTGACATGATGGGCAAAGAATTGAGGAATATATAAGGGCGTGCGATTCCCCAGAAGTTCAATCACAACCTCTCCAGTCTTCAAATCATCACTCATCCTCAAGCTTCTTACTTTTGTCCATATTTCCCATCTCTCATATCAAGCACCTACCAACACTCTACGTTGATCATGGCTCCAACAGAGATGATTCAAGTCGGCCTTCCACTGCACAGTCCACGGCCAGCCTCCCCACCCAAGACCCCGACGATGAGCGACGAGGATGCTAGTGAGATTTTCACAGCTATGAAGATGCATCCCACGTCTCCAAACCCTCACTATTATCGGTCTGAATTGCTGCCTTTCGCCCAACAGTTCTTAGACGTTCTCAAGTCTCTCAATTCCACGCAGAGCGCCCCTGCAGCCCTTGCTGCCGCAGACGAAGTTAAAGCCGAAGACCCTCCAGAGACATACAAGACAGTCAATGAAGTGTAAGTCTTCCTGTCGCTGAGGCCTTCCCCTGGCTCACAAGATACTGGTGCAGTTGGGATGAAAAGGCGTGCAAGTATGTCATCGAGGAACAACACCAACCGGAAGAAAAAGTTGATGGACTGGATCGATACGTTTTGATAGAGCGCAGGCGTATTAGTTGGTATGTCCTCCCCACAAATAGTACCTGCTAACGGAAGTTTCCAGTCAAGAAAACCGAAATACCAGTGGTCTATATTGACATCAAGTCGAAATTGCTCCGAGATACCTTGAGAGTTATACTTGCACAAGCTCCTGAGATTAGTCTCAACGAGAAAAGCCTCTCCGTAAGCATGCCCTATCCAACAATCACGATCGACTTTCTCACTTCTTCAAAAGGTCGAGCGAAATATCCTCTTCCACTATCTCCCAGATCTCGAGGCGTCCCGCAAATGGAATCGCGTTGATCCCCAGGACAGCATCATCCGGGAGCACATTGCCCTCCTTATCAATCATATTAATTTATCCTACAAGGATACGAAAGTACGGCTTGTTTCATTGTTGAAAACCGGAGAGATAACTTACGACCTACTACCGTTTCTTTTCAAGCCAAACGAATTTGTGTATACCACTTGCCGCGGGACGAAAAGCCCACGATGCATCAGATTCGAATCTGGCGAAGCGAAAGTAACCGCAGATGGAGTTGAATATTTCCACATCAAAGGAAAGTATTTGGAATTTGACGGGAAGATGCTTGGGAAAGTTCCAATCGAAACTGCAATTCTCGGGTTCCGCGGATTGAGAAATATCAACTCTCTCGAGGCATTTCCTCTCCAATATCACGAAACAGAGAAGAGCATCAGAGAAACACTTGTCAAATGCGGTCGCAAGTTCTGCTTCTCTTTAATCGGGACCCAACATCGGCAATATAGAGGCAGGGCCTTTCAGATGAAGAAAAAGAAACCCGTTGAGATATTTATCAACAGTAGAATTATGGTTGATGCCGCATCATTTCAGGAGATCAATCCCAACTACACCAGACCAAGCATCTTCAAGAGCTCTGACAGTATTGATTTGTGGCTAATATTAGATGCGGCTTCTAGCAACCAGATCGATGAATCGGCTATGAAGAGCAGTATGGACCTTGATGCGCTGACCGATGAAGATTTTCTAATCTGTAGCCCGACTGTGCTGGGCTTCAGTCTGAATGACAAATTATGGTGTAAGACATGTGCTCTGCTGTTGCGACATTGCTGATCACGTACTAGTGGAATTTGCGGTTGCAGACATTTCGAAAATTTCCTGGAATGAGTCACTCTTCAATCAAGTGGCTATACCGTCTAGGTCAAAGAAGCTCATTGAAGCTCTGACCACGTTCCAGTCTGGTGGACAAGCTAAATATACGTTTGATGATTTTGTGGAGGGAAAAGGCCGTGGCTTGATTATGCTACTCTAGTATGTTCACGGTAGTAACGATCGACGTGTATAAGTCTAACATCTTTGATAGTGGTCCACCAGGTGTAGGAAAGACAATGACAGCAGAAGGGCTGTCGGAACACCTCAAGAGGCCTCTGTACACAGTAAGCACTTCCATATCAATCTGGCAAAGGCTTGTACTGACTTAGTGAGGTCTCTGCCGGAAACTTAAGCAAGGATGCGAAACATCTCGAGGTGCAATTGTGTGAGATGTTTGAAGTTGCAGAAAACTGGAAAGCTTTACTTCTCCTCAATGAAGCTGACGACTTTCTGTGCAAGCGCTCATATGACTCTAATCACAACTCTCTTGTCTCGGTCTTTTTACGGAAGCTCGAGTATTATAAGGGCATTATGTTACTTACCATGAACCAGGTCAGAGACTTTGATGAAGCAGTGCAGAGCAGCACATTGGTGTTAAGGACAGCCCCTTAGGCGTTGATACGAGAAAAGCGATCTGGAGGACCTTTCTCGAGAGGGCAAAAACAGAGAACGGGAATGCAGCGTATAGTGACAAGCAGTTGAACATCCTGGCCAAGCACAGTCTCAATGGTAGACAGGCAAGTGTTCCAGGTACCCTCGAATAGAGTTATTTTGCTGATACTGTCGCACAGATTAAGAACGCAGTGCGTTCAGCACATGCCATAGCAAGCAGCGATGGTACACACCTATGCTATTCTCATTTAGAGAACGTCCTCGAGGTTGGAAAGGAGTTTGAAAATGATTTCAGAGGATCAGGAGAGATGGCAAACATGCTCTCCTACGCCTGATCTGTCAATTAGTCGAACGAGGCTGCATGGCTTATCCTAAAGCAGCTGAATTTTATTTGTACTCCGTACGCTGCTCATCCATGACTTGATTCCCGAGTCAATGTCGGCGACCAGTTGGTTCCAGCATTGAAATTTTGTCATGATAAACCCACAGACGTGGATGATTGCAGCAGCTCACACTCCGCCGCCATCGGGATGCTACTATAGCGAAGTCGCTCACACTCCGCCGCCATCGGGATGCTACTATAGCGAAGTCGCTCCGTCTTCCTCGCGCGGATATCACGTACTCCGTTGCGCAGTGGATTCGTGAATGCGCGGCCCCTCCATTAATGAGGTGCCGCGCATCCACGATCCATATACACAGCGTACACTACGGCGCCAAAAGCAGAATAGAAGAAGCTAGTGGCCCCGAACAAGCATGAATTCATCAGCAAGTCTATGGTCTTTCGGGCGCACAGGTGTCAAGAGCTCCCGTTTCTATATCCCACATATTTAAAGTTGATGTAGTAGTCCACAGTGCGCCCGTCAGTACTACGTATATTGGTGGATCCGTGGATCGCGGCCCGTCAATTTAGTGAGGGGCCGCAAGTCTTGATCAGCACTCACGGCCCCAGAGTGGATCCGTGGATGATCGATACTATTGGGAGGGATGGATTCATTCTGAACCAACTTCCGTAATTACCATCATCCTCAAGGATGGAGTCGATTGCAAGGATAAGTCAGTGGCTACCTGGTGTGGGTTCATTGAGACCGTCGGGTGAGACCATCGGGTGGTGCCCCTCAAGCGTGGGATGTCAGAATTACCGTTTCTAGAGAGATAAGATCTCTGACATTTTTGCATAGTCGTAGCTTGCCATGAAATGCCAGTGACAGTCTACGACTATCCATTTCTAGTTGTAACTCTCAAAATTACAAGGGACATCACACCTCTCTGTGCCTAATAGACTCTATCGCAACATGAGCAACGTACGAAAACGCCAAAGCCAGAATGCATCTAGAAGGAGAAGCACTTTGACCAACAAGGCCTATGAGTACGCGGAATTATACGGCGCAGATGTTGCCTTGGTCATCTATCAGAAAGGGCGCTATTATACTTACGTATCTCCTGGCAACCCATGTTTTCCACCATCCAAGAAAGAAATTGTAGGCTCTCTTCTGACTTCGATGACATTTTACTAATTGGTGGCAAGATGAATTCTTTTCCAATCCCTATAAATATGTTGCCACATGACGCCGACACGAAATGCCAATGGAAACGCAATCCAGAAGATCCAGAGCAAGTGGGGAGTAGAGAGTAGGGGTGCGCAGATACGAATGTTGCCACGGCGTTAAGAAGACGGGATGAGGCCCTCACCCCCATGACGTTGCTATGGTTGGCTCTAGATAGTGCAGAGATTGTACAAGCGACTTCATTTCATATCTGGTGTCGTTCATAAGTCAGGCTCTGAGTCCTCGCCTGAATCAGGACAGGACATCTCATTAAATTTTAAGACTGCTGTCTTGCATTTTTCGAAACCTGCCTATTTAAATGTGAAGAAGAGACTGCCAACCAGTGTTGCCCGAGTAGTACTCGCCGTGAGTAGTACTCGCCGAGTACCCGAGTACTACTGTACTCGGGTGATATTTTTGAGTACTCGGTGAGTCCCCGAGTACTACTCCGAGTACTCCGAGTACTGCCAAGCCCTTGGCAAAGAGGGGTAATATAGATCGTAGAATAGAATAGATAATTGAAGCTTTCTTCCACTTGAGCGTTCTGTATTGCTTCCTACAATGAGTGACTCTTCGCTATCGCCGGTGCCGGCTGAGTATCAGTCTGATGCTTTAGAGCTGCCGCCCCTTATTCCGATGCTGATGCCGCATATGCCTCTAAGACTTCAATTACCTGAGTCTACGTCAATCCTCTTTTTAAAAGGGCTATTCTACCGTACTTTATTAGATACAATACCTGCTAGAGTCCAATACCAATGCCTTCAAACCGATTGTAACTATATGCCGAGCCAGCCACTAAAGAGCCAGACAACGAGTAATCTTTGGAAGCATCTTAAAAAGATGCACCCATCTGTATACAGAATACGAGAAGCTATCCTCCTCAATTAGAAGCTCGTCAACGCCGTCTACTTCTGCTTCTGCTTCTGCTTCTACTTCTACTTCTGCTTCTGCTTTTTTCCAGCCCCGCCAAGCACCTAATAACGCACCAAGCTCGTCGAAATATAGAGAGCTTATACTCTCTTTTGTGGTATCAAATAACCTACCGCTACGCCTTGTAGAAAGCCACTCATTCCGGCAATTAGTTCATCATCTAAACCCTACTGTTTTAACAGTAGGTAGAACTACAATCGGACGGGATCTATATCGTCTATTCTGCTATCATAAAGCACGGCTTCAAGTAGAGCTACAGCAGCATGTTATAAATGGTGGACGACTATCCATAACAACTGATACTTGGTCTGCTCGGAACTACTCTGAATACGCAGCAGTTACTGTACACTGGATAAATGACAATTGGCAAATGAGAACTACGATACTTGACGTTATACACCTTCAAGAGCCGATCCACTCTGGTGAATACCTTGCTGAACAGATGATGAGTGTAACAGATGATTATAATATCACGCCTGCTATCTTCACAGTTACAAGAGATAATGCGTCATCGAATACAACAATGCTATTAGAGTATGAGAGACTGGCATCAATAGCCCCTACTTCCTTGAAACAACCATGGGCTTTTACAGCAAAAGCAGGAGACGTACGCTGTATTGGGCATATTATCAACATTGCTGTTCAAGCTGCTTTAGCTTCCTTAAAGGCAACGCCTGACGAAAGGGTAGAGGCATACCGGCTTGAGGTTGGGGCTGCACGAATACCAACTGGAATATCAACTGCTGCTGAATACGAAATTATAACTGTTCTTGCAAAGCTACGGCGTCATATATATGTGTTTCGGAACCGCCGTGGGTGGAAAGATGCCTTGAAGAGTCAGTGTAAAGCTATAGGTATTCAAGTCCGTCAGTTAACACTTGATATGCCAGTCTGCTGGAGCTCAACTTATCAAATGATCGATATAGCTTTAAAGCTTCAGGCTCCGATTACAGCTTTATGTGCATCACAGCAACTTGATATTAGTATGAGGAATATTGCTTTAACAACAATAGATTGGGCTACATTACATGACTTATTGAAGCTATTCCATATCTTCGTCCGCCCAATGTAATGGTGGGTGCACCAGATATGAGAATCTAGCCACCCAAGGAAGGGATGAATTTACTAAGACAACACACTGTCTTAGGAAACAGAGCCAAAGGGTTGTAGCTTAGACTATTCCACAACGCAGCAATCAGGTGTATGATGTGGTGAAGTGGTTTAGACAAGTTGCAACAAATGTTGAGTCTGAGAACTCAGGGGTAAGTCAGAGGTTAGCACCTCACTGACTTTTCAAAAAACAGAGAATAACAAGATCAATGCTTGGAAGCTTGGAAAAGACGTAGAAGTATGTGCTAGTCGATTTACTGTATTGCCTGCTTGCCCTTTCTTAAGGAAAGGGCAATCCTATTTATGCCAAAGGAGTGTAGTTCTCTCATTTTCCATGACTTTCCATGACTAACCAGGCTTGGTAAATGTATTAGAAATCAAGTGCGACCCACAACTAGCTTGCTAATCATGTAGTGAACGTAAGAGAATCCCATAGAACCATCTCTTGGGTTCCTAGCCTATAGGAAGTGAAAAGGAGGTCCAAGGTCAGAGTACCTATAGACAAATTATGTCATAACTTAACCAATCTTGTGGGTAACTAAGGAGCGATGACGTGTAATGAATCATAGAGGGTTGTAGAAGCTTCTAGAGCTATCGTTCATGTTACTAGGCCTCTAGTTGGTAGAGATATGCCATGTGGTAGTATTGGCCCACCCCCTTAAGGAGGAGATTTTCTTAATAACTTGTTCAATGAGTGTCCAAATGATATGCCGTGATGTATGTAGCATAAACAGATGTAGTAGAAGAGTTTGCAGCAATCGTTGAGTAGTATTGCTTCTGTTGTTGGTGTGATAAGCCAAGATATGTATGGTGACTTGTAGGTTTGAGGAGGAGATTTCTAAGTTTGCTCTTGAGTTTGATAGCAAACTGAGTGCAACGAATGTCAGTATGACACCCAACCGAGAAGCTACAGGGCTCTTCTTACCCAACTCTCAACTACGCTGTTCCGCAGTATATGAGAATGATTAAGAAGCTTGAAGATATAAGAAGTGAGCTACCAGAACAGAGCCCAATTGCTACTGCTTCTTTAATTGCATTAAAGAAGCTTAATGATTACTATACTCTAGCTACAAATCAGCAACAGAGTCACTCTACAATTGCTACAATTTGTGATCCTTGGTATAACTTCAACGTCTTCAATATTATATGGAAAGACAGCACACACTCAACTAGGAAGAATAGGGCAAAAGCACAGTGGCAGGACTGCTTCTATCGATATTCAGGCCGCGAGTCTGATATTCAAGCGGCAAATGAAGCTGAGGATGAGGATCTAGATACAGAGCAAGCTATGAATATTGATATAGACTCAGAAGATGAGCTATACGTATCACAAAGCCGCCACGATATTGAGCCAGAATGGAAGCGATGGATGAAGGAGCCAACAGTTGGTAGGAATACAGATATTCTCAAGTATTGGCAGAGTAAGCAATACCAATATCCATTGATTGCTTCTATTGCGAAGGATCACCTAGCTATTCCAGCTACCTCAGCAGACTCAGAACAAGTATTTAGTGTTGGCGGTGATATTATCACAAAGAAACGGAACCGATTGTCGCCTTCTACACTTAGATATCTGCTTTGCTTACGGAATTGGGGTGTTTTATCACAAGGCGACAACGAAGACAGCGGCGACGATACAGACAATAAGAGTTAGAATAGTATATATATAACGTTGTATAACGAAAGTGCCAAACAAGCGAAAGTGCCAAAATCATGTGGTGACCAACCCCCCCAACTAAATGTTAAATTCCTCCACAACAAAACATGCGCCATAAAAATGATGAAAGCAAATTAGTGCTAGCTATCCAAGCTATGCAAAGCGACCCAAATTTGCGCCTTCGAGTTGCAGCTAGGATCTATTCCGTAGACCACCGCAAGCTATGTCACCGTTTACAAGGCGTACCTTCATGACGCGATATCCAAGCCAACTTACAGAAATTAAGTAACCTAGAGGAATCAGTTCTTGTTCAGTATATACTTGACTTAGCTGCTAAAGGGTTCCCTCCTCAGTTGTCTATTGTTGAAGATATGGCAAATCGACTACTTGCAACACGCGACGCGCCACGCGTCGGGTCACGTTGGGCTTCAAACTTTGTTAAGCGCCATGTAGAGCTCCGGACACGCTTCCAGCGAAAATACGACTACCAGAGGGCTAAGTGCGAAGATCCAGAAGTCATTCGTGGCTGGTTTGAGCTTGTATGGAACACAATTCTAAAGTATGGCATCAACAATGCAGATATCTACAACTTTGATGAGACTGGGTTTATGATGGGCGTCATCTCAAGCGCAATGGTAGTAACGAGCTCAGATGGGCGGGCAAAGGCAAAAAAGGTGCAGCCTGGCAATCGGGAATGGGTTACAGTAATCCAAGGCGTTAGTTCTCAAGGTTGGGCAGTGCCGCCATTTGTCATTGTGGCAGGTAAAAACCACCTTGCATCTTGGTATGAGAATAGCGGATTTCCAGCAGATTGGGTAATCGCTGTTACTGAAAATGGCTGGACTACAAACGAGAGAGGTATGGATTGGACTCAGAATTTTGAGAAGCACACAAAGCCCCAGAGTGTTGGTGGTTATCGCTTGTTAGTCCTTGATGGTCATGAGAGCCACCACTCAGACAAGTTTGAGGAGTACTGCAAAGAACACAACATTATTATGCTTTGTATGCCTGCTCACTCTTCCCATATACTCCAACCACTTGATGTTGGCTGTTTTGGCCCATTAAAGAGAGCTTACGGTCAGCAAATTGAAGATATGATGCGGGCTCATATTATTCACATTACTAAGGATGACTTCTTTCCTGCCTTCCACGCTGCATTTAACATTGCAATGACAGAAAACAATATTCAGGGAGGGTTCCGAGGTGCTGGGCTTCTTCCATTTAGCCCTGAGAGTGTAATATCTACACTTGACCTTAGGTTTAAGACGCCAACACCTCCAACCTCTCGCCCAAACACCGCTCAACCATGGGTTTCTCAGACACCAAATAACCCAACTGAAGCTGTATCACAGTCTACTTTCATTAAAAACTGAATTGTGCATCATCAAAATAGCTCTCCAACCTCAATCTATGCAGCTGTTGACCAGTTTACAAAGGGTGCATCGCAAATAATGCATCAATTAGCATTGTTAAAAGCAGAGAACCAAAACCTGCTAAGCAAGCGCCGGAGAGCTAAAAAAACATGACTACAGCAAGGAGGATCACTTAGTCAACAGGTAGCACAGGAGCTACAGGACGAGAGGGACGTTGTACAGCAAGTAGAGCAAGAAATAAGGGCAAGTAGTGGTCGGAAGCCAAGGGAAGAAACCCATGCACGTCGCTGTGGAAAGTGTGGTGAGACTGCATCCGATATCGTGAAATCCTCCTTGAATATCGACTTATGCTAATCTTTTGAATCTTATAGAATGCCTTCAAGAAAGCTCAATTCAATGACAATTGAACAGTGTCGTGCTCTTCGACAATGGACCGTCAACAAAACACCTTGACCTTCCCAAAAAGATTGTATCGCCTGGTTTTTTGAGAAGTACAACATTCGAATTAGTCAATCTACAGTCTCAGAATCCCTTAGCAGCCGATTTATCAACCTTGATGATCCGATTAATACACCAACAATAGGGAAGAGGAACGATACGAATATACGTCGATGGGAAGTGGCTTGGCCAGATATTGAGGCTATTCTTTTTGAGTGGCAAGAATGAATCGATTCAAAAGGAGGTTTTACAACTGCGGAGATCTTACAAGAGAAGGCAAAGCGAATTTGGTCACAACTACCACAATATCAAGGGAAGCCTTCGCCAGAGTTTAGCATTGCTTGGATACAGAAATTTTGACTATGTCACAACATCCAGAATAGAAAGAGGCAAGGAGAAGGGGCATCAGTCAGTGAGACAGCAGAGGACGAGATGAGGGCTATTCAGACAGTGGCTGCGTGTAACGCTGGGTCTTAAACGTATAAGACTCACAGAGGTTTCGTTGCGTTGGTTTACTTAACAGAGGAGGCAGGGGATCAGACACAAAGGCTTTCTTAAAACACGTTACTAGTATATAACAAATACTGTATTGAGTTGAGCACGAAGCTCCTATTGTCATACTGACATTCGTTGCACTCAGTTTGCTATCAAACTCAAGAGCAAACTTAGAAATCTCCTCCTCAAACCTACAAGTCACCATACATATCTTGGCTTATCACATCAACAACAGAAGCAATACTACTCAACGATTGCTGCAAACTCTTCTACTACATCTGTTTATGCTACATACATCACGGCATATCATTTGGACACTCATTGAACAAGTTATTAAGAAAATCTCCTCCTTAAGGGGGTGGGCCAATACTACCACATGGCATATCTCTACCAACTAGAGGCCTAGGAACATGAACGATAGCTCTAGAAGCTTCTACAATCCTCTATGATTCATTACACGTCATCGCTCCTTAGTTACCCACAAGATTGGTTAAGTTATGACATAATTTGTCTATAGGTACTCTGACCTTGGACCTCCTTTTCACTTCCTATAGGCTAGGAACCCAAGAGATGGTTCTATGGGATTCTCTTACGTTCACTACATGATTAGCAAGCTAGTTGTGGGTCGCACTTGATTTCTAATACATTTACCAAGCCTGGTTAGTCATGGAAAGTCATGGAAAATGAGAGAACTACACTCCTTTGGCATAAATAGGATTGCCCTTTCCTTAAGAAAGGGCAAGCAGGCAATACAGTAAATCGACTAGCACATACTTCTACGTCTTTTCCAAGCTTCCAAGCATTGATCTTGTTATTCTCTGTTTTTGAAAAGTCAGTGAGGTGCTAACCTCTGACTTACCCCTGAGTTCCCAGACTCAACATTTGTTGCAACTTGTCTGAACCACTTCACTACATCACACACCTAATTGCTGCGTTGTGGAATAGTCTAAGCTACAACCCTTTGGCTCTGTTTCCTAAGACAGTGTGTTGTCTTAGTAAAATCATCCCTTCCTTGGGTGGCTAGATTCTCACATCTGGTGCACCCACCATTACACCTATCTAAGAACTAACTATCTACTTATATAGTGGCGTCGTGCCAAATGCCATGAAGGACCATCGTGGTCCATCATGGTCCTGGCCCACACTGGACCACCGTGGTCCTGCGTGGTCCATCACATGATACTTAACCCCTCTGGACCAATGACTATGATTTCTCACATGCAGTTCCGTAGCCAATCCCCTCCTTAGCACTAGTGGTGGGGTTAGCCGTAACACTGCGGAGTATTTAGAGGACAACATTTATAACATGGACGAGACGGGTTTATACTGGAAGATGATGCCATCTCATGGGCTTTCTACAATGGAGGCTCAAGTAGGAAGGAAGATGGACAAGGCAAGGATGTCTGTCGTATTCTGTTGTAATGCTGCTGGTACTGATCGATGTCCTCCTTGGTTTATTGGCAAGGTGAAAACGAAACATCGATGTCATAGCAATGGGAGGGGTTTGGAGGTGGAATAAGAAGGCTTGGATGAATCAGTTTATTATGGCAGAATGGTTAAGGGCTTTTTATGCTCGTATTGGTACAACACGGGAGGTTCTTCTCACCATGGACAACTTTTCAGCACATATCAAGGCCCTCGAATCGACACCACCCCCTGCGAATATCTGAGTTATCTGGCTTCCTCCAAATGCAACAAGTCGATTTCAAGCCCTAGATCAAGGTATCATTGCCTCTGTCAAAGCCCATTACCGTCGACAATGGCTCCTTTACATCCTTGACGCTTTTGAAAGGAATGAAGATCCTGTCCAAACGATGAATATATGACTTGCTATTCAATGGCTTCTTCGATCCTGGAATCACGACCTTACAAACTCGACAATCTATAACTGTTTTCGAAAGAGTACGATTGTTCAAAAGCCAGTTCAACTACCCTCACAACCTCTTCCTGATATTACCAATCTCTATGAACAAGTACAACAAGCTGGGAATGTACATGACACTATGGATCTTTCGAGCTTTTTAAATCCAGTCGATGAGGATATACAAGAGTTAGAGGGGTGGGAGGATTTTCAGGGGGGTGATGCTATTCTTGAGGATATCATGTCACAATACGTCCCAGATACCACTCAAGATGATGAGGAAGAGGATGAGCCTTCTTCACAGCCTGTGCCAACTACACAAGCTGTGATTAACGCCATTCAAGTTCTGATTGAGTTTACGGAATCTGGGAATAGTGACACCTCAGAAGCACCAACATTCTTACGTTCTTTTGAATGTTTTGAGAGACAGTTAAGGCTCCTTGAAGCCAATTCACAAAGGCAGGGGACATTAGACTCATGGTTTATGTAAATAGCTTCAATTTTTAATTTAATCACATGTAATACATTTACTCGATATATGCATTAAGTGGATATATTTTTGTGGATCCGAGGCATCGACTTATCGTATTTTTACTGTAGTCGTACAAAGCTGCGGTATGCATGGTGTAATACTCGTGCAGCTCAAAAGTCTGTACAGGGTCTGTGCACAGGAAGTGGGTCATTGTAAGTACTTTCGAAAAATAAATACATAGAAATGTACATAATCTACCCACGAAAATTGTTACCTCCATTTACTGCAATACACCGCTCAAACTTGTCCCTGAACGACGCACATAGTTGAGCAGTTTTCCCATCCATTTTCCTCCCCCATTCTTCCTCAAGAAATACCCTTGCATGAGCTTTCTCAAGCTTACCTCCATTTAAAGGTATATATTCATCAACTCAATCTTTCAGATAATCAAAAGCATTCTCAATAGGATGTAAATCAGGAGAGTTTGGAGGCCAGAATCCTACTCTGTGAATTCCTTCTCTTTTCATATAATCTTCAAGTGAACGGTGTGCTTTCAAATGAAGACTAACATTGTCATCTACAAACCAGAGTCGTTTTTCTGGATGTAATGATTTGATTTTCTGAAAATAAGGAAAGAGAAGTGGGAGTAAAACCATTTCACAGTATAAAAACCAATCAATCCCACCCTTTGAAACTTCTTGGTTTTCTGAAACTCTTCCTCTACTCCAACTCTCCATGTCTCCAAATTCTTGTGATGGTCTTCGTGGCCGTTTCCATTTGCTTTTCCCTTCTTGGATATCTCTGTTTAAAGTCTCCATATATTCATATTCGAGAGTTTCAACTGTTCTTGCCCGTAAAAGCTCATCATCTGCCTTTTTTTGTTGCACCCCAGAACATAACTTGAAAGAGAGATTTCTTCTGTTGAACTGCCATACTTTCTGCTGTTTGACCTTGTTGGACTGTAATTCAGTGTTTCTTGTGTGGATTTCCTCCAAAGTTGATATATGACTCGTCTGAGAATATGAAGATAGAACCAGCTTCAAGTTCTGATAATGCCCATTTGCAGAATCTCAAGCGTACTTCAGGAATAATATTATCAAGATATGGCTTGAGACAGATGTTTTTGCATACAATTGGGCGAGGGATCTCTGCACTTGAGTGGTTCTTTGCAACTCGTTCAACAATAGAGCGTGAATATAGTAATTTCTCCTTATCAATAACTTGTTGGAATGTATTGAATGGATTTGCCAGAAGTAAAGAGCATATGCGTAATGACTCTTGAGAATCTTTCTGTATCGTTTGAGGTCTTCCGCTCCGAGGCTTTGGGTTAAGATGTTCAAGAAGGTTGAGAATATCTGTATTTCCTGCCTTTTCCACAGTTTGTTGCCATATACGTGCAACAGAATTATGTAATGGTGGGTGCACCAGATGTGAGAATCTAACCACCCAAGGAAGGGATGATTTTACTAAGACAACACACTGTCTTAGGAAAAAGAGCCAAAGGGTCGTAGCTTAGACTATTCCACAACGCAGCAATCAGGTGTATGATATAGTGGAGTGGTTTAGACAAGTTGTAACAAATGTTGAGTCTGAGAACTTGTCATACTGACATTCGTTGCACTCAGTTTGCTATCAAACTCAAGAGCAAACTTAGAAATCTCCTCCTCAAACCTACAAGTCAACATACATATCTTGGCTTATCACATCAACAACAGAAGCAATACTACTCAACGATTGCTGCAAACTCTTCTACTACATCTGTTTATGCTACATACATCACGGCATATCATTTGGACACTCATTGAACAAGTTATTAAGAAAATCTCCTCCTTAAGGGGGTGGGCCAATACTACCACATGGCATATCTCTACCAACTAGAGGCCTAGGAACATGAACGATAGCTCCAAAAGCTTCTACAACCCTCTATGATTCATTACATGTCATCGCTCCTTAGTTACCCACAAGATTGGTTAAGTTATGACATAATTTATCTATAGGTTGTAAGGATGCCTCCTACCTAGATACTCGAAGAACCTGTCTCAGAACTGTTACGGTCACTACAAACATGGAATCCGACTCGGTGGGGTTTCGAACCAGTAGAGGATCATATAGCGAGTTACACTATAGTGGGGGACGGTAAGTGTATAGGGTTCAGGGCCGATGTAGACCTGTTGCGGTGGAAGGTTCAGGGCTAGGGTTGGGATAACCGAGTCGGGCCCGTTTCAGGAGTTAAGGAAACAGACTCAACGGGGTTCCCCCTTCATCTTTTTTGTATCCTTCGTAGTAGACCTATAGGATAGCATCCGTTTAGCCTCCGACTCGCACTCTCATATGCTATTACTGTGAGCTGGGTGCCCTGTGTCCTTACATAGGTGCTCTGACCTTGGACCTCCTTTTCACTTCCTATAGGCTAGGAACCCAAGAGATGGTTCTATGGGATTCTCTTACATTCGCTACATGATTAGCAAGCTAGTTGTGGGTCGCACTTGATTTCTAATACATTTACCAAGCCTGGTTAGTCATGGAAAGTCATGGAAAATGAGAGAACTACACTCCTTTGGCATAAATAGGATTGCCCTTTCCTTAAGAAAGGGCAAGCAGGCAATACAGTAAATCGACTAGCACATACTTCTACGTCTTTTCCAAGCTTCCAAGCATTGATCTTGTTATTCTCTGTTTTTGAAAAGTCAGTGAGGTGCTAACCTCTGACTTACCCCTGAGTTCTCAGACTCAACATTTGTTGCAACTTGTCTAAACCACTTCATCACATCATACACCTGATTGCTGCGTTGTGGAATAGTCTAAGCTACAACCCTTTGGCTCTGTTTCCTAAGACAGTGTGTTGTCTTAGTAAATTCATCCCTTCCTTGGGTGGCTAGATTCTCATATCTGGTGCACCCACCATTACAGAACTCAGGGATAAGTCAGAGGTTAGCACCTCACTGACTTTTCAGAAACAAGGAGTAACAAGATCAATGCTTGGAAGCTTGGAAAAGACGTGGAAGTATGTGATAGTCGATTTACTGTATTGTCTGCTTGCCCTTTAAGGAAAGGGCAATCCTATTTATGCTAAAGGAGTGTAGTTCTCTCATTTTCCAAGACTTTCCATGACTAACCAGGCTTGGTAACTGTAGTCGACGTAAGAGAATCCCATAGAACCATCTCCTAGGTTCCTAGCCTATAGGAAGTGAAAGGAGGTCCAAGGTCAGAGTAGCCCTATAGACAAATTATGTCATAACTTAACCAATCTTGTTGATAACTAAGGAGCGATGACGTGTAATGAATCATAGAGGGCTGTAGAAGCTTTTGGAGCTATCGTTCATGTTCCTAGGCCTCTAGTTGATAGAGATATGTCATGTGTAGTATTAGCCCAGTAACTAAGGAGTGATGTCATGTAATGAATCATAGAGGGTTGTAGAGATATGCTATGTGGTCATCTCGGCCCAGTAACTAAGGAGCAATGAAGTGTAATGAATCATAGAGGGTTGTAGCAATCATTGAGTAGTATTGCTCTTGTTGTTGGTGTGACAAGCCAAAATATGTATAGTGACTTGTAGGTTTGAGGAGGAGATTTCTAAGTTTGCTCTTGAGTTTGATAGCAAACCGAGTGCAACGAATGTCAGTATGACAAATTAGCTGAGATTCCAAGCTTCTTTTCAATTTCTGCATATGAATCATTCATAAATATGCGTAGGGTAATGATTGCTGCACGTAGTGGAATTGAAATTTCGGCCATTGTACAAGATAGTTGAGAGTTGGGTATTATTGTTGTAACTGAGTGTTGTACTTGAAGATACTCGAGTAGTTGAGAGTTGGGTATTATTGTTGTAACTGAGTACTTATGCTTCCTAATTATTCTAGTGTTCTAATTGGCTGGAGTGCACAGACCCTGTACAGACTTTTGGGCCGCACGAGTATAACTATGAAACAATTGATAGGCTACTGACATGGGGGCCGGCGAGGCTGAGGATTCTGGAGATCAGCCTTCCCTGAATCGTGATCCATTTCCTACCCTTTTAACGAGTTCCTGGGTAATTATTGACCCAGGGACGACTGGCCCACGTCAACACCAACATTCCTCCCAGCTTCATCTCCCACGCGCTTTGTTACGTTGGCTTGAATTATAACCATGATGATCTTCGTTCGATAGCACCACTCAACATGGACGCCGTTGTCTTTGAAGACTCGCCTCTCGCTAGTTACTTTGAGGGTATGTCCCCCCTTCCACCTGCCAACCAAGGATACTTACTGACGGAGAATCACCAGGAAGTGGCAACAAATCGGATACTTGGTCGCCAGATGAGGAACAAAATGAATCATCCTCAGCGAACTCAAGCCCATCATTCGCGCCGCGAGGCAGGCCAACAGTCCCCTCGAGATTTCGCCACAAACTCATTTCGCCATTGCGGATAAGCGTACCAAAAACGACTGCGGCGACTGCGATTCGGAATACATGCTCGGTACGTTGATATTATGCTGATCATATTCTATGGATTTCCCCTGACTTAAAATGAAGGAAGCACTGAATTCCCGGCTGGGAAAGGCCGACAATACCAAATTCCAGGAACGGTTTCGATATATTATAGTGGCATCACAGTTGCTGAATGACCGACAATACCATGGGCAGGCATATGGTAGCAAGTCGCCGCCGCGTTCGTCGGACGATGCGCCTGTTGCCACCCTGAAGACGTTTAGCCCACGAGGCGCTGTTGTCACGGCTTCAGTCGCGTTTGGAGTGTCATGGATGATTCGCTGGGGTTCTGCTGGGCGGGACTGGATATCCATCACGTTACGATGCATAATAATTGCCGCACTGTTGGTGGCAGGAGCAATAATAGGCCAGGCATACCTACGGCGCAAATGGTTACTCTACCTCCGCGAGCAGAATATTACCGAGGCTACGAGACTCGTTGGACAGACACAAGATTTAGATTCCGCAGTGACAGCCGCGTTATCTCTTATACAAGAGGTTGAGCTCGTATCAAGAGGGTATCGATTGTAAGCATACACACACAGGGGATAGTTATGCACGAAGCTAACACCTGCTCAGGAGCCTGCCACTACCACCGATAACACGCCTCGAAGATCGCAGCCAAGCGAGAAGGTGCCTTCAGTTGCGCCGAGCATTATTTGATAGCGCCATAGACCTTATGCGCCGATATCACCAAGGCTACCTCGCTCTCCAGCCATTGACAGAATCGCTTAACCTTGAAAAGTACTACGATATATATGATATAACAACTATTGATATGCAAGAGGCTCTTACCGAGTACACAAGAGACGAGTTCGAAGACTACGAGTCCCTGAGGGTCTTAAAAATCCTCATATCTAGATTTGTTACTCTGCGGAAGCTATTTCTTTGCTGCCTTTTGGCTCTTGAAGCAGACGGCGGCAAGGAAGTCTTTACGAGGTGGAGAACTGCTCTAGGTGAGATCAAGGGGCTTTCGGATGTCGCATCTATAGCTGATAGCCGGGTACGATCCGTCTTTGAGCAAGAAGAATGTAAGTATTGCCTATTCAGCGCCTCATGGAAGCTGCTAACAGAATCAGCATTCCCAGTACCAACGACCCCAAAGTCTCCCCTGACTCCTGGCCGCGAACGATGGAGAAGCCAGCTGCGGAAGCTTAACACCCTATCCACTGGAATCAGAAGCTTACAAGCTAAAATGCACGTTTTACGCGAAGAATCCGACAAGACCTTGGATGAATCCGAAGACATCTCCCAGTTAGGGCCGCATTTGATGATCCAATATGATGCCATAGGTGTGGATTTAAGATCGTTAATGAAAGAATGGGAAGCTGGCAAAGCAGCGCTTGCGAACACGATCGATAGGAACGAGCGACGCATTTCATCTATGAGTGGATTACTCTCCCCGACAACAAGCTTAGGTGGCCTCACATCGGTGGAAGAAGGTACCCCCGCAGATGCATTGAAGGCATTGAACGGAGAAAGCCGCCTAAGCCCGGAATTGAGTTCCGAGAATGAAGAGGTATTTGAGGCAATTGGCCTCCCACGCCCAGGCATAGGCCCACGAAGCACCCTCACGCGAGAAGAAAGAATTGTCAAGATGAAGGATGATAGAGTGAAGCGAGAAACGGCGCGAGAAACAGCTGAGGCGAGCACGAAGATGCTTCGTGAGCTGGAATCGGTGATAAATCTACGGCCTCGGCGCAAAATAGGACCTAGACCGGGAACACGAATTACGTCGATATGATGAACGAATTTTACTGTATATATTTGATCAAGACAGGGCCTGACGGCGACGATTTCATTCAAAGTTAATTAGTGGTGCTTTCCAAGGTGGAAGCCCACACGCATGGCCAGGAGCCTAGAAGCATATACATATACCCGGAAATCTGTAATTAGATACATAATAGGATATCCTGCTCGTACTGTGCTCTATCAGATGCTTCCTCTTCGTTGACGACGAAATCCGAATTGTCTGATAATCACGTGACAATCGATTTATTTAGGGGGGGCTGTCACAGTGGAAACCACTTAACACGTAGAGCAAACACGCTACTTGAACGCGTCCCTTGCCCCTCCACACTTCTCACTTCACGAAAACCACGTAAACTGCAATCAACGCAACTCCCGTCACTCAACCTCAACCTCATCTCTATACCTCGCACACAACAAACCGCAAAATACCGCTAAAAGTATGTCAAGATCACCCTCCTTAGCTTCAATGTGACCATTGGTTCCGCTGCTTACTATTACCAGTGCTTGAAGCACGCCTCGAACAGGCAAACCTGCTGAAGAAGGTGAGCATGGGCCGATTACACTCCACGAAGATACAGACTAACCCGTGCAGGTTGTCGATGCCATTAAGGATCTGGTACAAGACTGCAACTTTGACTGCAATGACTCCGGAATCGCCCTCCAGGCCATGGACAACTCGCACGTCGCGCTCGTGTCCATGATGCTCAAGGCCGAGGGATTCTCCCCATACCGCTGCGACCGCAACATCGCGCTTGGTGTTAACCTTACGTCTTTGACCAAGGTTCTCCGCGCGGCACAGAACGAGGATATCCTCACCATCAAGGCTGAGGATGCGCCTGATGTGTTGAACCTTGTCTTTGAGAGCAGCGACAGCGATAGGTTGAGCGAGTATGACCTCAAGTTGATGGATATTGACCAGGAGCACCTTGGTATCCCAGAGACCGACTACTCTGCTACTGTCTCCATGCCATCTGCTGAGTTCAAGAGAATCTGCATGGACTTGATGGCACTTTCCGAGTCTGGTAAGCAGCTACCCACCATAGCATCCTCCAAAACGTTCACTATCTAACAAGCTGCGTAGTGTCTATCGAAGCTTCCAAGGATGGAGTCAAGTTCTCGTGCGCTGGTGATATCGGAAACGGAGCTGTTACTCTCCGCAGCCACACAAACGTCGACAAGCCAGAAAACAATGTTGAGATTGAGCTCACCGACTCCGTCGCCTTAACCTTCTCCCTCAAGTACCTCGTCAACTTCTGCAAGGCCTCCGGATTGTCGGGAACGGTTAAGCTGTGCCTCTCCCCCGAAGTTCCTCTGCTGGTAGAGTACGCGCTGGCCGGCAGCAGCTACTTGAGGTTTTACCTGGCACCAAAGGTAATTTCCACCATCATCATTACTGCCTGTACTCACTAACGTACTCTAGATTGGTGACGACGAATAGATGGATTGGGATAGTAATGATATAACCAGCATTTGACATCCTGCAGGGCGCGTACGGTTGACTTTCATGGATACTGGTTCTTCTCGTCTGCGATTATTGTCTTTTTTTTTACGAGGAATGAACAAAAATGTTTTAGCTAAGGTTCAGACAAACATGAACACTACTGTTACAAACAGATCTCGAGAACAACGGAGTTCACCCACGGCCGTAATTGCACTATGTGACGTGTGTAGATGCGGTGACGATAGACAGCTTCGCCAAGACATTTCCCCACAGTCTCCCGAAGGAGCCGCTAAGGTCCCGAGTCATATTTCGTGATTACAAACTGAATCCCTCATCCTTCTGTCATCTATATAAAGTCTATACATACTTCCATAATACCCCGTTGAGCGTCTTACTTTGATATCGCCAAGCACCGAATCCTCCTCACCGCCCTGAACACCACCATAGGACGGGCCGGACTAATCAATTTACGACCCCGCACCCAACCCCGCATTACTACTCCTGTACATCGAACAATGGCGACCAAGGATTTAATACCTGAGACTAGGGTTCTCACCATAGCAAGCCATGTATGGATACACTACTACCGTTTTATGGCGGACCTCAACTGACACTATATCTCCAAGGTCACCTATGGGTGAGTCCCTCTACGACGCGTCCAGGCCCCCCGAGTCACCAACTAAGACGGCGCAGATATGTCGGGAACACGATGGCAGCCTTCGTGCTGCAAGCGCTGGGCTGTGAAGCCTCCGCCATAAACACCGTGAACTTCAGTATGCCGTCCCTGCGCCGATTGGGAGGGCGCGACGGCTAACAATGAATGAAGGCAACCATACTGGATATCGACAGGTTAAAGGCACGAAAGCGACAGCGGCTGATATCGAAGATTTATACACAGGGCTTAAGAACTCGGGACTCGATGACTTTGATATGATGCTCTCGGGATACATACCCGGCAGGGAGGCGGTGGAAGTGGTTGGCACCATCGCGCGGGAGTTGAAGACCAAGGCGGCTGAGAAGCCGGGGAGTTTCTTCTGGGTGCTCGATCCGGTGATGGGGGATAATGGGAAATTATATGTTGCCGAGGATGTCGTGTCGGCGTATAAGAAGTTGGTGTATGACGCGGATTTGATCATGCCGAATCAGTTTGAAGCAGAGTTCGTTACGTACTTACACCGCGCCAGCAGCAGCTCGACTAATACCCACTAGGTCTCTCTCCGGCATCAGAATCACAGACGTGGAATCCCTAAAGAAAGCCATCACCTCCATGCACGAAATCTACAAAGTCCCACACATCCTCATAACATCCGTCAACCTCAGCGCGCCAGGCGAAGTCCCCTCTCTCTCGGTGGTAGGCAGCACGAAAACCTCCCTGGATAAGCCGCGCATCTTTCGCGCCCAAGTCCCTTCACTCGACTGCTTCTTCTGCGGCACGGGCGACATGCTCGCTGCGCTTATGGTTGTAAGGCTGCGTGAGGCAGTATGTGCTGTTGAAGGGCTCGGACAGAAGGAGTCGTGGGTGAGTGGCGATGAGGTGTCTGAGATTGAATTGCCGTTGGCGAGGGCTGTTGAAAGGGCGCTCGCGAGTATGCAGGAGGTGCTGGCGCGGTCGCTGGTGAAGAGGGATGAGGAGATTGCGGCGTGGGAGGCGAAACATGCGGTTAGTGGAGCTGGGGATGGTGTTGATGTTGAGAAGACGAGGCATTTGATGAGGACTAAGGCGGCGGAGGTGAGGCTTGTGAGGAACCTGGAGTGTTTGAAGCATCCGGAGGTGAAGTATCAGGCAGAGAAGATTGATATTGTCGGGAATTTGCCGATTGGTGCGGTATGAAGGGAGGTTTGGGGAGTATACGAGAACACAGGTAGAGACCAGAACCGCACACCATAACCACGGTTTAGAGCTAGAAACAGGATTGGGAGTACTAAACAGAGACGAGCAAGAGATAATAAGGGACAGGTAGTTGAACCTAATCTGACCACCATCTATACCACATAACTGCATCTCATCATAACTACTCCAGTTCCCATCTATTTATCCCATATCTAACCCCCAATCAAGCCTTCCCAACACCGGTGCTTCCAAACCCACCCTCTCCCCTAACACTCTCCTCCAGCTCCGCAACCTCCATGACCTCCGGCGTATAAATCCTCTCCAACACCAACTGCGCTATGCGGTCATGCCCCTTAATCTCGAAATCGACATCGCTGTGGTTGAAAAGCAGGACCCTGACTTGGCCCCTGTAATCGGCATCGATAACGCCTGCACCTGTATCGATGAAGTTCTTGGCTGCGAGCCCGGAGCGGGGGGCGATGCGTCCATCTATTCGAACGGAAGTTAGTTAGGGACAATCCTGCTGAGGTTGCTGTGGGAGGAGGGGGACGAACAAGTTCCAGCAGGCACAGCCATGCTCAGGTCGGTATCAACAAGTCCCTTTCCCCTCGCAGGAATAGTCGTCTCCTTGCTCGCGTACAGATCATAACCCGCCGCAAAAGCGCTGCCACGGGTAGGAAGCTTCGCCTTGTCACTCAGCTTCTTGATGAGGAGGTGTGGACCATCCTGGACCTTAGTCACAGGGACCGAAGCAGCAGGAGCAGAAGAGGCCATGATTGCACCGTTAACTGGGGCGAGTACAGACGAGTCGTGTGTGGTTTTGGTGCGTTTAGGGAGGGGTGAGGAAATGGGGGATGTGAGGTCTGGGGGTGGTGGGGTGGACATTTTGGGGTTGAGAGTTCGGATGGGAACTCGACTTGACGACGCGGTTGGACGCGACGGGGGAGACGCGACTTTTAAGTGTGTGGCGAGGCTGGGGTTAAGCCTTGTTGATCGATGGGGCGGTGGAGGTCGGAGCCGATTGTCACGAGCAGCCTCACGTGCTGAGTCGAGTCACGTGTGATGCTGTGCCAAGTCGGAGGGTCTTCCCTCGGTACCCCTCACGAGAACGTATATAGTAGGAACGCGGCCCTTAATCGGAAGGGCAGCGTTCAGTCTTCGTATCAATAGAGAGCTGGACTACGTAACTATCTACAACGTGACTTCCCACTGCCCTGTTCAGCCAAGGCTCTCTTACACCGATCCAGTGCTCGCTGTTCGGTCAGGTGTATGTTTTTAACGACGAGTTAGTTATTGGTAGCACTTGTTTGCGTATCAATTGAAGTTTTGTTTGTTTGTATGCAGATTTGATATTCATTCCATTCCCTTGATATGGCGGAGACAGCGTTGTACTCGTACTTTGGGTCAAATAATTGTTAGGCAAAAGATCTATTTACCCTGTTTGCCCCCTTGAAAGATTCATCTACCACGCGCTAACTATTAATAGATATTCTCTGCTAAGTCGGCTTTTACAGACCTCCTATGTGACCCCTTCGTAACACGGGGTTCTATAACGTAACGGAGGTGAAGAAGGAGCGTGTCTAAGGACGCTTGTTACCTTTAATAGTAGTAAGCTATAACATATAGACTTACTATTACCTCTATTAGTAAGGGGTAGTAAGGGAGGGGGTTTATGATAGAGGAACTAGGAGGCTATATTAGACGAAATGGGAAGGGGGTTAATAGCAAGGTAGTGACGGTAAGGTGGTAGAAATGAGGCGATAGCGAGGTGGCGGCAACGGGTGCCGACCGTTACAGTGCGTATGGTATATATAGCGTGTTACTCTACACGTATTCCGCCAAGCTGGAATACTACGGTAACCGTACATCGTTAAGAGTATTCCGGCTTAACGGTCAATGGGTTTTTGATTGATTCGCTTTAGCTTTAGCTAAGCGAGCTACTATTATACAGTACGGCGCCATAAGTATGAATACACGTCTGTGCGTAAATTCCAGTAAACGAGCGTCTTTTTTATGGGAGAAGCACAGACCTGTATGCATACTTATGGCGCCGGACTGTAGTCTCCTTACCTGACTGACAAGGGCAACCTTACGGGCTTAAGCTATATATATAATACACCCTAGCATCCTGAGTAGTGATGAGGCCTTGGGAGCACGGCGTTATAAGACATTATAGCATAGTAGATGTAGCCTCTATAATTGTGCTAGGACGTCACGGGCTAGAAGGGGTCCGTTACAGTGCGTATGGTATATATAGCATGTTACGCATTCCCCCGAGCCGGAATACTACATATGAGCCTAACCGAGATACAGGAAGGTTTAGAGGGTTTAGGGTCACGTGTAGTAGAGGGATATTTTTTCAGAAACAGGGCATATAGATCTTTACAGGGGGAAAACAGGGTAAATAGATCTTTTGCCCATAATTCCATAATTGTTAACAGGGGACCCATGTACGTAGTTTCACCTCAACGCTGTTTTAAAAAGTCGCGAGAAATAATAATCTATATAACGCGTCACGTACGTACGAGTGCTAAAGCAGCATATCATTACTCGGGTTTTTATTGGACTACTCTCCTACAAGGGGGGAGACGATCATTGCACGTTTAACAATTTTTGACCCAATGTTGTTGCGCGCGAAACAGCAAATCGGGAGATCCAGTGGCACATGCGTGAGCCGGTTTCGGTGTCCATTGAAACCTCCCCCCTCAACTCTGCGCATTCCCTTGCATTTCCTTGCTCATCTCCATTGGAATTAAGACGATATGTAGCAAACGATCAAACGATCAGAAACAAGCGGCATGCATGCGGCTTGATTGAGAAAATAAAAAAAACATTTCTGTCTTAGTCGCCCTGCTGCCTCGTATTCAATGTTGATGTCTTTTGACCTGTTCGGCCGGCTGGCACGGCAACGATTGGCGCCCCCCTAAATCTTAAAATAGGATCTCAACCTCCTCGATCCCACCTCGTCTCGATCCTGCTGTTTCCAACTTCACATTTTGTCTCTCCTACCATACATTTCAAAATTCACCTTTTTTCCAATTCACACTCGTTTTTGCTTGCCATATCCATTCCGATTCTACAAAAGCTCACCAGGTCTTATCTTAAATCTACAGCAAACATGCGTTTCTCCACCATCTTCCTGTCCACGGTCGTCGCCGCCCTCTCTGTCCAGGCTCAGGCCAACAACGGAACTGCCACCACCGTGAGCCCAGTTGTCTCCGGAACCGCAAAGCCCAACGCAGGCCAGCAGGCCACCACCGTCTGCCTCGAGGCTTGTAAGTCATCAAACCTCCCATCACGCGTTCTACAGCAGATCCTAACAACTTCCCAGGCCCCTCCAACGACAACGACTGCCGCGCCAAGTGCCAGCTCCTCGCCAACTCCGTGAACCCCAAAATTGACTGCCAGGCCGCCTGCCCCAAGGGTGACGGCAGCGCTGCCGCCAACCTGTCCTACAGGAACTGCTTCCAGAGCTGCGCCTCCATCTCTCCGGAGCCAACCGCCTCTGAGACTTCCCGTGCTGTTGCTTCCTCTACCCCAACTGGCAGTGAGTTTTCCCACCTCCATACCCAATTAACGAAAGAATAACGCGCTAATACTATTTACAGCTGGATCTGGATCTGGAACTGGAACTGGCTCCGGCACTGGCTCCGGCTCTGGTGGGGCCTCTTCGTCCGGCTCCGGCTCCGACGTGAAGGCCTCCGGCACCGGTGCTGCCCCATCCGCCACCAAAACCGGTGCTGCCGCCAACATGGCCGTCAGCGTCTCCGTTGGTGCTGGTCTCGGTCTGTTCGCCATGATGCTCGCATTGTAAGATGGTGGCTGGATTTGTGTCTCTGGTGGGTGTCCTTGGAATAGCGGCGTATGCAAATGCATGAGGGTACCATATCGCGTAATAATCCTTTAATCGGTCCGTTCAAGTAGTTAGGGAATTACCAATTCAGTTCTTCCTTAATTCAATGTTGTATTGGCATTTGTTCTAAGCTATGTTGCTCAGCCATGGGAGGCTGAGCTTCTTCATCTCGACGGCGAGCTGGAAGAGGTAGTCTAAGCTGCGGGGGAGTTAGCTTGTGATTATGAGCACTGAATGTGACGGCGACGACCGACCTTTCACACTGTGTCTTTGCCTTGTGAACAGTCTCACCCCACACGTAGATCCCATGTCTCCTAACCAACACCGCATAAGTATCCGTGTATTTATCCATCGCCGCCTCCAAGCTATCCGTCAGATCCTCCTCAAACGGCGTATTCTCAATCACCGGAATCCTCAACGTATCATGATACCCCAGATTCCCCGTCTTCTGGCACCCCCTCCCAAACCCCTTGATCTGCTCAATATTATTAATCTCAAAGATATCCGTCTCCGCCCCGCTCTGCTCCAGCAGCAGCGTGATCAGCACCGCCCACTGCGAGTGCGTGTGGATGCAGCACCCGGCGTTGCGCTTGTTGAACGCCGCCAGGAAGAGCGGGGTACATTGCGACGGCTTGAAGGAGGGCGGGGAGCGCAGGTAGATGCGCTGTTTGGGGTCGGTCTGCGCCTTCAGCGACAGGACGTAGATGTCTTCGGGCTTCATGAGCTCTTTTTGGACGCCGGAGGGAGCGAGGTAGACGAGGTCACTGGCGGGGTCGTTAGATCAAGGGTAGAGGTTTGCTGATGAGGGGGGACTCGCTCCTGGCGGATGCTGGCTCCCCCGCCGGTTCCTGTGACCCAGCCCAGGTGCCAGAACTTTGCGCACAGCTCGGGGATGAGGTTGGCGGGGTGTTGCGAGTCATCCGACTTCACGAGATGGTCATTGCTGGTGTTTTTGGCAGGCTCTAGTTGGGGGGGGGTCCCGATTACGGCCATGGCTTCGTTCCGAGGTGTATGGGCGATTAAAAGAGACGAAGAGACGAAGAGACGAAGAGACGAAGAGACGATGAGACGAAGAGACGAAGAGACGGACGAGAGATTGGAGGTGGGAAGATTAGTCGGTCGTCATCTCTTGACACCTTCTTATACTATTTTTTTGGCTGTTGGACCACCACAGCCAAAATATAGTAAAGGTGGTACCTTGGCGATTGCGAAATCGTAAGTGGTGCTCTATCATCGAGCTCTGATTGATCAATTTGTTTGATAGGTGCAATAGGTGCCGACACCCAAAGTAAACAAGACAAGTTAACGGGCGCGACAGGAACGACAGCAACATCAATATCAACCGCCATGAACCAGGAGTAATGTATTGTATTATGCAATAAGTAAGAAGTTGTTTTAGTAAGACTGGCCTCATCCTTAACTTCATACAGCAAGTGCTATTGAGCTTATTACAGTATGCAATTCGGTACGTAATATGGTACTGTAGGTGGTTCCTCGCTAGTAATTGATATGTGTTCTTTTGGATTCCCTGACCTGGACTTAAATTCCACCCTCTCCCTCTCAAACACCTCCTCATCTACCATTTTGTATTTCCCTCAATTTACCTCCCCTCTCAAAGACAATTTGAGTTCGGGATTCAGATTTGCACTCCTGCTGCAATTGTATTAATCCATAATTGCACTTTGATCCCTTGTTCAGTTGTTGTCCATCATGCGCTTCAACGCTGCGGCCGTCCTGTCGACAGCTCTCCTCGCGGGAGCTGCCCACGCCCAGGCTGAAGTAAAAGATGCCGAAGCCTCTACTGCGGTTGACTCCGCGGTTCTTCCTTCCTTCACCGTAAGCTTAAACCCTACTCTTGCCATCTGCACAGTCTGTCAACATCTAGCTAACTTGAACACAGCCTACCAAAATCAAGGGCGACTTCGTCGAGCAGTTCACAGACGACTGGGAGCAGCGATGGAAGCCGTCCCACGCGAAGAAGGACATGAAGGGATCCGATGTGGATGAGGAGTGGGCATACGTCGGCGAGTGGGCTGTTGAGGAGCCACATGTGTTCAAGGGCATCAATGGCGACAAGGGCCTCGTTGTCAAGAACGCGGCTGCTCACCACGCCATCTCGGCCAAGTTCCCCAAGCCAATTGAGAACAAGGGCAAGACCCTTGTTGTACAGTACGAGGTCAAGCTTCAAAGTGAGTAGATCTATATATTACGACTTCAAATCCCCTTGTTGACTTTAGTCAGACGGCCTCGAGTGCGGAGGCGCCTACCTGAAGCTCCTCAGAGACAACAAGGCCCTTCACCAGGAGGAGTTCGCCAACTCCTCCCCTTACGTGATCATGTTTGGCCCCGACAAGTGCGGCCACACCAACAAGGTCCACTTCATCGTCAACCACAAGAACCCCAAGACCGGCGAATACGAGGAGAAGCACATGAACTCGCCACCAACCGCTCAGATCTCCAAGACCACTGAGCTCTACACCCTCATCGTCCACCCCAACAACACCTTCGCCATCAAACAGAATGGCAAGCAGGTCAAGGAGGGCAGCCTCCTCGAGGACTTCAACCCATCCTTCAACCCCGAGAAGGAGATCGACGACGCCAAGGACAGCAAACCCAACACCTGGGTCGACGAGGCCCGCATCGCCGACCCCGAGGCCAAGAAGCCCGAGGACTGGAACGAGGAGGCCCCATTCGAGATCGTCGACGAGGAGGCCGAGATGCCTGCCGACTGGCTCGAGACCGAGGCCCAAGTGATCCCCGACCCCGAGGCCCTCAAGCCCGAGGACTGGGACGACGAGGAGGACGGAGACTGGATCGCCCCCAGCATCCCCAACCCCAAGTGCGAGGAGGCATCCGGATGCGGCCCCTGGACTAAGCCCATGAAGGCCAACCCCGAGTACAAGGGCAAGTGGGTCGCCCCGCTCATCGATAACCCGGACTACAAGGGCGTCTGGGCCCCGAGGAAGATCAAGAACCCCAACTACTACGAGGACAAGAAGCCCTCCAACCTCGAGCCTATGGGAGCTATCGGATTCGAGATCTGGACCATGCAGAACGACATCCTCTTCGACAACATCTATATCGGCCACTCCATCGCCGACGCCGAGGCCCTCGCCGCCGAGACCTTCGACGTCAAGCACGCCGCCGAGAAGGCCGCCGAACTCGCCGCCAAGCCCAAGGCTGAGGACAAGCCCAAGTCGGACCTCGACATCGCCTTCGGCGACGACCCTGTCAAGTTCGTCAAGCAGAAGCTCGACCTCTTCATCACTATCGCCAAGCACGACCCTATTGAGGCTATCAAGTTCGTCCCCGAGGTTGCTATTGGCGCTGGTGTCGGCGCCCTCACGCTTCTTGGTGTTTTGGTTGGTCTCTTGACTCTGGGTGCTGCACCGGCGCCCGAGAAAGTCAAGGCGGCTGCTAAGAGCGGAAAGGCCGCGGCGAAGGAGGGGAAGGAGAAGGCTGATAGTGCGGCTGCAAGCGCGGTGGATGCTGGGAAGGCAGAGGTTAACAAGAGGCCTACGAGGAGCAATGCTGCTGAGTAGAGGGGTGGATTCGGGGACACGTGTCTGAGAAAGGAAAATATGAATCTTTTTGTCGGTTTGGGGGACGGGGGGAATGGGATGGTAAGAGTATTCTCGAAAGTTTGATTTAGAGCGGGGAGCACAAACAAACAAACAGACAAAGTTGTAATTCAACGGCGCAGAAAGAAAGAAACACAAATACTATAACCATTTCTTGCTACTATCCACACTATGGTTTTCTGGAGGCTTGAGAGTGAAATACAGTGATTGCTGAGTTGACTGTGCATCTTTTGCTGAGTCTTGCTGCTATGGTATTCCTAGCCATCACCATTAACAGACGACAGACCTGTATCGATGGATGAAGGGGGAGGAGGGAGGGGAAGCAAGTGCCCCAATCCGAGGAGAATCTATTCGTCCTGGTTCGGCCATAGATGACTACCATCCATTACGGCCTCTGATTGACAGGATCTAACTCAACCCCACCATTGAGCCTTCTTTCCTATAGCTATATATCCAATAATTAATCGCTAATAACAGTGCGGATTTCCCCTGGATATCTAATTTCGACACGACTATCTGACTGTATTGGCTGGTCTGAATAGCCATGAAGCGAGTCTTGTACGGGTGGTTTTGAATTAGGCAAGGAGGGCGTGGGACACAAAAATATTGAAATCTAGCAGTACTTCTTGTTAAACGCTAACAACGCATAGAATCATTTGTAATATCACACTATACGCTATACCATACGGTATACTGTCTCTTACAAAGCGGCCGCTTCAGCCACCATCTTCTCACCCCTCTCCTTTAGCGCAAGTTCCGCCTTTGTCAACTTATTCGGGACCAACTTAATAAACACCGGCATCAGAGCAGCTACACAAGCACCCGCACCCAGGAAGCCAGCCGTTATACCCCAGCCCAGAGTATAGTGGGGAGCACTCTTAGTAGGCCAGATCTGGCTCCCATACACGGACGATAGATTCCCAACCGCATTAATCATCGCAATCGCAATAGCGCGTTTCTCGGCCGGAAGGTCGATGGTCTTGGATGCCCATGCGAGGATGAGTGGGAGCGCACTCCAGATCCCAGAGGCGACGAAGCAGAGCATGACGTAGCGGACTACGGGTGTTTCGACGATGGCGCAGACCATTGCAGAGATGAATCCTAGCGAGAGAGCGGACGTAATGTGCCATGTTCGCTCCTCGTGACGATCGGCGGAGTAGGCGCAGATGTTGAGGCAAAGTGTGGCAACTGCGTACACGGGAACAGTCATGTACTGCGCCTTGACGGTGTCGTAGCCCAATGACTTGGTGATGGTGGGGATGAATATGAAATTGTGCCGGCGCCGACGTCGAGGACGAAGAGAAGCATGAAAGAGTATGTGCGCGGGGTCGGTGGCAGCTGCCTTGAAAGCCTCCCAGTGGGAAAGTCGATCATCTCTAGACGAGCCGGATGCGGAGCCAGATGCCGCGCTGTCTGCGATGATTCGGACGGTGGCTAGTTGGCGCTCTTCGAGGGTGAGGACTGGTGAGCTCTGAGGGAAGTCGAGGAGGATGAACTTCGCGACAATGGCTACTCCGACTGTTGCGACGCCTTCGATGATGAAGAGCCATCTCCACCCGGCAATACCGTGCGCTTCGTGGAGACCGTTGGTGATTCCGCCAGCAAGAAGGCCACCGAAAGCCCCTGATATGACAGCGGCACTGTAGAATATAGCAAATCGTTTCCCAATCTCTGCTGCCTTGTACCAGCAGCTCATGACGAAAAGCAATCGGGAAAAAAGCCAGATTCGATGCAGCCGAGAATAGAAGGGAGAAATATTGAGGGACGGCTTCGACTGAGAATCATATTGGATGGCACTTCCATGATGAGGTAACCAAAGAAGAAGAAGGAGAGAACCCATGCATATTCTATTACATGCGTCAGTATGTTTTAGATCCAACTAATGAAATGAGGATACTGACTCTGGGCATCAAGATTTAGGTCGTCCCCCATTCCAGCAATTCTTGCGTTTCCCTATAAGACATGTTAGCTTAGTATATTAAAAAGCAAAGCAACAAGGTTACCTACAATATTTTCCATCAACATAGTTGAGAATGTACATGATCCAGAGAGTTGGCATTAAGTGCATGTCAATTTTCCGTACAAGTTTCTTCTCCGCGCCTGTGTCTGGAACAGAATTGCTCAAAGCTTCTTGCAACTTAATCTCCTCCGTCGCACCACATCCCTTGGTAGTGGTAAATGTCATCTCGACATGAAGGGCGTTGTCCTTCAATTCCTCCATGGCGAAATGGTTAAAAATTGAAGTGTGTATAGTATTAATATGTCAAAGAGGTAGAGATGTTGTCATGACTCTCGTCTTTATCTATTCATGGCGGCAGTTGGGACGGGAAAATGTAATGTGGAGTCTAGCCCTGGCGTAAATTTTGACGGGGGGCAAATGACCTACCCCCCTTGGTGGTTTCTCCGCGTTTTAGCGGAATGGCAGCGGCACTAAATCAAAATGTCAACAAGGGCCATTGGAATCTCGGACAGAACACCGCACCTCGCCACGGAAAGAACTGCGAGGGGCCAACCAAGCTGATACGATGTCGAAAGCCCAGAGCATTGGTTTGCGGGTCCAGTCAGTTGGAATTGGTATCTAGGCAGGGCCTCGGCAAATGGAACATCATTACTTATTCTACAATATTTAAATCTCCGTGGAGATTAATACACGAGGAAGTGTTGCTTGCTCTAATTTGTGGCGTTCCTGCGTTGACTTCTAGGAGCTCCTCGCGAGTCTCTTGTTTTATTCATGCCCAATGTCGATACTCAGTATCAGTCTGGCTAGCGGACATCACATCGAAAAAGCCCAAGGGGAAATAATGCTCATCGTAGAACGGCACAGAAGAGTCGAACATGCGAAGAATTCCAGTGTCAGAAATCGCATAGTTTGGTTCCCACATCTGCGCAGCTAGAATGGTTGCTTCGTCTTGGCTGATTCGTCCCGAATCCACGAGGAGATTCCTCGATTTCTCTCCTGCCTCCCATGACGTGAAACGGTCCAGCATTTTACTCAAACCGGTAGCGAGATGACTTGATAGATATCGTTCACCTGCTCTGGCATCGAGCAAAAGCCGTATGATTCTCATCACAAGATCCCGGATTAGAGTAGCATCGGCGCTAAAATTATACGCCTTCCACTTCTGCTGCACTTTCATGAGGAAGACAGCTCATAGTATGTGTAATGATGTACGGTTACGCTCGCGCTACATCCCACTGAGCCAAAAAGACTACAATATTCCGGCTCGCCCGGAATACGCGTAACACGCTTTATATACCACATGTACTGTAACGGCGGCACCCGTTACAGTATGGAGGTAGATTGGTACACCGACGACGGAATTCCGGATACCAGGTTCATCTAGGACAGTTTTGGAGGATGGAAGTAGCGCAGGCAATGGCGGTATTTGCTAGGTCTCGCCGATCTATGGTCAAGTCGTGCATGCCGTCTTTTTGAATCCCACGCAAGGACAGTGAGCTCACTTGCAGCCTTGCAAAGTGATAGTGCAGAACGACTCCCTTTGCAGGGTACAACTCTTGTTAGGATAATGAATACGGAGACCTGACTGTGCAGGCGGTAGTTGGCTTGTGAGATTCCCGGCAGGTTTAAAAATTTCTCATGGTTGGTAATAGTCGCATCTTCATGAATAACAGGCGGTCGACCCTAGGCGATACTGAAGTGGTGATCGCAAACGTATATAAAGTACCACAGCCTCGCACCCTCAAAATGTTCCCGTGAACCTCGCATCGCTCGAGAATAGCTCAGTTAGCATTCGAGTCTAACAAAGACCTAGGGCTGCATACAACTAACGTCTGAAAGCCAGAACGCGCCAATGCAAAGAGCTCGAATACCGTCTAGCGTATGATATCGGTCGAACATGGAATCGCAAACAAGTGCTGTGAATGCGGCATAACAGATACCAAAGACTTGCTCTTTCCCGGGTACGTGTAGCGCTGTAACTGTTAAAATGGCTGCTAGCAATAGAGATGAGGACCGTCGCACTGAAATAAGATCTTCGTGGACCAGAGCAATACCACCCCACAGGTAATGATTGAGAGATGTACTAAAGGTGCGAAATAATTCTTCGGCATCGGCTTCGCTAACTTTAGCCTTGGAGATAAAATCATCCTCTAGAATTGTTGGCCTGGCAGCGTAAACATGCCCATGGAGGTTGTTGCTCCGGAGGTTTCTCAGTTTGGTTACCTCATACAAAGCTCCCATGGGATCTGTGACAAGAGTATCATTTGCCCTGCTTTGGGTTGGTTCTTGGGAGTTCTCGCGCGTCATGGCCATGCCCGTGTTCGGAAGGGTCTCGACTCATCAGGAGCCTCGATACTTCTGGTGACAGCTTGTTGGGCCTGTGGCTGGTTGTGATGTAGCTGCGCTGCAAATGATTCCAGAGAGGGGAGCTCCAACACGCTTAAGATCTTCGACACTGCGAGTGATAGGGTCTGACTGTTTTCCTCCATAGTAGCCTTCCACCTAATCAAATTGTATTGTCAGTAAGCTGAGCATTATATTTGATTGATATGTTAGGATAAATTAACTAGATTGGCTCTCTAAACTTAAAGAAAGAGATGGCTGAATGCTATCATATTCAAGACGTTCCTACCCCGTATAACAGATGAATTTAAACGATGAAAAGGATATAAACAAAATAAAAAATTCCACATCTCCTTACATGTAAATATTACATGACGTACTCTGTGCCCTCGCCTAGAAGAGACTGTAAACTCTTATTAACTACACAGCGCACCCGCTTCTTAGAACAGCGAGTACATTTTTGGCTGCTACGGTGGATTAACATCGCACTTGATCTTTCGGGCTTGACACTCTGTACACGCGTGAACCTTTCTCGATATCATGACGATCCATCGCCACTATTGATGTTGGCGCTCAAATGGTTCTAGCCTTCCAATGCCATATCACTATCGCGTCTGAAGCGACGTTTCTTAGGCTCAATGATGCCGGTTGTTCTGTGGGCCGAATCAAGGCGTCTCCTGTTTCCCAGTGGATAGGTGATGTATGTCAGCTAGGCAAAAGCAAAATAGTTGGAGAAGATGCACCAGAAATTAAACTTGTCGGCTGACGGTTCTCGGGATGAAGTCCGCAATCTTGGCTTACTGCGGGGACCTTAGCTTATTCGTTCCTGCCCATTGCTACAAGGTAGCAATGGGCAGGAACGAATAAGCTAATCGCGGAAGGAACACCGAGATTGACGATAACAACCTCAACTTAACCTTTTCTTGGCAAAGTTAAGTAAAATCTACAAAAATTGCTACTGCACTCTACGGAGGTCGTGCAGGGTTAGTATATGTGACTCTCTCTTCTTATTTTCTGTTTTTCTTCATCTCAAGTCTTTTCTTATAGCCTGTTCTATGTTCACGTACACATCCATACATCTTTCATTATAACCCCGACTATTGTCGTACTTGTATCATCAACACACAATTACTCACACACTCCACACGAACATGGCGCCATGTAAAGCCCTCAACATTGCCTTTGCCGGGCTAGGTGCAATGGGGCTTGGAATGACATCTCATCTAGTCTCAGAGGGCCATAATGTAAATGGCTATGATGTCTACGAACCATGCCTAGAGAAATTCAGGGTAGTTGGAAGGAGTGGTGTCATCGTCTCCCAAAGAGGCTGCGAGGGGGGATAATTATTTGGTTTGCATGGTCACAAACTCACAACAAGCTGAATCGGTATTGTTCGATTCGATGAATGGTGCTGTCCAAGGTATGAGCATGCACTCGATGGAAGACTGGATCAAATTGTAACATAATGTAGCACTACCCACAAACTCAACCGTCATATTATGCTCGACGGTCCCAGCAACATTCTCAAATCCATTCAACAGAAGCTGAATGACATGAACAGGTAAGATATACATCTGATGGACAGCCCCGTCTCCGGAGGCACCGTTCGAGTCTCGCAAGGAAAACTCACAGTCCTAGCAGCTGGTACAGAATCAGCATTACAACAAGGCCACGAGGTGCTCACGCTCGTTTCGGAAAAGTTATACATCATACCCGGTGGAATCGGCACTGCGGGCAATGTGAAGATGATCAATCAACTCCTCGCCAGAATCCACATCGCCGCGGCCGGCGAAGCGATGGGCCTCGCCGTAAAAGCCGGACTGAATACGCGGCAAGTCTACGATATAATCCTGACTGACATCAGGGAGCAGCTGGATGTTTGAGAACAGAGTACCGCATGTGCTGGACAATGATCTGACTCCATACTCAGCATTAGATACCTTTGTCAAAGACATGGTGAGTTATATTCATTCCGTCGTCTATTCCCATTTCCACGGTCTGAATTGACGATATGTAGGGCATCGTCACCTCCTCCGCACGATCACACGGGTTCCCAGTCCCGCTCTCCTCGGTAGCGGAACAACTCTATCTTTCTGCTTCATCCCAGGTTCGGACGCCAAGATGACTCTGGGATCGTACGAATTTTCACGCCGTCAACGCCTACGTTAGTCCACGAGAGCTCAAAGTCAGCGACTCTTCAATCCGACGTGCTCACTCCACCAGCGACCCCATTTGAGATATCCAAAGTGGGTTTTGTCGGCTTAGGCGCGATGGGTGTTGGAATGGCAGCCTCCCTCGTGAAGGCAGGGTTCAACGCCTGTGGCTACGACGTTTATGAGCCATCAATCCAGAAGTTCGTTGCCGGCGGTGGCAAAGCAATAGAAGCGACATCGCCAGCTGAAGCAGCGAGGGAGGCAGAGGTACTAGTCCTCATGGTCCAGAATGCTGCTCAAGCTGAGGATGTTTTGTTTGGAGCTGGGGCAGCTGCGAAGTCACTTCCTGATGGATCAATTGTCATCCTGAACTCCACCGTATCTCCAACGGCAGTCAGGGATCTCTCAACGCGTTTGTCGAGTTTAGGAAAAGGGCTAGAGTTAATCGACGCCCCTGTCAGTGGCGGGGTAGCGAGGGCAGCAAAGGGGGAACTAACGGTAACTTGGATCCCGAACACCTTTCACGAGGTCCATAAATCACTGACTAAAAAATGGCTCATCCTCCGGCAATACTGCAGCTCCCGAGGGGGTGCGTGGTCGTCGTCAACACGGCGGCGGAGGAGGACATGGCTATCTTCGCCGCGGGGGCTATTAGTGCCGAGAAACAGGGGAAGAGGTATTGATACCGCACCGGCGCGGCATTCGTCTCTTCGCGCCTCGGGATAGCTGGTAAAGCACCCATGTCGGCGGAGGAGCTGGATATGGCGTACCACTCCGGCGTCGCGACTACCGGCGGCCTCATCATCGCCTGCTCGGATGTTCCCAAGACCGCGTCGTTGCGGGAGCGGAGGGGGGGGGGGGTTGCATGTCATTGAACTTGATGTCGGGACACTGATCGGGGCAGGTGGGGAGGCTGAAGGGGTTGTTGAGAACGCGGCTAGGGAGGCGGTGGGAGGTTGGGGGAGGGGGTGGATGTCCTGGTCATGACTTCGCGGCGCCTTAGTACCGGCTCTGACGGGATTTCAAGTCTGGGAATCGGTGGGGTCGTCGCAGCTGCGCTGGTGAGGGTGGTGCAGGGTGTCACAGTCGGGCCACGATATGTGATCGCCAAGGTAACCAAACTCCTTTTATTACTCCATCTCACGTACTTGGTGTATTACAGAGCCTTCGATTATACTAACGAGAACCACCAGGGCGGCATAACCTCCTCCGACGCAGCAACACAAGGCCTAAATATGAAGCGAGCCATGATCCTCGGCCAAGCAGCGCTGGGTGTCCCGATGTGGAGGTGCGACGAGGAGACGTAGGCATGCTGGGGTGCCGTATATTGTGTTTCCGGGGAATGTTGGGGGGGATGATACGCTTGGTGAGGTGGTGGAGGTGGGCTGTCCAGTAGAATTTGCTTTATCTGAGAAAGTAACCCCAGGCCTTCATTATCTTCCCTTCTCCATCAAACACACTCTGTAGTCTGTAATGGTGTGTTTGCCATAGTGGCCGCCTAGGTGGATAGGAGGCATGCATTGGGCCGCGTTGCTGCGCGAGAGTTGTACAAGGGGTGGTTCTCCCTCTGTCTCTGCTTAGAAGATGGCACTATCGCTCCTTCCCTTAGAACTTCTTCACTCACACAACCCTTACTAACACCCAGAAAGCGAATACCCACTGTTGTATACCGTCTCCAGGCATTTCTCACCCCGTCTTGCGCTCGCAAACCAACACCCGCACCCCGCCCGCCGAGAGACCAGCGATCTCACCAACCGGAACACCCGATTCTTCCGGCGGCGCTGGCGGGTGCAGGCAGGTGGCGGATATCCCAGCCGACCGGTCGGTCGGCTGCAGCGAGGCAATAGATGGATGGGTATTTAGCTGGCTGGTGTGTGCGCGCGCTGTGTGTATGTATGTACAGAATCGACGGACGATCGACGGCGACGGGGCGAGACGGGACAGAGGGGACGGAGCAAACATTCCCTACCTACCTTACCTACCCACTTACGTCTTAACGAAGTCGGTCAGGTCCGAACTTCTCGTCTTGGCTTCAATTCAATAGTCCCTCCCCGACTCTTCCATTGCGTCCGTGTGCCCCCCTTTTGGGGGGGTTTTTTTTTTTTTTGGGGGGGTTTTTTTCTTTTTCTTTCCGCCACTATGATCCTTTGCGCACGGGATGCGCAAATACGGTGTTGGTGTGATGGTGGTGTGGTTGGTGTTGGCTGCAGGGCATGGGAGAAGGAAGTCGGGGCGAGAGCGGTAAGTTGGGCGGGCGGGCGCAGGGCTATCTAGACGGACGCAGCCAGTGTAGAAGCAAAATCCCAAGGCGATATCGCGGACGGGCTTGCATGGTGGGAGAACTTTTGGCCATGGCTGGCGGTACCGCCGGCGGTACCGTCGACCATTCCCAAACCCAACCCCTCAGTGACGTGTGTTCCTATACCATCGATAAAGACGGGGGCGGTTACGTCGCCCTCGTTTCGCAACGGCTGAGAGGCGAGGGAGCGAGGGAGCGCAGGGAACGGACGGAGGCGGAGTGGGGAGTGGGGAGTGGAGAAGTGAGTTGTGAGTTGTGAGCGGAGGGGTGTTACGGCGGGCGCGGGCGCGGGCTTCTTATGGGCGAGGTAAGGCGGATGGGGTTGGGAAGGAAGGGGGGGATGGGTTAGATGCGGTGAGATGCGGTGACAAACGGGAGATTGTGCCCGATGCTGACGATAGATTAGTATCGACCGTCACCTTGTTGGCCGGGCACGCAGGCGATAAAGACTGGGCTCGTCGGGCAGCACCTGTCAAAAGCAGCTAGTATTGGGGTAAGTTGAGTTAAGTTGTGTTAAGTTGGGGTAAGTTGAGTTAAGTTGAGTTAACCTAACCTAACCTAACCTAACCTAACCTAACCTAACCTAACCTAACCTAACCTAACCTAACCTAACCTAACCTAACCTAACCTAACCTAACCTAACCTAACCTAACCTAACCTAACCTAACCTAACCTAACCTAACCTAACCTAACCTAACCTAACCTAACCTAACCTAACCTAACCTAACCTAACCTAACCTAACCTAACCTAACCTAACCTAACCTAACCTAACCTAACCTAACCTAACCTAACCTAACCTAACCTAACCTAACCCAACTTACCCCAACTTGACCTAACTTCCAAAGTAGAATCGTATCAACACGAAATAGCCCAGCCCCGGTCCGGCCGAGCTTGTCTCTGTATGGGTCCAAGTCCTCCAACCTACCTACCTCCACTGACATTTCGGTCGTCGCCGCCTTCTCGTCGCTCTCCCAAACTGCTGAATCGGGCGATGGGGCCATGGTGGGGGTTGGGTGGTTGGTGGGGGTTGGGTGGTCGGGTGGGTTGAGTGTGTCGGATTGAAACACCACCGACCGGATGCAGCTGTGCGCCCGCTGTTTCCAACATTTCTTTTTCTTCTTCTTCTTCTTCTTCTTCTTCTTCCAGCGTGGTGCGGTCCTCTTTTTTTTTTGGGCTTGTTTGTTTTTGTTTTCTTTCCCCTTCGCAGCCGGTTCTTGCTTGACTGTCTGACGACGTTTTTTCCGAGGGGGGAGGGGGGAGAGTAACTTGGCCATGGCCCAACCAGCATTTGGTTACTACTGGCAGCCACGGCCGATGGTGATGGTAATAGCTGGCAGTTAGTTGGCAGTGGCAGTTAGTTGGCAGTGGCAGTTAGTTGGCAGTGGCAGTTATGGGAGTGGCAGTGGCAGGAATGGTGGGATGGCAGGACTAGCATGGCAGCAGTAGCAGGACTAGCATGGCAGGACTGGCATGGCAGTAGTAGCAGGACTGGTTAGTAGCAGGACTGGTACGGTACCAGTGACATATCGTGCAGTACATCTACCTATGTCTGGTACATCCCATCTCTCTCTCATAACTCCCGTCGTATGTAACGTCGAGTAACGTCGAGTAACGTCGAGTACGTCGAGTAACGTCGAGTCGAGCGAGTAACTGTCCTACACGCACTTGGAAATGGCTGTACGCAGGCAGTAAGTACCTAGTCCACAGCCACACACCCACACACCCACACACAGACTACCTACTTACCTACTTATACGCCAACTACGCCATCTACCTACCTACGCCAACTACGCCAACTACGCTACTACGCCATCTACCTACCTACGCCTACTACGCCTACTACGCCAACTACGCTACTACGCCATCTACCTACCTACGCCTACTACGCCTACTACGCCAACTACGCTACTACGCCATCTACCTACCTACGCCAACGACGCCTACCACACCTACTACGCTACTACGCCATCTACCTACCTACGCCTACCACACCTACTACGCCTACCACACCTACTACGCCTACCACACCTACCACGCCTACCACACCTACCACACCTACCACACCTACCACACCTACCTACTACACCTACTACACCTACTACACCTACTACACCTACTACACCTACCAACTTACCTTACCACCTACCTTACTACTGAGAGAGTTACTTACCTCCTCTGTCTCTGTACTTACTCCCTCTCCCTCTCCTCCTCTCCTCCTCTCCTCCTCCCCTTCAACCTACCACAATCTTAGTATACTATACATACCTGCTAAATACCGCCAAATCTCTACCCACCCGTCTCGTCTCTCTAGTACTGAACCATACTGTACTCTCTCTACTAAACCACCTCTTACCACCAATACCACCACCACCACCTACTTCACACACACCCCACCCCCCCGGGCTTGTTCCCATCCTCTCTCCTCCGACGGATCTCTTTCTCCTCTTTCTTCTCTTCCTCCTCTTTCTTTCTCCTCTCTCTCCCCCTTCTCTTTCTCTTCCTCTTCTACTCAAGAACTCTACAACCGCTCCCACGATACTGTTTCGCTCACTTACAGTACCCTCTCACCGTCTCCCCTCCCCCTCCCCCTCTCAGCCAACTACCCCCCACGAAACTCTCCCACTCTCTCAGAGACACTCTCCTCCGGACGATCCACCCTCGAGGACCCCGTACAGTGCACTGTCCCCGCTCCGAGTGAAACCTCCCTCGCTGGGCACCCGCTCCATACTCTATTCAGGACATCTCTCACTCCGCCAATCCTACCCTCACCGACAATTCCACCGCACCGAGTCGACTGTCACCACCAACCTTCCCTCATGAGGTAGCAGACACTCGATCATAAACCCTACCCACACAATACGACGCTGCCTCGAGAGGCCAACGCTCAATAGACACGCCAACAAACACCTTCCATACCCTTCCTCCAACCGAGAAGGTGACCGCCCTCATTGGGAAACACACATCGACGCCCTTCTTGCGAGTGGAGAGAGGTCAGTCCATGGCCGAGGCAACGAACCCCGACTTCATGGAATACCAAATGGACATTGACGACCCAACAATTACTTCCTCGCAGGCCATGGCTCAACCAACATGTCCCTATCGGCCCACCGCAGACACGCCGAATGCCCTGGCAGCCTTCCAGTCCAGCTGGGGATACAACCCTCACCTGGACCCAAACGGACCTTCGTTCGGCTCTCCTTCCCACCCTGGAGGGGCACACTGGCCAGGCATGTCATCTCACAATTCACCACAGCCGGACTCGAGTGCCGGTGGACCTAGCCGCCAGCCTTCACACCCAGGTCACCCCGGAAGCGCTGCTCGCTACAGCCTCACTCCATTCAACCGCACCCCAGACTTTTCTGGCAGCCAACAGCGCTTCCTGCACCCCGAAGAGAACAGGCACCCTGTACCTCGAGTGCCCGACATGGATCGCTTCCACAGTGCGAATGAGAACAGGCAAGGAGAGAGTCAAAATGCAGGACCTGTGCCGTCTGTAGCCACGGGAGTTCCAAACTACAGCTCTCCACTGGACGAAGCAACGCAGAGGAGGAATGAGCTCATGCAGGCCCAGATGCCGAGATCCCAACAAGAACCTCAGTCGAATAGGAATACACGCCAGCCTCCCACCCTGACCGTCCAGTCTACGTTCTTCCCCACACATTTACCGCAGCCTAATTTCACGGGCAGCAGGAGTCCGTCTCACTTCCAGGGAGTCCAGGGAACTCGGGGTGAGCATTCTTCATTTCGTCGTCACGCTGCGCGGTTGCCTTCCATCCGCCGCTTGAGAGCTAACCGGGTAACAGTCGAGGCATTCCAGTACACTTCTCGAAGCGTGTCGGGTCCTCCTCCCGCACAACCGCCCCGTCAAATGACGCATTTTGAACACGAACAGCGCCGTGCTTGGATTCACGAGGCGAACCTCGCATCTGATTACGGGGATGAATCGGACGACGACAGCCTTGACAGCTTCACAAGGCTTGATCAACGAGATCCAGGTAACCCGCCGCCAAACTATGCTGCACAAGGACAGGGGCCTGGCCAGCGTCGACCAGCAAGTAAGTGACATATAATTCCCGAGCTGAGCTCTGGGGGTCGTTGGGCAGCAGACAACCATGAGTGCTGTATTTTCAAAAGCTAATGTACGACAGTGAGCTCTGCGGAAGGTGACGAGCGCGAGCTTGCTATGGAGCGTAACCGGGCAGCCCGGAGAGCAGCTATAGCAGCTGCAAAGCTGGTTGCATCCCCGGCCGCTCTGGCATCACTGGAACCGGTTGAGCTGTCTAGCCTGACGGGAGATGACCGAAGTGAGTACATCTATATCTAGCTTCTCAACATCCCAAAACTAACCATCGCAGACTGCATCATCTGCTACAACGAGTTCGGCATCAAGAACCCGGACGGAAACATCGAATGCGCAGTCCGACTCCCCAAATGCAAACACATCTTCGGCGACCACTGCCTGAAACACTGGCTCAAAGACTCGGACAGCTGCCCCTACTGCCGTGACAAGCTACCCTCGGAGCCTAAAAAGAGCCACGCAGAAGAGATGCGTCGTCTATTCGTCCTCAACCGCCCCGCAACCTCGAGCGCCCAACAGCACAACGGGCCCATGACAGCCGAAGAGCGCGCCGCCGCCTTCGCAGCTATGGAAACCCGTCATATGGGACAGGCATACATGAACCGTGCACAAGTGCAATCGCAGCTGCACGCCCTCTACGCTCTCGAAGCACAGAATCGCGCACGTCTAGAGAATGCCGCGCTGGAGCAGTCAGAGATGATTATGAGGTAACCCCCCTTGCCACTTCCCACCCCCTCCAGACCCCAGCATCTGATTGATGCCCACGTTTCCGAAAACTGACACGAATAGGCATAACATTCAACGCCAGGAAGAGTGGGCAGCGATGCACCACTCCCACGGCGTCCCGCTCGGTAACCGCCCAATGCAGGATAACGAGACTCGCCGCCGCAACAGGCGCGGGAACAGCATCCGTAACTCTACCGGCAACAGTGGCGGGGCAGCAGCGCGATTCTTGGGTGCCGCCGCGCATCGGTCCGGGTCTACTCCCAATCCCAATTCCAGTTCCGGCCCTTCTGCGCATTCGAATCCGAATGGCAACTCGAACTCCCGCCCGCCAGCGATAACGACCAGGAATATCTTCGACACCGCCAACACCGTCGCTGCGATGCTGGGGCAACCACGCTCTGTGACGCCGCACCCCAGCGTCCTCGAGAATGGCGGCGCGACACCCGCCTCTCTGGGGAGCAGGAGGTCCTCCCTATCCGCGGACAACCCAGCCAGGGATGAGGCACGCGACATGGCGAGAGCGCAGATGTTGGGGATACCGCACCTTCCGCCGACGCAGGTGGGGGATATTGAGGCGCAGATGGCGATGGCGAGTCCGACTATTGAGTTGTTTGGGGCGGAGGAGAGGGTGTGGACGGGGGCGGGGAGACCGGTAAGTGAGGGGTTTGTTGGCGCGGGGGTGGGGGCGGGGATGGGGGGGTTTCAGGCGGGGGTTATGGATGGGGGGGGGGGAGGAGGTGGGGGGGGCGAGGGGGTAGGGTGGTGATGGGTGTGTGGGTGGTGGGTGGTGAGTTGGAGAGATGAGTGGTGGAGAAAGGGGGGTGATGAACATATGCATATCGACGCGCCTTTGCATTCCCTCGCACACTGGGGGGGGTTTTCTTCCGTTTCTTTTCTACATGGCTTACGCCACGCTGGGACAGGGTGGGGATGGGGGTACTGTAGCGCCTTCTATGGCGGGGGTTTATTTATGGGATGGGACTTGACTTGCTGGATGGGTTGGGATGGCTGGGGGATGGGGATGTTTGGAGTTTTATTTTGGTGATCCGTGGCATGGAGCATTTGCATGGTTTTGATATTTAGCTTTCGGGTTGGGGCGGGGAAATGGGGGGCGGGCGGGCGGGAAGCGGGGGAGGGGGATTATTACATACAGACATACAGAACACATGATAGGGGGAGTAGCCTGGCAGAATGGAGGGAGGATGGAGGTGGTGGGATGTGGGATGGCATGGTGGGGATCTCAGCTCTGCTCTACCCTGCTCGGCTCTTGGCTTTGGGTGGTGAGGGATGGGAAGGGGGGGGTTAATTAAGAGCTTTTCTCACGAGGTCTTATGTCTCTTTATTTCGATGTGTGTGAGGATGTGAGATGGAATTAGTGTAGTAGGGGGTTGGAATATGGCATGGCGTCTTAACATCTAACATCTTAACCTACCTGCATACACATTACCTCCCTCCCCCCCCTCCTCAAGTCCCTCCATTAACCCCCCCTATAGCGACTTAACTTCTTACCTCGCCCCTACTCAACTTAACAAACTAACCACCTAAGAGAGCACCATCTATATGTAATCCCCTACTACCCCCCCCCCAAACCATCTATGGTTCTATATAATCACCCTTCCTCCAACTATGTAGGTTCAGCACTATAACCCCTACGAACTTCCTAGCTTTATTGAATGGCACGGCGTGAATTTTATGAGAGGATGCGAGGTGTTGTGGTCGTAGTGTAGATGGTTTATTATACATTCATCAGGTAGACAACCGTGAGAACATTTCAGTGCGCAGCACTAAAGTTTCATGTCATGATGATAGGCGTTTTTATTTTTCTGCGTACCCAACATAGTGAGAATAGTACCAACCGTAGCAATCAACAAAAGAAACCCGCGAAGAAACGAGTGTATTGCCGTCATCATCCTCCCCCCATACAACATGCCAAGCTCCTGCTTCCCTCCATGTTTCCTTCTTCTTCTTTCACCAGCGTGCGAGATGAAATCGAATCCCCCCTCACCAGCAAAGAATCCCAAACAATCTACCCCAGGCAAATAGCGGTGCTGGAGCGGCACCTCCCAACGATCTCAGGCGACCCAGGCCACAAAAAGTACCCAGCCTGATACATCCCGCAACCCTTATCCATCGCCCACATAGCATACTCGATATCCTTGATATCCAGATTCCCCTGGGTATGCAGCCCATTGATGCAATAATACACATACACCCCCTTCCTATTAAACCCATAGTAGTTCCGAGTGTTCCCAGAAGCGAGATCCACGCCCGCCGTCCCAGCCCAGTCCTTCAACTCCCTCACGCCGTCGTCGGTCCCGCCGTGGTCGAGCTCGTAGCCCCAGCAACTGGTTAGGCGCTTGGAAAGTGCGTTGTCGGAGCGTTTGGCTTGTTCGGTGGCGGGTTTGACGAGGTTGAAGGTGTAGGTCGAGCCGCTGTCTAGGGAGGTCATGGTGGTGGAGCCGTCGCGGTGGTTGGTGCCGCTGTAGGCGCCGTCGGGGAGGTTTTCCATGCCGGCCCAGTGGCTGGCCGCGCTGGCGCTGGCGAGGGCGAGGAGGGTGAGGGTTGGGAAACGCATGGTGGTCTTTGAGAGGGTGGTGGGAAGGATAGTAGATTGGGTTTGGAGGATGCTTTGGTTTGTTGAATGGTGAATGGACTGAGAGGAGGTCTCTCTTTTATAATCGATTTAATATTGTATAGCATGCAAATGCTAGAGGTTTTGCTCGGCTTTGGTTATAATGAAGGATCCTGCTGCCCTACGGCGTTGCGAAAACTATCACGTACAGTGATTGGCTTATGTTTCACTCAGCTTGTAGGATTCTAATAAATGACCCTCCTACTGTTGAGAAGACTGCTGCGTTCGTTGGTTGACTGGTGTTCTACTCGGGCTGCAAAATCCAAATGAAGAATCCTAATGAATGGTCGTCTTGCCCTACGGCACTGGGAAGACTGCCGCATACAATGGACTCCTCCAACCAATTCCAATTCAAAGCCAACCATGGCAAGACATCTCTCTCGACTTTATCACAGGACTGGTTGGGCTCATGCTCCTGGAGGAGCCGCTGTTGTGTAACTGTCTTAGCATGGGGAATGTAGGACAATTTGGCCAGCCGAACTAAATTATCACTCTGGCATTCAGTGAGCATGCAACCGGGAAGAAGAGCACCAAGTAGTATAGTGTATAGAACAGTAACATAAAATCAATTGACTAACTACGAATATCTACTAGGCCTCAGCTACTATATAAGCGCCAGTGGTTACCAGCTCAAACCCCGATTTGTGCTAAGCTATATGCTAGATTCTTGCCTAGCTGTCCAGCTTGTGTTAAGCTTACTGAATACGCCCAGCTGAACCCTTAGCTAGGTAGTTAAGCTTACTGAATACGCCCAGCTGAACCCCTAGATAGGTAGTTAAGCTTACTGAATACGCCCAACTAAACCCCTAGTAGGTAGATCACTCCAGCTCCGGATATATGGCTAGACTACTGGTGCCACGAAGAGTCTGAGCAACAGGTCATATTCTGGCTCAGAAGCCTAGTGGCCTTAGTGTCGACTTGTAATCAAAGATACCTATCTTTGATTACAAGTCGACACTAAGGCCACTAGGTAGGGTGGAAAGTAAGCAGCACGACTTGAAGGCGGGCTTGCACGTAGGAGCTGGATTCACGACAGCAGCGCATGCTCTCGTAGAAACCTCATTCTTGCTGATATGAGTAGCCCAGTTTAGGAACACTGTTTCTATTGGCTCTAGGGCCACATGGGCAGCTATACTTTCATATTCCACAGCCCTGTGTCTGCGGGATCGTATGTTTCATTTCATGTTGAAACATGTTCGGCCAACCAGAAGGGCAGGCCTTCGGTATGGGGTGAGACCTGCCGCTGACGGCATTGCGGGCACTAATTGTTTCACCGTAACTTACGGGTGGAACGGCACTCTCGGGGCTAAAGCTAATGCCTAGATAATTAGCTATTCAGTTGATGCCTTTCTTCTTATCTGCTTACATTATTGTATTTTGTGCTCTTATTCAGGTTGTGATATTCTGTACGTAATGAAAGTGAGAACGTTATCTCAGTGGGTAGTAGTAACCCTGTGATATCCCAGGGCCGAGCCGAGTTATCACTTTCAGTACGTACAGAATATCACAACCCGAATAACAGCACTATAGTAGAATACAACAGGCACAGCAGGCAGTATGGCATCAATTGAATAGTCTATAGGAGCAGGAATGTCCCCCAGTAATAAATATGCACTCGAGTGTAGATCTTCTGCTGATTCTACCTAATGCTAGGGTACAGTCGGACCGGCATAGGTAATGTAACGATGTACGGTTACGCTCGCGCTACATCCCACTGAGCCAAAAAGACTACAGTATTCCGGCTCGCCCGGAATACGCGTAACACGCTTTATATACCACATGTACTGTAACGGCGGCACCCGTTACAGGTAACTATGTCCGTGTCTCTCTAGCATTACACGAACAGGAACCACGAACAGAGCCTCGTGATCTCATGAAGTCAGATTGTAGGAAGTAACGCTCCGTCAAACTCCAACCTTAGTTTGTATTTTGTTGTGCCCTGCTAGAGACGTAGGAATATGACCGAGTTACCTGCGTCTAAGTCGTATTCGTCGGGGGTCAGCACTAGGCGAAAGCCAAGCTATGTCCTCCTGATGCATCTACACACAGAAGGGAAGGTCGCCGTTGTCCTAAACGGCTTCGGTGGTGAATATGCATCCACCGCCGAGACCTTCTTACCCCCCTGGCCGGCCGGCACTAGATTAGCAGAGGTGCACTACCCCGCTCAACAAGATCCAACAGGCACGTTTAGAAGAGGCTGGGCAAGAGAAATACTCTATAGAATAGTAACTTCTTGCGCAGACTATGCCTACATCAGGCCCATAAATTAGAGCACTATAATTGATCCTTCCAACATAATTAATCCTACCACCGCAATTGATCCTACCGCACGAACCATCTGACGTAGTCTTACGGCCTCGGCAATAGAGAATGCAGTTCGGTCCATTTTCGCGCTTTAATTAACCATACCTCGACGCTTGAGGACTGCATGCTCTTTCAGAAAGGCTAAAAAGCAGGGAAAAAATCGAGGTTATGGTTCTGCGAAGCGTTCATGTGCCACGCCGCGGTTCTAGATGCAACGAGGCCAAGGCGAAGGATCCGTTAGGTAGGATCATGCTGTGCAAGCTTAACAGGGTGAAAGCGCAACGGCCGATATTAAAAGGGAAAGGAAGGCAGGGAGAGACGATTGGGGAAATAGATCAATCGAGAATTCTATGGTTTTTTAGACAGGTATCTTAAAATGAAAATATGAGAGTGGTATTCGGTATTCGCTTACTGTGACAGACGTACAGTTTTTGCTTTCGGATTCGGATTTCCTTCTTAGGTCCGCGGCCCGCGGAAGGAAGGAGGAAGGAACTGAGAAGGTGAGGGGTAGATAAAGAGGCTCCCCTGGCAAGGCACCATGCATACTGTACAGCTAGCAACAAACGGCCAGCCCCCTCACTCTTCAATCTTTCCGGCTTCCCGCGCGAGTTGGGGGACCGGGGGCGGGTACCTACCTATCTAACTACCTGCAGTCTACCTGTTTCGGTAAAGTAACGGCGGGGAGGTGAGTTTGTTCGTTTCGGTCCGTTTCTGTGTTAAGATCCTTTCAGGAGGTGTTCCGGGATCCCGTATTTCCATTTTTCTGGTTTGTGAGGGACGGGGCTGGGAGTGGGGGGGGCTGATGAGAGGACTGTGTTTGTGGAGTTGGACGGGATTGGTAATATCAAACAGCAGTTCTTCACCAAGACATATTCACAGGAGGTGTTTCGAGCTTCAACTCCATTGTATGGACAACTAGTTCTCAACCCAACTTCTTCCACCGCGTCATATCCTGCCACGAGATAGACAGCCTAACGCCATATAAAATGGTATCATGACCAGACAAAAACACCTCCCAATGCCCTTAAAACAGTCGCTGGAACGCCCCTCCCCTTTCCCATCCCCCACTCACTCCTCTCCCTCCCCCGCCAACACCTCAGCAATCCAATCCGCCTGCACCCCTGAACACTTCTTGGCATAATTCTTATTCGTGAAAACATGTTCCAGAAACATGACCGCCTCCCTCTTCCGGCCAAACATCACACTACTCGGATGCACAACCACCACATGTTTACCCCTGACCGTTCTATACGCTCCGTCGGCGCCGAGGACGGCCGTGCGACCTACAAATGCTTTCAAAAAACACCTGAGCAGCTCTTCTCCGGCCTCTTCGGACATTGGAATAAATTCCCCCTCCGCCGCGTCATCGAGCTCGGCAATATCGGTGCTGCTGACCAGACCCGCGCTCACGCACGCTGAGCGAAGTTGTCGACGGACAGACATCCCCGTCTCCATATGCCTGGCATTCACACCCCGAATACCACACCATCTCTTCCTCTCCCCCGCCGCCTCGCGGACATACTTCTGCATCGTCGTGAGCTGGGTGAGGATGTCGCCTTCGCGCCTTAACAGGTCTTTACGCGCGTCTTCGGCCGCGAGACGTGCTTCTTCAGAGGTGGGCTGGATGAATATATCGTCCCCACTCAACACCGCAATCGCGTCGATGGCGGCGAGGAGACAGGCGGGGGAGGTGCGCGAGGCTGCGACTAAGACGCGGGCGTAGTTCGGCGAAAGTGGAAACTGCGCCATTGTTCTTCCGGTTTTATTCAGCTCCCCTGTAGCAGAGAGGGCGCCAATGGTATGTAAATGCGTCAAAGCCTTCAACATCGCGTCCCTTGGCGGGGGCGAGAGGAGGGGAAAGCTGAAAATATCGTCGATGCCTCTAGCTTTCATCTTTAGCACCGCCTCCACGACATCCGCGCGCAGAATCTCGGGGCGTTCAACGGAGCTGAGGGCGTTGTATTGTTCCTCGGTGTAGAGCCGCCAGACTTTTCCGGGGGCTTCACGACCAGCGCGACCGCGGCGCTGGATGGCGGAGGATTGCGAGATTGGTTTGGCGAGGAGAGATTGTAGGCCCAAGTGTGGGCGGTACTCCTTAACCTTCGCCTTCCCCGTATCAATGACGTAGCGTACACCGGGGACTGTAATAGAAGTCTCGGCGATATTAGTAGCCAAAATACACTTCCTCGCATTCTTAACGAGCGGGCGCGCGAAAGCGAGTTGTTGCTTCTCAATACTCAATTGCCCAAACAGCGGCGTACATTCCAATCGCGGGAAGGACTTGACCAACTGCCCAGCCTGCGCGACAACGCGCGCGAGCAGAGATTCAATTTCATCCTGTCCGCTGAGGAAGACGAGGATGTCGCCTGGCATGGGCTCAGTAGTGTGGATGTGGAAGATCGTGCGGAAGGAGGCTTCGAGGAGGTCGGGGAGGGCAGCGGGGACGTAGAGGGTTGAGACGGGGTGTTGGCGGCCGGAGATGCGGTAGGTTATTGTGTTGTTTTTGCCCTTCAGATCGAAGATGTCGAGGGCGGGTTTGGAGGGCGGGGAGACGGGAGTGTCGAGATTGTCCGCGGGTGAGGAGGTGGGGGTTGAGCCGGCGGGGGAGGCGGCGGCGGAAACAGCGGAGGAGGAGCTGCCTTTGATGGTGTCGCTGAGGCCGGACCAGGAGGAGTAGGAGAATGTTGAGGAGCGTCTTGATTCAATGGCTGGGTGTCCTTCAATATCGTCGCCGTCTAAGATAGCTTCTGGAGGGGGAGTGGTTGTAGCAATCCACTCCTTGATGAGGCCTGTTGGCTTGACTCCATTCGTCTTGCGCTGTTTACCACCACCATTTGTGGTTGCGGGCGCAGGAACTGCCTCCGGGATCGTGAAATACTCCTGCAGCTTCTCGATATCTGCCGTCGCCGACATAATAACAACCTTCAATGGGATCCCACCTCTCCCACTCAAATCTCCAGTAAGGGTATTCTTCAAAAACCCCAGCAGAAGATCTACATCCACACTCCTCTCGTGAACCTCATCAACAACAACGCAACTATACTTCCTCAGATGCCGATCCCGCAGCAGCTCCTGCAACAACATCCCCTCAGTAAGAAACTTAATCTTCGCCCCTCTCGGCACGTTCGACTCAAACCTCACCGCATACCCAACCCTATCCCTCTCATTACAATGCGGACCCAAATACGACCCCGTCTCCGCCGCCACTCTCTGCGCCAGCGAAATCGCAGCGACTCGTCGGGGCTCGGTAATCGCAATCATACCTCCCACAGCGACACTCTCCCCCTTGATGACCACGCTCTTGCGCACCATCCATGGCTCGTTCATCAGGAATTGAGGGACCTGTGTGGATTTTCCGCTTCCAGTCTCACCAGCGAGGAGCATGATGTTGCCTTTGTATCGGAGGCCGTATTTGATGTCCGGGCCGGATAGCCAGATGGGGAGTTTTCGACGCTCTTGGAGTATCTTTTTCTCCTTCTCGTCGAGGAGTCGTTGGCTGGGGCGTAGGCTTCCTGTGGCGCCATTGGTAAGGCCAATGGGCTTTTGTTTCTTGCCAAATGGTGATGGTTTTCGGGCGTCATTTGCAGTCGCGGATTCTGCTACCACAGCCTTCTTGATCCCGTTTACTTGGGCTGTCACGAGCTTCACTGCTCCCTCCGCTGAGGTCTTCTTCCCTCCACTGACACTGCTAGCGGCCGGCGACGCGGGTTCCGTCAGCGAGATCTTCTTCGCGCCATTCCCATTCACAGCACCCGACCTCTCCGGCTCGGCAAACGAAGTCTTCTTCGCGCCATTCCCGTTGACAGCTGGTTCAGCAAACGAAGTCTTTTTCGCGCCATTCTCATTGACAGCAGGCTCCACAAACGAAGTCTTTTTCGCTCCATTCCCATTGACAGCAGCAGGTTCAGCAAACGAAGTCTTCTTCGCGCCATTCCCATTCACAGCTCCCCCCCCACTGTTGTCCTCAAACGAGAACTTCTTCGCCCCATTCCCATTAACCGCGCCCTCCTCCCCCGCCAACCGCCGCCTCTTCTCATCTCCGCTCTCCCCGACCCGTCCCTTCTCCCCGTTCACGCTTATGCTCCTCTTCTTGGAATTCGGCTCTTGGGAAGATTCGGACATTGTTGCTGTGGCGGTCTCGTAGCTGTCGGACTTATCTTTCATCCTCGGCTTCATCTCTCGGATTTCGCCTTGTGTATTGTCTCGCGTAGAGGCGTAGAGTAAGTCCCGAGGCGCTGTATATAAATTCGCCTTGCCGGAATTGGCAAGTGGGCGCTAATATCAATCCGCAAAAGCTTTCCGTCCCTTTGTGCGCGCAAAGGGTTTTGAAAGTGGAAAGCGTTTGGATGCTGCTGCGGATTTATTATTTTTTTCTAGATAGGCGTTATCCTAGAAGTTGGGGTTCGCTTATCGGCATAGCGTTGTTCCTGGGCCTAAATGATTGGAGAGCATCTATCTAAGAAGTGCATTTTGGTGGGGGGATTCGCGATATGTGCTGTAAAATAATAGATTAAATAAATTAAATTACATGTTTAGTCTGAGTAGTAACCTTCGGCCCTGTTTTATGCCACCCTAAAACCTCTAAAATCACGTGGCTATATATCAGCGCTTGTCGCTTGTCGCTTGTCGTACCAAACTCCGGCCCACTTATAGAACTACCACGGCTTCTTCACAGTTATCATATGAGACAACGAGAGAACGAATTTTTTTTGTGACATAAGCTTTAGCGTATAAAAGCGTCCTCTACTGAAAGACAGTTGTAGTCTAAGCAGTGAGAGGTAGATGTGATAAACGAGAGCCCAGTAGGAGGCAAGTCGGTGTTTTCGCCACCACCACACTTAAACGGACTATATCTGTATTCTTCACATACGGCCATAGACTCAAAGAGACTTGGGTACCTTAAATACTTCGATGTGCCTAACCTATAACATACAATGGAGTCTATTTGTCCTTACTTGTCACAGAGGGCTGCGGCGGATCCGGATACCGCGCCTGCTGAAGGAGAGGCAAGGGGTGCTGCTGACGAGAGCGATGCGTTTGCGCCGGCTGTTGATACCTTCTCCACTTCCACCGAGTACGTTCTCCACGTCGCGCTACCCGGCGCTCGCAAGGAAGACGTCAGCGTGAACTGGGATGCCGAGAAGGGCGAGCTCAATATCGCTGGTGTTGTGTACCGCGCGGGCGATGAGGAGTTCATCGCTAGTTTGAAGACTGGGGGGGTGTGTTTGAGAGGAGCGTGAAGTTGCCGCTTGAGGGGGATGAGAAGGTGGAGGTTGATGGGGAGGAGATTAGTGCGAAGTTGGAGGATGGGGTGTTGGTTGTTAGGGTGGGGAAGGTGGTTAGAGAGGAGGCTTGGACGGATTTGAAGAGGGTTGAGGTTTTGTAGATGGTGCAGCCTCTAGGAGTCTCGTTTTGTGTTTCTTATAGGTTATGGGAGTTGGAATTCTTTGGATAACTTGGGGTATATGGATAATAGAGAATAACTTAACTCTGTCTGTGTATGTTTAATCACTGCAACGTAAATGGTGAAGTATTAACATACACATACCAGCCTCAAATCACATCCCTTTTTCAACAAGTCAGCACATTCTAGCTTCCTTCTAGAAAACAATCGGCGTCGGCATGGAATGTCTCAAAAGTGACTCTGATAAACGGACTTAGAAAGTGTGGCGCAGCAATATTTGCCACTGTGGCATAAGTTACGATGACTTCCCCACCCGTCGTTCTCGGGCCAACGACGCCATTTATATTTGCCATCGTTGACAGATAGCCCTATTGCTCCAACACCACCACTGTTGACCATCACCAAAGGGCTGCTAAAGCTTTGACATCGCGCAGACTTAATAACTGGTCGCTATTACAAGGAGGCTATAGCTGTTTTGGCCGTGAGCATAGCGATTTTGAGGTTCTGTTCGATTGCGACACTGTGGAAAGACATAGTCCGGTACTATCGGCAAGACAAAGAGGTCTGAAACTGCGCCGGGAGAAGAAGAAGTTTTCAAAGGATACTAGGCTGCCCTCGCAATTCCCCAGGGACAAAGCTCAATCATTACCGAGCGAACGTTGCGGACACTTGTTATCTCTCAGCCTCACCTTACCTTCACATCACCTCCCTGACTTCTCGCCACAAACGCCAACATGTCGGACGACGAGAGCCAAGAGAGCCTCGACTACCTCCAATCCAACTTTGAACCCTCCTCCCTCACCGTCCCCCGCCTCCGCTCCATCCTCGTCTCTCACGACATCCCCTACCCCTCCGGCGCGAAGAAACCACAGCTCGTCGAAATCTTCACCGACAAAGTCCTCCCTCAGTCCCGCAAGATCCTCTCCGCCCGCTCCCGCGCCCGCCGCACAAGCAAAGGTATCACCAACGCAGATCGCTCCGATGCAGGATCCCTAGAGGACGAACAACCCATCCTCCCCCCACCATCCGCTAGCCGAACGAAATCCGCCAGGAAGCCATCGGCAAGAATTAGAGAGGACACCGTCGACTCTGAGGAGCCACGCGCACGCACTCGCTCGCGATCACCCGTTAAACAAACCCCCCGCATCACCAGCGCCAAGCACGCCCGTGCCGCAACCGAAGACAGCAGCGAGCCCGACACCATCCGTCGGACCGTGCGAAAAACCCGCAAGACCGAAGCACCCGTCGTCAAGCCCGAAGATGTCGATGAAGATTTCCCCCGCAAGGGCGCGGCGTTCAGCTACGATAACCCTTTCCAGAGCGGCTCCTCGCCCATCTCCTCCTCCCGCAGCCCTAGCGGTGAGAGACGCAGGAAGACACTCCACGAGACGCCTGCGAAGCGCAAGTCTAGCGCTACGCCTCGCCGTCGCACGGCTGATATCACGCAATCCCGCGCCGATGACGGGATCACCCCGCCTTCGAGCGCGACATTCGAGCTCTCTCACGTTCTGATGGATCACCCCATCGACTTTGACGATAACGCCGTCGAGACTAGCGAGGAGTTCACACCGGAGGAGCAGCTGCAACTTGACTCTGAGCGCGCCGCTGGCCGAGCATTGGGCCCCGTTGCAAGGCGACCGAAGAAGAAATCCTCGGGTGGATTTAACGCCAAGGGTCCCCTTTGGGTAGTCTTCCTCACCATGCTCGGCGGCTACGCAGCCTGGTACCGACAGGAGAAACTAGCTGTCGGGTACTGTGGCGTCGGTCGCCCCGCTGCACCTATCGTGTCGAGCAAACTCGAGCATTTACCAGATTGGGCCCTTGCGCTGGCGGAACCGGAGTGTGAAGCTTGTCCGCAACATGCGTTTTGCTATGAGCGTCTCGAGACGGCCTGTGAGCCTGATTTCGTCCTGCGCCCTCACCCGCTCGCGCTGGGTGGTGTGGTGCCGCTACCGCCTACGTGTGAGCCGGATGGGGAGAAGGTGAGGAGGATTAAAGTCGTTGCGGACCGCGCGGTCGAGGAATTGCGGGAGCGAAAGGCGAAGTTCGAGTGTGGAGCCAAGGAGGGGGGGGGGGAGGTGGTGAAGGTTCCGGAGATTGGGGAGGAGGAGCTGAAGAAGAGGGTTAGTGAGAAGAGGAGGAGGGGGATGGAACAGGCGGAGTTTGAGGAGTTGTGGGCGGGGGCTATTGGGGAGATTATGGGGAGGGATGAGGTGGAGGTTGTTAAGGATGAGTGAGTCTTTCCCCGTGTTTCTTTTTTCCCGTTGTTGCGCATCTTTCGTGTTTCAAGCCCAACTCTCACTTTCATCCGGATGAAGCACCTACCAAGTGGTGGGTGTCCTCGTCCGCTTTCATTGCGCACATCAAATCTACATCTATCCCCAACTAGTACTACAACCATCTGACGACAAGGAACTAACCAGGTCCCCCCCCTCCCCCTTAGACCAACCACCCCAGGACATCCCCGCCTTTCGAGTAGCTCCCTCGCAAAGATCCCTCTTTCCTGCGCCCTCCGTCGATCCCTCCGAGTCGCACTGGCAAGACATCGCCTCCAGATTGCAATTCTTGCGCTAGTCGCCACGATCCTGCTCTACGCGCGCGCTAAGTACTCGTCCTACCTAGCTATCTCCGCGAAGATTCCGGAGCTCATATCGCTCACCCTCGACCGATTAGCGGAGCAGGCCGCGAGACATGCGATGGACCCTGCGCAGTATCCCGAGGCGTATATCCCCATCTCACAACTCCGCGATGACGTCCTCCGCGATGAACACTCCCTGACCAAACGCGACGCCATATGGCAAAAAGTCCGGAACGTCGTCGAGATGAACGCCAACGTGCGCTCTGCACAACGCCAAGACCGCAACGGCGAGATTGCGAGGGTGTGGGAGTGGATCGGCGCTGTCGCCGGGCTGGTCGCGGAGAGGGAAAGGAGGAAGGGTGGGAGGGTTAGCTGGGGGGAGTTTGGGGAGGCGAGTAGTCCCGTTAGTGGGACGGATGGGGGGCCGGAGGTTGTGCAGCAACGGTGGCAGGAGGGGAGGCCGATTTATTAGTTGTGGTTATAGTTGTAGGAATTTTGTACGTTTTTTTTGTTTTTGTTGGTGGTTGACGACGGCGTTTATGGGAGGGCTGGGTGGTACAGTACTTGGACAGTTCGCCACTATGGCTGGTATGCGAAGACGACGGGAGATTAGTTAGTTAATATCGCCATTCAATTACATATATGTTAAATTAAACCATCCTATACTTGCACTCTAAATGATGCTGAAGCCAAGAACCCTTTCAGCGCCCATTACTCGGGGGTTTTCTCCGTCCCCCACCGCCAACCCCTCCATAGCACGTGACACTCATCCCACTTCGCTCCACGACTCAAAATCGCCCTTGCCTCAACAAAACCTCAAAAATTAGCCACCTCTCCCCCTCGCGCCCGCCACATCACCGCCTCCTCTCTTCTTTCTCTTTCAAGCCTCTCTCTCATACGCAGCCTCACGCAATGGCGGCCCCAGCCCCCACCACTCCCCCAGCCATGGACCCCGCAGCCTCGATCGCGCTGATCAAATCCAACCTCGCCGAAGTGCTGAACCCCGAACTCATCGACGACGTGATCCTGACCCAAAAGCGCGCGCTGAAAGTGTACTGGGGCACTGCGACGACGGGACGCCCTCACTGCGCGTACTTCGTGCCGATCATCAAGATCGCCGAGCTGCTCGCTGCGGGATGCCATGTTAAGATTTTGTTGGCGGATATACATGGGTACCTCGATAACATGAAGGCGCCTCTCGAGCTCGTGGAGTTCCGCGCTGCTTACTACTCGAGGTTGATTAAGGCTTTACTTCGCGCGGTGGGCGTGGATTTGAGTCTACTTGAGTTCGTGCTGGGGAGCTCGTACCAGCTGGGGAAGGAATACACGATGGACCGCTTTAAGTTGGAGGGTGTGACGCGGATCAGCGTCGCTCAGAAGGCGGGAGCGGAGGTGGTGAAGCAGACTGACGACCCGACGCTGGGGGGATTGATTTACCCCTTAATGCAGGCGCTTGATGAGCAGTACCTTGACGTCGATGCGCAGTTTGGTGGTGTGGATCAGAGGAAGATTTTCACCTTCGCCATGGAGAATCTCCCGCGTATCGGGTATAAAGTCCGCGCGCATCTGATGAATACGATGATTCCCGGGCTGGGGGAGGCGGCGAAGATGAGCGCCAGTGATCCGGATAGTAAGATTGATCTCCTGGAGGATGAGAAGGGGGTAGAGAAGAAGCTGAAGAAGGCGGTGTGTGTGCCGAGGAAGGTGGAGGGGAATGGGCTGGTTGCGTTTGTGGAACATGTTATCTTCCGCGCGGTGGCGTTGAAGAATGGGGGGGTGGCGAAGTATGTGGTGGAGAGGAGGGAGGGGGAGGCGTTGGTTTATGAGGATGTGGAGGCGTTGAAGAAGGATTATGAGGCCGATATTGTGAGTTTTGTTTTTGTTACCTCCCTTACACACATCAACCCCCCCCCCCTTAACCACTACTACTCTCTTGAAAACTATAGTCCGAAGTACAATTACTAACATCCCCACCCAGTTAACACCCCAACTCCTCAAATCCTCCCTCACCACCGCCCTCAACGCTCTCCTCGACCCCATCCGCGCCGAGTTCGCCGCCGACGCCGAATGGCAAGAGATCGAGGCAAAGGCCTATCCCGTCGTCAAGGCTGAGAAGATAAAGACGAAGGTTAAGAAGGATAAGGGGGATCCTGCTAAGCGCGCTGCTGCTGCTGCTGCGAGGAAGGGGGTGGTGGTTGTCCAGGGGGATGGGAGCGTGGAGGCGGGGATTGAGGGGGTTAAGGAGGAGGTTGTGTTGGGGACGGGGACGGGGACGGGGACGGGGGTGGATGGGGTTGCGGAGAAGTTGGAGAGTGCTAAGGTGGAGTAGATAGATAGATGTTCGTGTGTGGGGGGGAGGATGGGGAAAAGGGAGGGAAAAGGCGTTGTAAGTGCGTGCATATGGATGAAATTACGAGATGAAAGATTAGCATGAATGACGGAAGAATGGGAGATGGTTGAATACCCCTTTTTGAGATATGAAAAGGGGATTCGGGATTCGAATATTACGTACGTGTTTTTATGTTTGATTTTTGAAGGAAGGCATGTTCAGACTCCCCAGGAGACGGAAGTATATTCATGTAAAACGAGTCGCAGTTCGCGCCTTGATATACTGTCGTCCTTTCCTCCAAACTCTTTTCGTAGTCTAACCTCATAACCATCATCGTACAATGCAACCCCCCTCCCTCATTCCCATCCATTCTTTTCGTGTGCATGCGCCAATAATCCCAATCCCATCTATCCCATCCCAACCCAATACCAAAACGCTAATGCCAATCGCTAACCCATGCTCTCAAAAACGCTCAGTCGCTGCAAAAGATAATGCTCATACAACAGAGGCACTCAGTCTCTCGCGAGACTTTGCCTGCGTCAACCCCCCCCCAGTCAGCAGCTCACAGCCACTCCCCAACCCAAGCCGCCGCAACGGCAAAAACAACACCACAAGCCACACCAACGACGTTCGGTCCACTCACAGCACCCGCGCCCACCGGCACAATCTTGCCATTACTGGCCACGACCCACCCGCTCGGCACCCCCTCCACCACAATCGTCTGGGACGCCTCCCCCTCCCCCCTGCCTTGCCCCGCCGGCACAGACGGCGACAGCGACGTCACAGCCGGGGCCTCATTCGTCGTAGCCGTCGCCCCCTTATTCGCACCAATCTTCCCGCCATTCGACACGATATCCGCCATATTACCGCCATTCCCTTTGTACTCGTACGAGGTTCCCGTGGAGTAGTCCGTGATCGCGATGGAGGCGACGACCATGCTGAAGGGCCCCTTTGAGAAATCCGTCGGGCCGCGCGCCCAGGCGATGGTGCCGGGGGCGTTGGCAGGATCGCCGCCGGACCAGGTGCCGAATTTGACTTGCATGGGGGATTGGGGGTATTGGTTTGCGTCTGCGTCTGCGGCGTTGAGGACGCGGACGACGGAGCCGGAGATGGACCAGATGATCTGGGTGGCTGTCCATTCGATGTCGTAGGTGAGGAATTGCTGTTGGTTCTCGGAGGTTTGGTGGAAGGCGCCGCGGTTGTAGGTGGTTACTTGGCCTTTGCCGAAGTAGTTGGATTGGGCTTCGTTGGGGGTGGCGCCGAGCCATTCGAAGTCGATCTCGTCGAAGGTGTCGGAGACGAGGACGACGGAGCTGACGATGCCGGCGCCGGGGGCGGCTTTCATGGTGACGGTGACTTTGCCGAACATGATGTAGAAGCGGCTGTTTAGTTGGGGGGCGTTGCCGGAGGCGGCGACGCTGAGGTGGACGCCGTCGGTTTCGTAGGTTGGGTTGCCTTGGGCTGTGAAGGAGTCGACTGCTCCTTGCTTGAAGTCAACGCTGATTGCTCGGCCTAGTGCTGGGTCTGGTGGGCAGGCTGGAGGGGTGTCAGTGGCTTGGCTAGATAATGATGGGGGGTCGAGGCTTACTGGTATGGAGAGGATTGCAGTTTGCGGTTGTCTGAGCAGTAGTTGGTGTTGATAGCAGAGATATCGATGCTGCTGCCAGCACGGCGGCGAGCTGTGAGAATTGCATGATGAGGATTTGGTTGGTGGAAGGAGTGGTAGTCTTGACGGCGGTGGTTGCGGTTGGAGTCGAGTAGGGCAGAGAGCCAAGGTAGTGTAAATCCGGACCATGCAGTGTCCGAGGTTAACAAGGGATGATGACGGGTAAAGGCAGATCGAGATATTAGCCAAGGGATTGGAATAGTTTGTTGGAAGAGGTCTGGAATAAAGTGGAATAAAGTGAAATAAAGGAAGGGTTGAGTGTGGTCTTTATGAGGGACCAAGTCGTGGTGATGGTAGCAGGGAAAGAGAAAAAAGCGTCAGCAAACGGGAGATTAATAAAGATGGAGGTTGGTGATGGTTGACGGCTGGTGATTCTGGTGATGCTGGTGATGCCGGTGATGCTGATGATGCTGGTGATGCTGGTGATGCTGGTGATGCTGGTGATGCTGGTGATGCTGGTGATGCCGGTAATGGGGACCTTTTTTTTTAGTTGGTGGCTGGGGAAGGTTGAAGCTTCCCAATCAAGGATGGAAACAAGAAACACGTGACTGAGGATATATAGGAGTCGAGCACATCCTCTGTGCCTCTGTGCCAATAAATTATACTCATCACCGTTCATCGCCCTTTCCATGCCGCCATGATAATTTTCAATAAACCACCCGGACCGCTGCTGCTAGCTCTTCATGACCAATAATTACATCCGCTACTAACTAGCCCTTAGAGCTGCCGCCTTAGGGCCGCCATGACCTTGACGAGAAGAGAGGGTTCGTCATCGGCGAGGACCAGTTCCACCGCGAGCTCCAGATCCATCGACACCATCCATGCGCCCGTCCCGACACAAGCTGTCAACGCCTCTTTGTTCCGCTCACCATCTCGCAGTCGAACACCCATTCAGCTCAAGATAGCCAGGAAGGAAAAGTAAGTCATCCCCAAAGTCATCCTCAAGTCATCCTCCTGCTCACGGCAGCTGCTGCACCCCACCCCTCGCCCGCTGCCCCCATTCCCCCCCCCCCCCCCAATTGCCGAAGCTTCAAGTTTGGTCACAAAATCACTTCCATCTGTTACATTTTCAGCACAACATTTGAGCATGGACTGATATCTGTCGGGTGCCTGCACCCGCGTCTCTCAACAGGCTCGAAAACGAATCTCAGATTTCTCCAACGCAACTCACTGGCCCGCTGTCCGCTGATAGCACGACTTCGAATGCAGCCTCGTTCGCAGCGATCTCACTCCCGAAAGAACACCGATTGAGCAACGACTTTGGCAACTACCGACGCGAGCTCTCCGTGCTCGACAAACCAGGCGGTCGCATCCCCAGCGTACAACATAATCCGCCCTCGGCCGTCTCGCCACGCCAGTACAGTGCGCCGTGGATGTCACCGTCGCAGAATGGCGCGACGATGCCGACAAGCGCGTTCGGGGCCAGCTTTTATAATGACTCGAGCGATAACCATTCCATGAACTCGCAGTTGTCGCCGAGCATGAGGCCCGGGACGCCAAGGACCTTTGGTGATCCCGAGGCGGAGGTGGCGCCGGATGATGAGAGGAGGCCGTCGCTGGCTAGTGTCGCGACGTCGGGGAGCAATGGGTCGAGGGGGAGTGTGGTTAGGACGGGGATACATAAGAAGTTACAGGGCTTCTTTGGAGAGGAGTATTCGGGAAGGGATGGTTCGGATGCGAGCCTGCCGACACACCAGCAGGCTGGGAAGGAGCAGAGGACGAATTCATATCCTAGGCATAGGGAACGGAAACCCTCATCCGCGGCGGAGGCCAGAGATTCGTCTCCGGTGCCCAGCAGACCTCGAACTCCAGTACCCTCTAGCGACGTGGTGCCATTCTTGTACCAGGATTCAGTTGTGAGTACTCTAGTTTCACGATATATTCAGTTGAACTGACAAGCACACAGGATATCTCGAGGTACGGCGAAGCGCCAGTTCGAACCAACCTCTCAGGTGTCGATAGGGAACGCTACATTGCAGAGGAACCACCCCAACCGCCACCGAAACCATCGACTGCGCGAGCACAAGCTTCAGCTAAAGTTCACCGAGTCGTCCACGGCCACCGCCACAACAAGAGCGACGAAGCCAAAGCTGCTCGACCGTCGACTGCCAGGGATGACATGGCATCCTCGGGGAGACCAAAAGAACGCCAGAACACGAGCACTGGTGCCTCGAGGCTGCAACCGCAGCCGCCAAAGCGCGCACCAAGTCCAACACCCAGCTACATGAGCCAGAATACGCTAGGCCAGTCTTCGACGGGATCGACAATAACAATGCCGGGACAGACAAAGAAGCCGGGTATCCTGTCGCGATTTAGACGACCCAAGGACAAAGGGTCGAGTATATTAAATCATCCGCCTGGTTCCGTGAGATCTTTCGGAGGGCAGGGCGGCGAACCACAACCACAAGCACCTTATGAACCGCCGCCTATGGACACCTATGGTCGAGGCGAAGGCAGTCTTGGATACGCTACAAATCAAGAGCCTCCTTTGCCATCGGTAGGGAATGGTAGCGGTAGCGCCATGCCGAGTAGTCGCCCATCTTCATCACGGCACGGGTCGCGACAAGCGGCGTTTGGGAGGCTGCCTTTTTCCAAGAAAGCGAAGAGAAACCGGATCCAAGAGGAGCTCCATGAAGCTGCTGCCCAGAGAGAACGGAAGCGCACAGAGATGAACTCGAATGTCTTCAATTTCGACTCTGACTTGACGAATATGGAGGGGATATTGCAGAAACCGCCGTCGCACGAGCCGCTGGAAAGCGCAATGCAAGGCAGGGAGCCGGAGGAGGTGAAGGTGCCGGACTCGGGTGGAGGGCTGCTTGGGTGGAACGCTCCGGATAGTTGGGCAGTTAAGAAGGTCTCGGATTTGAACATGACGGGCCCTGAAGCCGATGAGACCGCTATGCCGCGGAAGTTTGAGAAGTCGCAACACCCGTACTGTATACGGATTTTTAAAGCGGATGGGACGTTTGCTACGTTGTCTGTGGACCCGACTGCTACCGTTGCGGATGTCATTACTCAGTTTGGGAGGAAGACACATATTACGGACAGTCTTGACAACTACCAAATCATCATGAAGAAGCATGCTTTACAGCGAATTCTTGGCGCGGCCGAAAGGCCAGCTATTATCCAGAAGCAACTTTTGGAGCAAGCGGGATACGAAGAGAAGGATGACATTGAGGATCTTGGCAGGGAGGACCAAACATACCTTTGTCGATTCCTCTTTATACCGCAGCGCGACAGTGGATATGCCGCCATATCTCAGGATCTGGGCTTGAACAAATCCCAAAAGTTCAGTCATGTTGACTTATCGGGACGCAACCTCATCACCATCCCCATCGTGCTCTATTCCAAAGCGACAGAAATCATATCACTTAATCTCTCCCGAAACCTTTCGCTTAGACTCCCCAAGGACTTCATACAGTCGTGTATTAACCTGCGCGACATAAAGTATGTCAACAACGAGGCACACAAACTGCCACAAAGTCTTGGGAGAGCCAGCCGACTCACAATTTTGGACGTTTCCAACAACAGGTTGGAACAGTTGGAGCACGCGGAGCTGGACTGTCTGGGAGGGTTGATAAGTTTGAAGCTCGCAAACAACCGGCTGACACACCTCCCGCCGTACTTTGCCATTTTCAAACAGCTCCGGACACTGAATGTGTCGTCAAACTTTCTGGAATCGTTTCCTGAGTTCTTGTGCGACCTCCCTGGGCTCGTGGATCTGGACATGAGCTTCAATGCGGTTGACAAGCTGCCCAACGCGATTGGGAGGCTCACTAACTTGGAACGTTTCGTTATTACAAACAATCGTCTGTCCGGTTCACTGCCAGACACGTTTTCTCAGCTATGCGGCCTCAAGGAGGTTGATGTTCGGTACAATGCTCTATCGAGTATTGATGTTATAGCTGCCCTCCCAATGGTTGAGCAGATTTCTGCCGATCACAACTCCGTCTCTGTGTTCGAAGGGAGCTTCGATAAGATTCGAATCCTCCGCCTGAACTCAAATCCCGTCACAAGATTTGAGATAAAAAACCGCGTCCCGGCGCTGACAACGCTTTTTCTATCAAACGCCAAACTGGCACACATCGCAGATGGGTCGTTTGAGAGGATGCCAAACTTGGTTAAGCTGGTGCTTGACAAGAACCATTTCGTGTCTCTGCCGAGGCATATTGGGAAGCTCCGAAACCTAGAGCATTTCAGTATCGCGAGAAACGCACTGAACAGTCTTCCCCCAGAGATTGGCTGCCTAACCGAACTCCGAATCTTGGACGTCTCCCAGAACAACCTCAAGAAGCTCCCCCAAGAGATCTGGTGGGCCAGCAAGCTGGAAACCCTCAACATCTCCGCCAACGTGCTCGCGCACTTCCCCAAACCCAGCTCTCGCCCGCCGCAAGTCCCAACGGACGCTCCTTCAACATCTGACCGACAGGGATCGTTTTCCCAGAGCAGCATGCAGACCAGCTCGGGGAATGCGAGTCGTGAGGAGCTAGGGCCGCTTGAGGGGTTTGGACAGCGCAGACCGAGTCAGACTTTGGGGGGGCTGCTGGCGGTGGGGAGCTCGCCTGCTCAGGGCCCCGGGGGGGGGGTAGGAGTGACTCTATTATATCTATTTATGGGAAGGGTGGGCGCCAGGCGGCGGTGGTGTCGAGGGCTGGGTCTTTGAGTACGCAGGAGACTGCGACGGGTACGACGTCGACTTCGACGAGGAAGGAGTCTAGTTTGTCGACGAAACTGGCGAATACTTTTGCGGCTACTCTTAAGAATCTCTATCTTGCTGATAATCAGCTGGATGATGATGTTTTTGATGAGCTTACCCTTCTTGGAGAGCTGAGGGTGCTGAATTTGTCGTATAACGACCTCAGCGATCTCCCTCGTCGAACGTTGCGGAGCTGGCCTCAGCTTGTTGAGCTTTATCTCTCTGGTAACGACCTTACTTCGTTGCCCTCGGATGATTTTGAGGATTACAGTCTTCTTCAGGTGTTGCATATCAATGGCAATAAATTCCAAACGCTCCCAGCAGAGCTGGGCAAGGCGCATCGCCTGACGGTATTGGATGTCGGCAGCAACTCGCTCAAATACAACGTCTCGAACTGGCCGTACGATTGGAATTGGAATTGCAACCCTAATCTCAAGTACCTCAACTTGTCGGGCAATAAGCGGTTGGAGATCAAGCCGAACATCTCATACGGTTCTAGGGGTGGGAATCGTGATGAGATGAGCTCGACGGATTTTAGTGCACTGGTCAATCTGAGGATTCTGGGTCTCATGGATGTCACCCTGACTATCCCAACTATACCGGATGAGACTGAGGATAGGAGAGTTCGTACTTCCGGCACCCTGGCCGGTTCGATGGCGTACGGTATGGCTGATACACTCGGTCGCAACGAGCATCTCTCCATCATCGACCTTGTCGTCCCGCGGTTCAACTCCAACGAGTCAGAGACGGTTCTAGGGATGTTTGACGGGCAAGCAGCGACGAGCGGCGGCTCAAAGGTGGCGAAATACCTGCATGAGAACTTTGTGCGCATCTTCAGCGACGAGGTCAAGATGCTTAACCCCGCTATCCACGACACGCCTGTTGATGCGCTGCGAAGAGCGTTCTTGTCGCTTAACAAAGAGCTCGCGTCCGGCGCGACGCAGTTTGTGGAGGATCGCTCGCTGCTTTCTCATCGAGGGTCTTCGCCCCCCGCAGTGCTCACCCAGGCGGATTTGAATTCCGGCGGCGTGGCGACGGTGATGTTCCTAGAGCAGATGGAACTCTACGTCGCCAACGTCGGGGACGCACAAGCGATGCTCATCCAATCCGACGGCAGCCACCGCATCCTAACTCGCAAACACGACCCCGCCGAGCCGAGCGAGCGACAACGAATCCGCGACGCTGGCGGCTGGGTCTCTCGCCAGGGGAAGCTAAATGATATTATTGGAGTATCTAGGGCGTTCGGATACGTCCAGCTCTTACCTGCTGTCCAGGCCGCGCCGCATATCACGCAGATCACGCTCAAGGAGCAGGACGAGATGGTGATGATCGCCTCGAGCGAGCTCTGGGAGTACCTCTCCCCCGAGCTCGTCGTCGACGTCGCGCGGTCCGAGCGCAACGACCTGGTGCGCGCTGCGCAGCGGCTGCGCGATCTCGCGATGGCGTTTGGGGCGACGGGGAAGATTATGGTGATGATGATGGGGGTGACCGACCGGAAGCGGAGGGATCGGATTAGGATGAATAGAGGCCCGAGTATGACCTTGGGCCCGACGAGCGTCCTAGATGATGTGTACCTCCCCAATAAGCGGATTAAGCGCACCAAGGAGGCGGTGGAGGATTCGATGCTGCGGCGGCTGGAGGCGGAGGTGCAGGCGCCGGTGGGGGAGATTAGTATAGTCTTTACGGATATCAAGGGGTCGACTGCGCTGTGGGAGAATAATCAGAGTGCGATGAGGTCGGCGATCCGGCTGCATAATGAGGTGATGCGGAGGCAGCTGAGGATTATTGGGGGGTATGAGGTTAAGACTGAGGGGGACGCTTTTATGGTCTCCTTCCCCACCGCGACGTCGGCGCTGCTGTGGTGTTTTTCGGTACAGGCGCAGTTGCTGGAGATTCAGTGGCCGTCGGAGATTCTGAATCACTCGATTGGGAAGGAGGTTATTGATGCGGACAACAACCTCATCTTCCGCGGCCTCTCGGTGCGGATGGGCGTGCACTTCGGCACCCCCGTCTGCGAACACGACCCCGTCACGCGGCGGATGGATTACTTCGGACCCATGGTCAACAAAACATCCCGCATCTCTTCCACCGCGGACGGCGGGCAGATCGCCGTCTCGGCGGACTTCATATCGGAGATCCAGCGGTGTTTGGAGAATTACAGCGAGACGGAGCGGGCGGGGCCGACGGCGGCGGGGGGGGTGGAAGGGGAGATGGAGGATCCGGCTGTGGAGAGTATTAGGCGGGAGTTGAGGAGTTTGTCGAGTCAGGGGTTTGATGTTAAGCCGATGGGGGAGAGGAAGTTGAAGGGCTTGGAGAATCCGGAGTATATCTATTTGATGTACCCGCATTCCCTAGCGGGGCGGATTACGCATCAGCCGTTGCTTGGCTGTGACATTGCTGAGGCTGCGGCGACGAAACTTAAAGAGGATGCGGGCAGGGGGGGAGGGGAGGACCTGCAATTGAGTTTTGAGCCGAAGGGGGGTCTGAGTATTGACCCAGACTCGATCTGGGCGCTGTGGAGGACGAGTCTGAGGCTGGAGATGATATGCGATGGGTTTGAGGATGGGGTGTCGAAGCCGTTGTATGGGCCCCAGATGGAGCTGGTGGAGAAGCTGGCGGGGAGGGGGAGTGATATGACGGATGAGTTGCTCTTGGGGTTTATGCGGAATTTGCTGTTGAGGGTTGAGGTACGTTGTCTTACTTTCCTATTCCTGCTAGTTTTTTTCGGGGGGGTTGGCTGGCTAACGATGATAATTGCAGGCCTGCATCGCGAACGTCTCCCTCCGCCGCGGCGTCACGGCAGCGCAGAATCACGTGCCGGCGGGCGCGGTGACGGATTTCAAGAGGTACATCCGGCCGTTTGATGAGGTGCTGAATGCGGTGGCGGAGCAGCAGAGGTTGGTGGAGAGGTATCGGGAGAGGTTTGGGGAATTGGAGGGGGTGGTGGAGGGGGTAAGGGTGAAGGGGCTGGTGGAGGGGGAAGGGGTGAAGGGGGTGGTGGAGGAGGTTGAGTGAGTGAGTGGGTGAGGGGGAAGGGGAGAGGGGGGAAGGGGAGAGGGGGGAAGGGGAGAGGGGTTATGATGTATGATGATGGATGAGATGAATTGCTTCTGCGTGGGTGGGTGGTTGATGGTGGTGGTGGGATGGATGGGAGTGTCCCTATCTTCAACGGCTAATATCTTTTAATTCTTGAGGGCGGATTGGCGGTTGCGGCAGTTGCGTTGCGTTGCGTTTGGGGGGGGTTGCATATATAGGAGATTTCTAACCCCGGGCTGTATATCTAGATGGTCTGGGAGGGGGGGGGTGGAGAATTGGCGTTAGTTGTTTTGGGGGATTTGGGATAGGGAATTGGAATTGGATGGGGGTGGGCGTTGTTATTTTATGGAGTAGAGGGAGGGAATTGAGAAATGGCTCTCTGGATGGCTGGGGGTTTGGTGCGTACTTGGTGGGAGGTGAAGTTTGGTTTAAGGGGGGGTGGGGGGCGATTCGATGGTTTGTTTGATGGGGGAGATAGATTGATATATAGTTGGGGTGGGGAATATATTCTATTCTGTATATTCTATTATTCGTGCAATCTACATTCAGTGAATTGAGTTCGTTCGTTCAGTGTTGGTGTGTATTAAACTCCCCATCCCATCCTCTCCAGACATTCTTTTTTCGTCATGCCACAGCTGTGTTCCTCAGGCACCCACAAATCCATCTATATAATCTGCAATATCTCTCTCTCGGTTAAAGCCTTTGGTTGTATAGTGTAGTGGTTAGCACGTGGGATTTTGATTCGGATCCAATTTCCAAATTGGATTAAACACTTTGTTGTGTGGTTATACATATAAACAATTTTCCCGAATCCCCGGTTCGAGCCCGGGTACGACCTGTTTTTTTCTGCCGTTTTTTGGTGGTGGTTTTGTATGGGAGGTGTGTTTTTTATTTTACGCGATGGGGATAGGCGAGTTGAGCCGAGGCGAGGCGATACACGCACTTTTTTTTTTTTGCTCGATCTTCTTTCTATAGTCCACAATAAGCGAGCACACTACATCAAAAACAAATCCGCTTCTGTGGTCCAATGGTTAGGATTCCACCCTTCCAAGGTGGAGGTTCGTGTTCGATTCACGGCAGTTGCAATATGCAATTTTTTTTTTGGTATTTCTTTTTAGCTGAGCGCTGAGGTGTCTATAGGATGCTGATGGATGTGGTTGGGGAGAAGTGATGCTCTTCTTTTTGCTATCTTTTTTTTGCTTCAAGGAGAACTGCTCCTGGACAAGTATGGCCAAGTACAATACTTCCACCCCCCTCGCATCATCGGCAACCACCATCCGTTTTCCCCCCACCGTCTTCGCTGTGTTGGCGGGGATAGCAGGGATAGAGGGGGAGGTTGATAAGGCGGTTTGGAGGGGGACGGTGTGGTTTAGTCCGATTGGGAATAAGGATCTGAGGAAGAATTTGGTGGAGGTAAGTATGGGGAAGGAGTGGGCGGATATAGAGGCTTGGAGGGATGATGTAAAAAATGTGACGACGGGGAAGGTGGCGGGGGGTTGGGAGGGGGAGGATTGGGTGGTGGTGAGGTGGGAGGAGTGGAGTGTTATGGGGGTGGGGAGGGGGGAGGAGGGGGTAGGATGGGGTGGGTGATGCGGCGGAAGGGGATGCTATATCTGTAAATAGGCCATGGTGTAGCATATTAGCATCATAACAAAACATGGACATGAGTGACAGAATGACCGTCTATTCCACGCGCCCACGACAGCTAAAATACACACGAGTCCCCGTCCCCTCCCCCCTCCCGAACGGTCTCCGACTCAGTCTCCATGCAAAGCCCGAACTTCCCGCCAATATCTTGATGCAAAAAAGCTACTATCGTACTGCTTTCTCCGGTTATTATCCTCCCCATCCCATCCCACGCCACACCCACGTCCCAATTCCCATCCCATCCCATCCCGGCACACACTATCGTACGGCCCCTCCTCAAACCAACTCGCTCGTCACATTCGAGAACTCGCCCTTCTCCAACTTCGTCTTCCAGAAAATGGGATTCGTGTCGTTGAACCCATGCTTCACCCACCCCTCCTCCTTAACATGATACAAATTAATATACCCACCCGAATACGCATCCCTGTGCGTCGCGGCGAGGATACTGCGTCGACCCAGCTCCAGCGCCTCCTCCTCGCTCAAATCATATCTATACTCCGCATCCAGCACGCCGTAGGCGAAGGTCTGTCCAGAGCCGACGCAGAACAGGTTGCCTGCCAGCCGCGTGCCGTCGGAGTCGATGTAGTAGAGCGCGGGGCCTTCGGAGGGAGTCACGCCCGCGCACATGGTGCCCATGGAGAGGCCCATGCCTTTGTAGCTGTAGACGATGTTGGCGAGGATCTTGGAGGCGGCGGCGACGGTGATGCGGCGCTTTTGGCGGAGCTCGTGGAGGCGGCATTGCATGCCTAGGTAGGCGAGCCAGTATTGGCAGTCCTAGAAGGTTCGTTAGTTGTGGCCGTGAGATCGGTCGTCGGGGGAAGACCTACAGCAGCGCCACCAGCCATCGTGCCTAACAAGCTGTTGTTGATCTCGATAACCTTCTTCACTGTCTGCGAGGCAATCCAGTTCCCAGCCGTAGCTCTCGAATCCGTCGCCACGATAATCCCGCCCTGGAACCTGAAAGCCAGCGTAGTTGTGCCGTGGGCGATCTTGATGGGGCAGTTGGGGTTGGAGTAATCGTCTGTTGCCGCGCGGAGCCATGATGACGGCTGCGGTTGTCATGTCAGCATTTGGTCTCGATCCAACGTCGGGAGGTAGTTGGATTTCCACGGAAACCGTGTGGAGAGGGAGTGTGGATATGAACTCACTTGCGCAACGGGCGGCATGGCAAACCTCAGACTTAACGCCGGCACCTCCTGGACCATCTCCATCTCCTCCTGCTGCTCCTTTGCGTAGCCCTCATTCGCAAACATCGGCCTGCTGTAGCGGGCGACGAGAGAGTCCATCTTGACGTCGGTGCCTCCAATCTGTCGTGGGGATGTGGTTTCGGGTATATGATCTGAGATGGGAGATGCGGCGGTGAGGTTGATGAGAGCTTGCTTTGTTGGGCGTTGTTGGTATGGGCTTGCTGGAGCTTAGGCAGGCGAGAGCTCGCGTCACAACAGGCATGCTGTAACCGCGAACACACCTGTATAAATCACGTGATGCGATACACGCAGTGATGCTGAATTTGGACTGAAGTTGGATGGCTTCAACAATGGGATTTTGAACTTGGATCGTTTTATAATATACTATTTCTTACTAGAAAGACTATCTCTACGGAACAGCAGCACAATAATTAAAACCATTCGTGATATGGTCGTAAGCAACGAGTCCGACTCCCCACAGCCGCCCATTATTGATGAAATTCAAACCACCTCAGCTCTCTCTCTAGTCACATTAGGGGTGTCAACATCCTCACCAAAGGTCGCCCTCGGCTTTGAAGCTCCGCCTTGCCCGTTCGTTGCGCGGCTCGAGCTTCCTCCTCCCCCCGCCATTATCGTGCCGTGGGGAAGGTAGGTGCCTCCTTCGCTTCGGCTCTGGGTCTCATAGTTGCCGTCTTGGGTTCGGCTCTGGATCTCATAGTTGCCCCCTTGGGTTCGGCTCTGGGTCTCATAGTTGCCGCCTTGGGTTCCGCTCTCACTGGTCGATGGGATTGTCTGCAATGTTTCCTCGTCATCATAGCTGGTATCAGCACCGACTCTTCCACTGGTGGGCATCAGGTTCGAATCAATCTGGCTTGAAATGGGAACATCGTCGGCCTCAAGGCGCCAGTCGCGCAGGTCCTCCTCGGCGTCGTTGAGGATCTGTCGAGCTTGGTTGCCGTGCTCGAACTGCGGGCGAGTGTCGCCTGGGATGACTGGGGTGTCATCGAGGAGGTTCAACATGCGACGGCCGTGGCGGGCGAGAATGATCTGCTTCTCTGCGCGCTCGATGGTGGCGGCGAACTCGGCGGCGTAGGCCTCCTTGAGCTTTTGGCGAGTCTATATTTGTGTGAGCACTCGTTCATATGATTGACAACGCAGGGTAACATACGATATTGGTAAGTTGGGCCTCGGCCACCAGGTTCTCCGCCTCTGCCCTAACCAGCTCCTGCTCCAAAACCACCAGTCGCGTGTTCTCTGGCTCCTTCATCTTGAGCTTGTGGATCTCATCCTGGATCTTCTGTCTGTTGTCCCTGCTTGGCTGGACGCTCTTCTCCGTGTTTCGGATCGTCTTCAAAACAGACCTGGCATCGTCCAAGTTGTGCGCATAGACGTCCTCCTGCTCGCCCAGCTCGCTGAGCAGCACACCAACCTTGTCGGAAAGTTCGGAGACGGCATCATCTCCGGTCTGCTCGCCCCAGTCGGAGAGCTGTGTGCCAACGGAGAGGCGCTCTTTGCCGGCGGCTTCGTAGGCGCCGATGAGGTTGTTCTGGGTCTTGATGAGGCGGAAGAGCTTCTTGGACAGCTCAGGTTGGCCGGCTCCCCGCAGGCTGGAGAAGGTGAAACCATGGCGCGAGCCCCCTTGTGAGGAGCCGCCCTGGTTCTTGTTCCCGCCGGAGCGAATGGAGAGTGCTCTATTCCTGCGCTGGGTGTTAGTTTTACGTCGAACAAAAGCGCAGTAATGTGGGATATCAAGGGCTCACAGCGGAAATAACTTGAATTCCGTTGAGGAAGCGGTGCTCCTAGACTTGCGATGACCGAACATGGTGTCTTTTAAGAAATTTGGTTTGCTGACTTACATTGTAGAAGAGATTCTCAATTCTCCAGTGTATTATATGTTTATCAACTACGACGTGGTCAGCACCTTCCCTATCTGAATCAAACCCCGCACTGAATCACGCGGTGAGTAAACAGCAACCGTACCTTGGGGTAAACCTCGAATATTAACAAGCCAGGCGATCTCGTAGCTAGTTAATTGAATAAAAGGTTTGTTTTTTAGAGGAATATATTATTCCAGAGTGAGTGCGAAGAGATAAAAATCACCAGTACGTAACGTCCACACGATCCTTGCTTTATTGTAAGGGGGGTAGCATGATCGTGGGCGAGCTCTAAGCACGATGATATCATGATGTTGTCAAAGTTGCACTAATCATTGGTTAGGTTCCGGGCTACGACCGTACGTCATGCTGCGTACGGGCAGTTTGGCAACGGCTCCAAAACCCTGAATTATATGCTTATATACATTAGCATCATGGGTTTTGAGGCTCGAAAAGCTATACAATAAAGATGCGCCGGCATCACTTGCCCATATAAGGGACACTGGCGAATGGCACGGAAGCCAGCAGTCTCACGAGTAACCTCATCCAAATCCCACCAAGGTCCAGCAATCCCCGTGTTAGAAGCCGCCGTGAGGCCATAAGCACTACTTATGAGGGTTGGAACCGGTTATGTCATGAATCATCGACTCACAAAAGTGCTCGAGTATATACATTCCCCATTATCAACTTACCAATCTCATCCGATCTAAAATCTCTCGTCCACCCTCCATCAAGAAACCGCACTATCTACATACGCTTGTCTCACTATCATGTGACACATGCACTTACTGAGCTCCTCCATCTGACACAGCATCAAACAACTATGTGTCTCCCCATCGGCCCTCGCTCAAGCTTCCACGATGATATGATTATGCGGCCTCGTCCGTTCCTCGGCACGCGACCAGCCGTCTACCCGCGGTCAACTTTGCCCCGGCGGTCTATGAATGCTGGTATGGGATCAAGTGTTCTGGGAGGACCGAGGTTTGGTGCACGAGGGTATAGAAGAGTTGGGGGTATGGGGGGCATGTACCCGATGGACGGCATGGGCATGGGCGGCATGGGGATGGGGATGGGAGGTCTAGGTGGTATGGGCATGGGTGGGGGCCTGGGTGGTATGGGCATGGGTGGGGGCCTGGGTGGTATGGGTTATGGCGGGGGCTATGGGGGAGGGTTTGGAGATTGTGGAGGCATGGGAGGTATGGGAGGTATGGGAGGTATGGGAGGTATGCGAGGTATGGGAGGTATGCGAGGTATGGGAGGTATGGGGGGTATGGGAGGTATGGGAGGTATGGGAGGTATGGGCGGTAATTGCTGATATGGTTTGTCTTAGCAAGCTATTGGTTTCTTCCATGTGTTATTATCAGTCTGCAATATGTAATATACAGAGAGATACAAGAAATACGCAGGTTCTCAAAAGTGAAGCTTAAGATATTCAAGAATTGTGTGGTGATATGTCTAGAAGCTCGATGCGATCAATCTTGCGTAGATGGGCGCTAATTGCGCTAGAAGTGCGCAAATTTAGAAAGTGAAGCTCGTAATCTTCAAAGTTTAGGTGATTATCTAGAAGGTCGATGTAGGTAGAGAGTTTAGTGGCAATTTAGTACTAATTCTCATTTCTAGCAAAATCGTTCGTATAGAGAAGTTCAAAAGCGCGTAAATCTATGAAAATGAGGCTCGAGATATTTAAGAATTAGGTGGTGATATAACGTAAGTCGTGGCGTAACGCGGGGGATGGCGTAACGCGGGGAATTCACCCCGCCGACTTCTGATAACTGTGAATAACTCAACAATGGTTCGCTGTAAAAGCCTGGGTGTTGCTGAGCGTGAAACTTTAATAGCCCAGGCAGTATTAGACGTCCAATCTAAGAAGTATAAGAGTGCATATCACGCTGAGAAAGTGCTGGGGCTGCCGAAGAGTTCAGTGACGCGACGCGTCAATGGAGGTTTGACACGCTCCCAAGCCCGCCAGAAACAGCAGAATTTATCAGGCGCGCAAGAACAGATACTTCTAAAGTGGATTAAAAACCTAACAATCAGCGGCTATTCTCCAGGGCATCGGTTGTTGAAGGAAATAGCTGAAGAACTCCGGTCGCACCGGTCACTCAATTTTGATGACGCGACGCCAAACTTACTTCTACCCCAACCACGATTTTCCCTCGGTCGTGACTGGGTACCACGATTCATACAACGACATCCCCATCTACAGGTCGCTATTGGGCGACGGATCGAAACTGTATGCATGGACGGTGCAACAAAACCAGTGCTTACAGCATGGTTTAACGCGTACACCAAGGTGGTTCAAGAGTTTGGAATCACGCAAGAGAACACATATAACATGGATGAATCTGGATTTTCGATTGGGACAATGGAATCTACTCGAATTATACTTGATTCAACGCTTCGTACGAAGCATCAAGCGCATCCTGGCTGTCAGGAATGGGTTTCGATGGTCGAGTGTGTAATGGTGGGTGCACCAGATATGAGAATCTAGCCACCCAAGGAAGGGATGAATTTACTAAGACAACACACTGTCTTAGGAAACAGAGCTAAAGGGTTGTAGCTTAGACTATTCCACAACGCAGTAATTAGGTGTATGATGTGGTGAAGTGGTTTAGACAAGTTGCAACAAATGTTGAGTCTGAGAACTCAGGGGTAAGTCAGAGGTTAGCACCTCACTGACTTTTCAAAAACAGAGAATAACAAGATCAATGCTTGGAAGCTTGGAAAAGACGTAGAAGTATGTGCTAGTCGATTTACTGTATTGCCTGCTTGCCCTTTCTTAAGGAAAGGGCAATCCTATTTATGCCAAAGGAGTCTAGTTCTCTCATTTTCCATGACTTTCCATGACTAACCAGGCTTGGTAAATGTATTAGAAATCAAGTGCGACCCACAACTAGCTTGCTAATCATGTAGTGAACGTAAGAGAATCCCATAGAACCATCTCTTGGGTTCCTAGCCTATAGGAAGTGAAAAGGAGGTCCAAGGTCAGAGTACCTATAGACAAATTATGTCATAACTTAACCAATATTGTGGGTAACTAAGGAGCGATGACGTGTAATGAATCATAGAGGGTTGTAGAAGCTTCTAGAGCTATCGTTCATGTTCCTAGGCCTCTAGTTGGTAGAGATATGCCATGTGGTAGTATTGGCCCACCCCATTAAGGAGGAGATATTCTTAATAACTTGTTCAATGAGTGTCCAAATAATATGCTGTGATGTATGTAGCATAAACAGATGTAGTAGAAGAGTTTGCAGCAATCGTTGAGTAGTATTGCTTCTGTTGTTGGTGTGATAAGCCAAGATATGTATGGTAACCCCTTATCACAAACCACTAACAGATATCTGGTCCATCCAGAACAGTGCCAAACCAATGTGGACATATCCAGCTCTTCTGTCTCCGACCAACAACCACACCCTCACTGAAGACCATCGACACAAACCATACACAATTGCTCAGCAACATCTCGGATATTACCCCCCCCAAACAAACACCCACTTGACAGGGCAGCCTTGGGCCGCGGACTTGGCTGGATACGCAACTTCCAGCCATCAACACATACACTTGGGGGGTTTGGGACAAGGGAGTTGGCATTGGATTCGGGGTGGGGTCAAGGTCTGGAGTGCCGGGCACAGGGAGGGAGTGGACATCTGGAGGGGCTATGTGGTGGTTGGTGCGACTTTGGAACAGTCGCAGGCTGTGGATCGGGGCTGGATAGAGTAGGCAGATTAGAAATATACGGTATTATGTTTGGATTTCTGCGTTTCTTGATGACCACCGTGATCTTGCCACCACAGCTTCGCCGAGAATACTGTATGGATACGGATCTGGCCACCACACAGAATTACGGCAGCATTGCCGTCGCCATACTGTGGCGAGAAATCTACAGCTTATGGCCGGCGACGGTGATCCTTTGCGATTACAGTAGTACTCTAACTACAGTATTACCTCCAAAATCTGTCGCGCCAGCGATACTGCCCAGATCAAGGGCACGGTCGCCGCTCACGGGCGGTGCAATACACCGTCGGTATTAGAGCGGCGATTGTACCGTCGCTCCAGTGCGACGGTCGCGCCGGCCAGTACGGTAGCAATACGGTATGGCCACCGTACTGGATTTGGCCTGTGCGCTGGTAAGGTATCTACCGCGTTTGATCTTTGTAGAGAATGCTCGATGAGAATGATACCAGGGACTGCACGATTCTGGAAGATTTGCAGCCATAGATAGTATTGCACCATTAGCATTCAATATAAAAAACTCAATAGTCCAACCACCTTCGTAGATTGTTACGAGACATTATATTTTACATAATTCACTACAATTGGGTATCATCAACTCTTCTCCATCCCTCCGCGCCCATAATCCCCCCATCACCAGCCTCGGGGTCAATAGCCCATTTCTTCAAACTCCTCACATCCAGCCCACTCCTCCACCCCGCCTCCCACATCTCCATTCCCGTCCAAGCAATCATAGCCGCATTATCCGTACACAAACTCATCGGTGGGAACACCACCTCCACACCTTCAAACCCCCGCTTATCCAACAGAGACCGCAGCATATGCTTCAAGAACTGGTTCGACGCAACACCCCCAGATACGACGAGGGTAGATATGTCTTTCATTGCCGGAGTGCTGAGAGCTAGGAGGACTCGCGAAGCTAAGTGCTCAAATGCGACTCGCATCGTCTCCTGTGCTAGGACTCGGCGCTCGAGATCTGACATCTCTGGATTGGCCTCTACAATACGGCGTATTATAGCGCCAAGGCCCGAATAGGAGAACTCCATAGACGACGACTTGTCCTCAGACAGCGGCGGTCTGATAGCCCAGCCAAACTGGGTCGTCTTCATCGTGTTAAGACCGCGCTGCGTCTCGGGCGGGTTATAGTCGTAGTCCTCCGCCCCATTCGGGAACGCGAACACCTCTAACATCGGGCTATACATGACGCTCTTCCCGTTGTCCAGCAATGATGCAGAAAGAATGTCGCGCGCACACTTGTCGAGCACGTTCCCGACGGGTATGTCTGTTTTCTCAGCGAGGATGGAATGTGACACTATGTCGCTGGAGTGGACGAGCATCGTGTTTCCGCCCGACACGAGGAGAGAGAGAAAGGGGAACTGGGGATGCGATTCCGCTGATTCCGAGGTCGCGTTGAGAGATGATACTAGCCGTGGCGTCAGAGCGTGAGCTTGCATGTGGTTGACTCCCAAAACGGGGATCTGCCACGCCACAGCCAGACCCTTCGCTGTGTCGAGCCCAGTCACTAGGTTCGACTGCATCCCCGGTCCTCGTGTGACCGTAATGAAGTCGGGGCGCTTTCGTAGTTTATGAGACTTGTCGGTAGCGCCGCGGACTTGGATTGCGTTTGTCCATGTTGCCGATTCGGAGGGCCTCTCGGGCAAGCTTTGGAGAGCTCTGTTGAGAAGAAGTGCGAGGGACTTCTGGTGGGATTCGAGCGCTACCAGGGGGTGGACGCCTTGGAATGCGCGGTTATCTGAGGTGACTTTGTCGTGGAAGTGGAGAGTGCTTCTGGCACTTTGCTTCTCAAGGATCGCAACGGAGGTATCATCGCAGGAAGTTTCAATGGCGAGGGTGAGGAGGGTTCGGCGTTCATGATGGCGAGTAACAGGGAGGCATCGTGCACGCCTGATGAGAGGGAATAGCAACCTCATCAGGGTGAATAAGGCAGATGGAATTTCTTTTTTACAAACAGTAATGCAGCTTTCCGCAACTCGAGCCTGGTCACGGTTCCAAGGGATTGATGGAGGCGGTAAATTATATTTCTGCCGTATTTATTTCGGTTTTGGCTCACCGCTTCCATAAACCACAGCCTTTTGCGTTTCTCACAGCCTTTATAAAACTATGCCACACACAATTTGAAAGTTGCAACTATAAAATGTTGAAGCTAATGTATAATAATTCCATTATTTGTAACTACACTCGTATCTCCCATAACTTAATCTTGCCCTGCTCATTGGCAATAGCCAAAGTAGAGCTGGTGTGATTGAACGCAACAGCACTCACCCTTCCCAGCGGCGTCTGCCCAGTTGGCCAATTCCTATAAACCGTGCAACTCGGCAGATGGATCAACCGCAGAGCATCCCTCTTCCACTTGCTAGAAATAACTAATAGCTGTCCATCCGGGCTGATTTCCAAACAACTCGTCGGCGTCGTCAATTGCTTGAATACCCTAGTCGGCTCTGGTCGATTCGGGATTTTCACCTCGCCCTTGTCCGTCCATCCCCGTCGGTCGTATATGTTAACGATACCGCTCGACGAGCCAATAACGATCCATCTATCACCACCAAGTTCTTTCTGCCCACTTCGTCCACCAAGAGTCAGTACGGAGGTGCCAACAGCGCCTTCGTCTTGCCAGAGCGCGATGAAGGATTTGCTTTCAACGCTCCACTCTCCGACCTCACCACCCTTTCCTGCAATCGTGAGACCTTCTCCATCTCTCCACCATGCAAAATCAGCAACACCGTTCCTCCCCTCGATTCTTGCTGCGGCGATCCATTGGCACGTGTTCGCGTCTAGGATATTGACAATTCCACCTCCCTTCTTGGAGGAGCCAATCAAGCCCATATAGCGCCCGCACGGAGACAACTTAAATCGCTCCATACTGCGCTGCTCATCCTTTTGTCCCAAGACACGCGTGACCTTTGCAATGTCGCCCGTTTCCAGATTCCAGCTATGGAAGTAGCGTCGACGGCCAGAGAAGAAGATCTTATCGCCGGTTGGGCCGAGGAATGCGGTTGTGTATAGCGGGGTAGATTTGATGTGAACGGATGTGAGGAGGGGATTTGGTGTAGGAAGCGCGTCTGGCGCAATATGGTGGAGATAGATGGTGGCTGCTGGCCCAGAGGAAAGGAGGACGGGGTGTATTGGGTGGAATTGGAGGGAGCTGATCGCGGATGGCTGGACCATGGGTATATCGCGAGTGCGCTGGATGTTTATGACTTCAGGGCGTAGCTTGCCACGCTTAGAATCCGCAGAGGCTGTGATGAGGGAGTTTGAGCTTCGGAGGAGTTGTGCGAGTGGCTGGGCGGATAGCGATTCTTCGTCCATGTCCATATCGTCGCCTGATAGAGATGAGCTGGACGAGGCTGAGGACCTCCGGCGTCGTTTCGAGGGCGGCTCTGAAGTAGACGCCCAGTCCGGGACAGGATTTAGGCGCTCGAACTGTCGCCTTAATCGCTTTACGTACTCTGGCCCGGTCACCATATCTTCTGCTTCGCTAACTCGTAACTTCCGTAGTCGAGGGTTTCCCGCCAGGGAGATCGTCAACCTCTCGTCATCGCTGTCTTGCCAGGCTGGCTCGTCGCCATCGGATTGCTCGTCGTCTGACCCAGGGCGTGCTATTAAATCTCTAGCGTTGACCTCAGAGGGCCCTGCATCCATAAAGAAAAGCTATGATATATGTTAGCGCAAGTTACAAAGATTAGATGCGCCAAATAGTAATACCTCAGCATCGTCAACGTCTTCCAGGTTCTCCCCCTCCTCTCCTTCCGCACCCAATTCAGATTCATTCTCTTCATTTTCCACCTCAAGATCAAGATCCCCCATCGTTTCCTGCCCCAACTGGGCCATAAACCCAGCATCGTCACCAAGAACCAATCTCGCGAGCTCGTCCTCATCCTCCCCAGCGTCCATCATTTCCACGCTTTCATTGTCGCTCGGTTCTCCATTTTGCTCGGAAAACTCAGATTGCGCCTGCTGCTCTACAAACTTTTGATCGCCGGACGATTTCTTTGAGCGTTGTCGTGCCATTATTTCTGGTGTTACTTGGCGTCTCAACGGCAGCACTGCCTTCAACTTTATTTTATGATTTTCCTAGAGATAAAAGCCATGGAGATCGGCGCTAGAATTCAATTGGTCCGTGCGCTACCATCAACAAAATATTCAGAGCCACTTACCACTCATGAGGTCCTAGTAGTTACGGTTTTGATAAATTCATGTGTTATGGATATTGAATATGGGCTTATACGCCTATAATATGACAAGAGGATTTTTTGCTCTAGCCGTCGAAGAAACTATCTCTACTACGCTGTTATACAAAATGTACCGGCCACCCAGCAGCCTGGTTATACATGCTATCATACATTAATTGGCCTTTTTCCAGCTCCCTACAACTGCCATCGCCTCCTTCCCACCATCTCGTACCCTCGAGTCACCTAGAACATCTGATAGACATCTCCACGGGTCTCTACCACCACCCCATCTCAAAACGTCCTCCTTCATCCTCTCTCCCCTTTCCCTATCAACACTCGCGCCGTCCTGTCCACCCTGGAACACCACCTTCCAGATCCGATCTGCTAGGACTTGGTCGAATAGGTAGCTGTAATACGTACTGCCATAGCCGCTTAGATGCCCAAAGAAACCCTGCCAGCTCGTCCCTTCAGGGTCTTGCGGTAACATCGCATGCTGCCTCTGGATCTCATGGAACACTTGCGTGGAATTAAAGGACTTATCAAGCGGTGCCTCCGAGTGGTATGCTTGATCAAGCATTGCGAGAATAATCTGGGACTCAGTCTCCACACCGCTGAACTGCTTGCCAATCGCAAGTTTCTCCTCGACAAGCCTGTATGGGAGAGGCTGGTCAGTCTCATAATGCCTGGCAAAGAGGCTGAGTACAGTAGGATCAGCCGCAAAGTGTTCCATAAGTACAGACGGCAACTCGGCGAAGTCGGTGGCACAACGAGTACCAGAGACTTCTTGTAGAGAGGTACGGCCTAGGATAGAGTGGATTGCGTGGCCCATTTCATGAAAGAGGGTCTGCACCTCGCTGAAGCTGAGGAGACTGGCTTTAGCTGATGTGCGGAAGTCGCAGATCAGCGCAATGGTAGGGAGTTGCCTCAGAGAACCAGAGGCACGCGAGGTAGCCATGCCATCGTTAGCAGCCTCCTCAGCAGAGGAAAAGATGCGATCGTGGGAAACTGCTGCCTCTTCAATCTCCTCCTCTGCAATTTCACGCGAACAACGGAGTGTGAAATGTGCCGGGTTGGGAGATTTTCCAGGTCGCGAGAAGAGGTCACAGTAGAGCACAGCGACATGTCCGTCAGTCTCCGAGATCACATCGAGGCGACGCACATCATTATTCCACGCTTCTCCATGAACGGTTTCTCGAGGTGCAAATCGAATGCCATAAAGCCTTGTAAACAAACGAGACAAACCTTGCATGACGGTCCCAAGGGAGAAGTACGCCGACAAAAAGTCAGGGTTCCGAGACTTGGAGTGCATGGACGATCGGAGCTGGGAAATGTAGAAATCCTTGTCCCAAGGCTGTAATCTAGCAGATGTGCTAATTGTATGCCTGTCTTTAAATTGCTGGAGTTGATCAACCTCTTGCTTCGCCTTTGGTTTATTACCTTCGGATAAGGCGCTTAAGAACTGATTGACGGACTCTGGTGACTTCGCCATCTTATCCCCTAGAGCTAGATGTCCATAGCTTTTGTATTGAGTGAGCTTCGCCAATTCCGCTCTCTTTCTCATCAAATCATCGAGTCGCTGAATCTGTGCAGGGGAGGATGTCCTATTTGCAAGAAACAGATCTCTCCGTACGCCTTCGTTTTGGACGGATCTGATGGCTGCAATGGAAATGTCACTGTGCGTTGGTACCACAGCAGAACCCCACCTCGTGACGCTCCTTACTAGTAGGGGATCCATCCCCTTGAGCTTGCCACTTGAGAATTGTAGTTCTCGCTGTGCTGGCTCCATGGACTCCACGAAATCATGACCAACCTCACTAATTTCCTGCGACAATCGTACGAACTTTTCTCGGATCGCTTTGGGTAGGGCAATGGCCGATTTTGTGAAATCCTTTTTGAGGGCTTGTGCAACAACCATCTCCTCTTCTGTCCATGTGGCTGTAATTTCTGGGTCGGCCATAGCTATTCCCAGCTGCTCATTGAGTCCTGTCGTTGTGTTCAGAACGTTCATAAACTCAAACATCATAGAGTGAGCTTGCGAGGCAGCGTATTGTATCCTCTCGTCGGGGTGTGTAGCTCGGACAAAGTCTGAGAGATCGATAACCCGGCATAGCATGTCACTCAGTGTATCCAGATCTCTGGCGATGCTTTGATATTCATGCTTCAATAATGCACTTAGCACCTTATGCACAATCCGTTTCGCCTTCTGGAGATTTGCATCCGCAAACCGTTCGAATCCTTTGGCATTGACAAGATATCTATTCTGGAAGAGCCCTATATTGTGCCCTTTCGCACCGGCTTTGGACGAGGAAGAGAATTCCTTCCAAAAGTCCTTCGAGTCGAATATCTGCCTGAGAGTCCTCTCATCGTGAAGCGCTCCCGGAGCTGAATTGTCGAGTGGTTTTGATCGTGATTCGCGATCGATATATTGTGTTGCCGTACTATATTGTAGGCGTGTCTGGGCTCTGTATCGGTTTGAAATACATTTTGCATATACCCACGGGCGGTTACGTGCGACCTTAAACATACTCTTCTCCTCCTACTCGCATAAACACGAAAATATACAAGAAATTTGATATAGAACCCAACGCTGTCGTTTCGTTCCCGGTTCTGGAAATAAGGTTTATACGCGCCGCCGCTTTAAGAACTATCCGATAGCGCATACTTCCGCGATCTGCCGCTGCCGTGACCAAGCTTCTGAGCCGACATCAGACATTTCTTCAACTGGTCTATTGAGTGTTTACGCCAGGTTCAATTCAAGCTATGTCTTTCTCTCCGCTCCTGCGATCGGTAAGAATAATTGAACAATTCATATCGACAAGAGCTAACTGGTTCTAGAGGGCAATTGCACCCGCAGCCACTGCATTGGTGGGCGCGGCTACCATCCTCTATCCCAAAACCACTCTCCATGCCGAGGAGGTTAGATCAGAAGACGTACGGTATTCGCCTCAAATATATTTATCACAATGCTAATAATGTATAGTCCAAGCGGAAATCGATATACGATGACGAGCCGACAGCACCCGCATCAGCAGGCGCCGAGTCGTCTTCGCTCGTGACAGCTACCCGTCAGGCGCAGACGTCACGCCAGTCACCTACCGACCGTCTTGCTGTCCAAATTGGCAAGACTCGTCTGTTCATCCACGCACATGTCGCCGCTGCCGAGGACAAGGTCAACTCGGCAATGGACTCGCTCCTAACCCTCGAGAACAACTTCACAAGCACTGTCGCTTCTTTGGCGCCATCGCGTGAGTCCGGCGAGAGGATCATGCCTGGAGCTGTATACGTGCTTGTTGCCGCCATGGCTGGTAGCATTGCCACTCGCAACCGCAGCATACTTCTCAGAGGGCCCGCACCTCTAGCAATCGGTGTTGCGGCCGGCTGGGTTGTTTTACCCGTAACCATGCGCAACGTCAGCGATTTGCTGTGGAAGTACGAGCAGAAGTTCCCAGCCTTGGCGAATGGGCACTTGAAGGCGAAATCTGGCATTGAGCGTGCGATTTATATGACAAAGGTGCACACAGAGCAGGCGGTGAGAGTTGTTGACGAGAAGGTCGCCGAGGGAAGGGAAGCGGTTGAGGGATGGGTGAGCAAAGGGAAATAAATGAGCTGCGGTATGAGTCGAGCTTCTGTACAAAACTTCCCTTTTCGTTAAAGATATAAAATAAAACATTAGGAATCACGTCAGTGCGGAATAATCTCATGGAACTCACGGCCCTTCGCAAGACAAGGCAACTGGTGAACTTTGCTCTTACAACACAACTACGTTGGGCTCGACGTCTTCCCAGCCACAGTTAACCTCCTCCTGTATGGATTTTTCCAACAACCACAGTCTCAGATATACATCCTAAACCTCAACACTAGTCTCCGCCCACAACATGATTCTCCTGCCCAAACCCGAGTCACGGTTCGTCATGGGCTATCAAAAAGGGCCTGCGCGTTAATTGCCCCTCTCCCCTCCGTGCAAGGCCAACTCGTCCCTATGACCCGACCCCCCCGCCCGCCCAGATAAGGCCAACACTTCCGCAAGTTTTTGGGTCGCATTATCGAGCGCCTCGAGTGTCGCAGGCGGCTGTCCCATAGCCGATCTAGACTAAGTTATATCATACTCCCGTAGTACATGATGGTTAATACTTACTGGCATGGGGGACACCTTCTCGAATACATAACGTTGATACATGCTTTCCACAATATAGGAATGGAGTTGATACATGCTTTCCACAATATAGGCAATGATGTAAGTAGCAACAATAACTGATACGAAAACCGCCAAACAGAAGAAGAAATATTTCCAGTAATGGTTGATCATCCTCGACGTTCTCTCATAGGCTATCTCATCCTTCAACACTCTAGTTAGCTAATATTTTCAGTGGTGTCAAGAGTCTGGCTAGATACATCGTCTTTGTGTTTACACTTTTGGCATCCTGTCATAGTGACCCCTGGATTGGGTTCGGTTTCGGGCAATTTTATTTTTTTTGAATAGTTTGCGACGTGTATCTTCATGATTGTGCGAGGTGTTGTGTTTAATGCTACGGGTTGGGATTCTGATCTGGAAGGAGCGAGTGTAGTTGTTTACAATTACAATAATGAGCTGTTTTTAAGGCAGGCGCCGCCTTCCCTCATATATGGACACCTGACTATGACTATCATGCCCCCTATTTCTGTGCTCTAGTTTTTCGATTTGGCTGACACCTCCATCGCCACTGTTTCCGTTATCTGGTATTTCGGTTTGGCCGACATCTTCATCCCCATCAGCTCCCCCATTTCCGTTGTCTGGTTTTTCAATTTGGCTGACACCTCCATCACCATCAGACCCCTTGTTTCCTATGTGTGGGTTTTCGATTTGGCTTAGGATAACCAAGTATCGGGCTTCACAGTTATCCGGCGTATATTCGCGGTTGCTGATGTTCTTTCGACGCGGTTCTTGTGTCATCTGGCGTGCAATTTGGGGCTAGAAGGCCATTATCTCGAAGCCGTAGCGTGCCCTTGTTCCAGCTTGTTCCAGGAGGCTTGGCATGAGGGATTTGCTCGAGGAGAAGACTGTCTTCTGCGCCTGTCTAGTTGTGTCCGGGGTGATATACCTGGGATTGTGATATTTCCCCTCGGAATAATTTGCGTGTGGGGAGCCATGAATCCACTTCATGGGCTCGTGGTGGTAGTGGCGGAGTGTTCTATGTTTATCGGGTTCGTTATTTGGGAGCGTAGGCAGCATGATGAAACCCTCCTCCTGCCAGGCCTGCTCCAGCCGGGCGTACTCCAGCCAGTACTGCTCCAGCCGGAGGTGCTCCAGTCGGGCCCGCTCCAGTTGGGCTTGCTCCAGCCGGTACAGCTCCCACCGGGCTGCTCGCATAGTGTTTGCTGGAATATTGATGTAACTAATAAAATTCTTGTGTATGTATGTTGGATTGTTTGAATCAAAAGAGGTACAACAAACTGCTGTCTTGGTATGGTGTCCTAAACAGAAATCTATGGACGGAAGGGGCGATGTTGAGTCGAAGACCCAGTGTAAGTGATATGTGGTAAAGTAGAAGGAATGAAAACGGTCAACAAGCCTTAAACTGGAGTGGCAGGAGCAATAAGAGCAAGAGAGTGTTTCTGGTCCATGATGATATATAATCATAACTATTTTTGCAATTCAGTTGGATTTAATATTACCTTCTGGGCCTAATCCGTCCAGAATTCAAAATCCAAGGCTTGGGTTTGAGCCTTAAGACCTATAAAATCTTGCCTTCCTACTAGATACTGCTCTTAAAGTTGAAGCAGCGTAGCTGTCAACCCGGACCGCCCTATGGCTTGTCCCCATCTCAAGACTTGCCTTCCATCTTCCTCCTTTCCATTACTTTCAGCACATCCGCCGCGCTATTGACATCCCCCTTCCTCTTCTTCGGCCCACGCTTCCTCTTAGCCTTCCCATCGCCCCCCCCTTCCTCCCCATCATCATCACCGCCCCAATTAGAGAGTTTGATCTTCTCATCGCCATAGTCCTCTTCATCAGCAAACCGGCTGCTGCCAAATCCCATGTCAATATCATCAGCATCGCGGTCCTGCGACTGAAGCATCTTCTGAAGATTCGTCTCGCGTGCGGCGTCTTCTTCGGACTTGGCTTCTTTGACTTGACCTCCGATTTGCGACGCCTTTTTCAATGCAGCCAGAATCGTAGGATCTCCAAGAGCGGGCTTGGCAGAGGTTTTGGACGTTGGTGCCGTCTCGCCGAAATAATTCCTTGCTTTGACAACAGCTTTAGGTCGTGGAGGTGGTGGCATAGACAGCTTATCAAGTGAAGCCGTCTCCTCTTCAGGGGTCTGACTCGGACTCGGTACATCCTTGCTTGGTGCTTCCGCGATTTCACCATCTTCAGCTTCGGAGTCGACATCATCGTCTAAGCCAGCGAGAGGATCATAGTCGTCTCCAGCATCATCGAAAATGTCAAAGTCCTCATCTTCTTCAATTGTTGGAGTCGGTATATCAGGAACCTCCATTCCGAGAGGTGCTGCATCTTTATCCGGCATTAACAAGGCATGCTTCTCTTCCTTTGGTTGTTCTACCTGCACCCTTCTGACCTTTCGCTTCTCGTCTCCACGCTCATCCACGGTAATAAGCACTTCTCTCCCCCGTTCGTCTTTCTCAATCCTTGGCTCGGCCCTTGAGGCGCCCACCTTCTTAAACTTCGTACCAAGGGAAGGTCCAGCCTTCGCTTTCGCCTCTGCCCTTGCAGCCTTCAGCTCAGCCAATATCTGATCTCTATTCCTCTTCTTTCCAGGAACCAAAGATGCCTTCGCCATCTCTCCATGTTTTGCTGCCCTCTCCCGGGCCACAGGGACGATCTCTTTCTCTTCCAGCTTCTCAAACTCGTCGTCAACATCAACCTCATCTCCTTCGTCTTCCGCATTTTCCTTCGATTTCCCCTGCAGCACATCTTCCCCCCTTCTAACCCTCTCCAGTAGCTTATAGTCGAGTCCCTTCATAAGATGAACACTGTTGACATCTCCACCAATAATCTCATCTCGCAGCCTCTCAAATGTCGCTTGGTCGATCTGTTGTAGTTTCATCATCTCCTCCAGTGCCTTGACTCTTTCAGCCTTATCATCCTCCACCTCAGACTCTCGCATCTGTGTCCGGTCAACATATCCACTTGCGAGTTTTGCCCCTCTCGGCGCGGCAACCGATCGGAACTTCTTCGTCGGCTGTTGTCCAGAGACTTCTCGCTGGCGCTCTGCAAGTTGTCGCGCAAAATCGTTGCCTCCGGAAGTGGCTACAGACCGGCTACAAAAGACAGTTAGTTCTCATTCTAGGATATAGGTGGGGGCGGGAACCATACGGCGTCATAGGTATGCTGGAACGCATCCGTGAACCAAGGGCTGTGGCGCCACCATCGCGGCGTGGGGTGGCGCCAAGTGTCGCCTTGTTATCGCCATTAAGACTCTGCCGCGCAGGAGTATCGAGTACCAGCTTCCGAAACTGCTGATTGTTCATGGTGACGGTTGTTGCAAGAGAGTGTAGAGGGTTTGGGTTGTGGTCGCAGCGCAGCACCAGTTCACATCAGCGGCGATGCGAGGCTTTGAACGACGAGGCTACGGATTTAAATTTTGGTGTTCACCAATTGCTTTACCTATCTATCCAAAAAAAAAACCAACAGTGGAATTCCTCTTTCTTAGTAATCATAGCTCTGATCGAGAGCTTCTATTTATCTATAGCTATGCTCAATACAACAATGAGTTTTTCTGAACTATTTATCCCCACTTCAATTCTTGGCCGGAGCATTTATCGCATCTGCCTTCTCCAGACAATCCTCAATAACTTTCCAAAAGTTCTGCACATCGAGGCTCCTCGGTATCTTCACACCCTCCTGCCCCGGTGGCAAAAGCGTGGCAATTGTCCTGCCCGTCTCCGTCTTCCCATCAAGAGCTTCCGCGTGAGTACCCTCCGTGATAACCTTAACATTAAACCTCTCACGTCTACCCTGCTGTCCCTCCTCATGGTCATATAATGGTATGGCATATTCGGTGCCTTCAAACATTGCTGCTACCGCAATTGGATCGTGGAGGGGTGGCCCTTCTGACAACCCGAAAACTTTGTCGTATGTTTCGGCGAAGAAGCAAAGTAATTCGACCAGCATGGTTCGGAGAATCGAGGGTTTCGTATCGTTTGATGGAGTATCTTTCTTTCCATAATGTAATAGTTTAATAACTTCTTTATTGGCGAGGACCTGGTGGGAGACGTCCAGAGGGATAAGAGTCGTCTTAGCTGCCAACTCAGGAAGATCGAAGATAGTTACTGCTGCCTCGGGGTCCACAACTATATTAAATTCTACCGGTATTAGTAAAGATATATAACATTTATCGACTCAGTAATTTACCTGCGTAAGGAGTCCAGTTCCCGTATCGTTCAGTACTACCAACCTTTCCCATCGGTGCAGCAGTGAACCCACCACCGATAGCGCCTCCCATGATAGAAAGGCCCTTGAGATGCCCAACTACAGCTGGGTACTTCATAACCAGCCCGGCAACATTCGTTAATGTACCTGTTGCTACAAGCCAGCAGGTGTTTGGAGGTGTTGCAAGAATGGCTTTTGCCATGGCATCAACTGCTTCAATAGACAGATCGGCTGGTCCTGCTGGAGTTGGCAGAAGGTCTGTTCCAGCTAACCCGGATTCCCCTGGGGATTTCGTTAGCAGTTATGCCAACAAGGCATTGCTGGGATAGCTGTTGCGCACCATGGATAGCGTCAGCATGGACGGCAGGCCGAACCAGCGGCTTGCTTGCCCCTCTGTAAACCGGGATGTCTGGCTTCCCAATAGCCGTCAAGACACTCCCTGCGTTTGCTGTCGTCTTGTCTAAGGAAGCATTGCCATGGACAGTGCTTAGGCCCAAAAGCCCCACGGCTGGATGATGAGCTGCTAGTAAAATGGCGAAGGCATCCTATAAGTGGTGGTTAGCAATTGGTCACGGGTTGAGAATTCATATTTCCTGGATCTCCACCATGTGACAGCGGTAAGGATTCGTCCGTCATCCACAGAATTTGGCATGAGGAGGTGCCGCCGTCTGATAGAGAGGTGTTGTCAGGGTGGTAAGGAGACAAACATCATGACCTTACAATATTAGCCACAACTTCTGCAACTTGATAGAAAGGACTTTACCAGGATCGCAGTCTAGCCATATAGGTATTTTATTGGTCGATGCCATTTTGAACAGCGAATATTCAAAAAAAGGGGCCGCCGAGCTGTTTGTTTGAAGAATATTGAATCCCTCATATCCTGGCTTCAGAGCTGTGGGGTACGAGTGGGCTAACCGCGTGATCTGTTTACGTAGGCCAAATGACGGTTCTACTTTTTGGAGCTTATATTCACTTTTTGGCTGTTGTAACTTATGGGTTGACGTTTGATGACTATTGTACTGCTAGTCGTATATGAATGCGACATTGTAGGGAGTTGAAGATGTTTTTTTGGATTGTGTTGCGATGCAAAATAGAGCGTGTGGCCGAAGTGTAAATTCTTGAATGGTGAATATATCCGAATTCATTATAAGAAATTATTTTAGCACTCAAGATAAATAAACAAACAAAACAAATGTATGAATCAATATTAATGACCCTATACTACACATATCTACCTATTATCTAGTGATGGAGTTAATGTAGTCGCTTCAAATTACGAAAAATAAAATATCAATACAAATACACGTCGAGTATCAATACCGACAGATCCACCCTACCAATCCTTCACTTCATGCTTGTCATCGTGTTCAACGCCTCCAGCAGTCCCCCTAGCATTTTTAATTTCCCACTCAAACTCCTTCAACGCCCTGAGCTCGCTCCCAACAAACAGTCCCCCGATCAGACCATCGATTACCCCAGCGCTCAAACCCAACGTGGATAAAAGCATAAGCAAGAACGACACAAAGTTCCTTGGAGACCACCATATTGCAATAAGACAACCGATGGAGATGACAAGCGATCCAATAAAGTGGTACAGCCTCCATCGCCGCTGCTTCCCTTCTCGGATCGTGTAGGTGTGGATCATTTCCAATATCTCATCATATGTCGAGGGCAGGAGATACGAAACACCCAAAACCTTATGTTTCTCGGATCCACTCTCTGTATGGCCATGAGTGACCGGTGGGCTGGGTAGAGCCACATTGCTCTCCTGTCCTGCGACATCACTCCATCGGAGTGTAGCTCCCACCGAAAAGTGATCACTGAGAGAGCACTGAAAAGTAGGGTGCGGCTCAGTCATGCCAACATAAGCAGATTCCACTACCCACGCCCCAGCCTCTCCGTGCCTTTTGCCGTCCCCTGCAAATATGTAATCAAGTCGCTTAGCCTTTGGGTCGCTGGTACTGAGCGGTATAGTAATGGCAGGTTTCCCCAGGCCCAACTTTTGCTGCTCTTCCTTGCTCCACCTCCAAGTGTTCAGCACACTGTCACAGGTAATTCCGTTTTCGTTTAGGTTCAACGCAGCAGTCGGGACGCCTCGCATCCTAGCTTTCTCGCTTTTGTCGATTGCTGCTCCTAGACTGGAATCTGGGTGCAATGCGCGCCATACGTCTTGGACAGGTGCATGTGACGTGACTAGGCGATGGGCTAATGAAAGCGGTATCATATTAAAGTCTCCCAGTGCGATGGCGAGATGCCCTCGGTCTGCTGCTCCGCGGATGAGTTTTGCAACCTCCCATGCCTGGGCGGTTCTGTGGCAGATATAGGAGTCATGTGGCTCAACTTCGTAAGGAGCATGGAGCTGGCGTGGTGTTAGTAGGTTGATAAAAGGGGAAGGGTAAGACTTACATGAGTTGTAAACACTTCGACAATATCCTTAGGACCTGAGCCTATGCGAATCCTCGCACAAGCAACGCCCTTTCCAACGTACCAGTCTCCCCTGAAAAATGCGGTTGGCCGTCCATTAAGTCGATATGGCACCATTGAACTCTCCTCTATGGGCCATTTCGATAGAATTGCAAGACCTGCTCCAAAAATTCCACCATAGTACAATTTACCATAGGGCAATATATGGCGAGTTTCCTTGCGGATTGCTACATAGTCTTCGTGGGTCCAGAGTTCCTGGAGCCCAACAATTTGAGGTGTGGGCTCGGCGGTGACGATACGCTTCCCAATTTCCAAAAGTCGCTCATGTTGAAGCGTCGAGATATACTTGAGCCCCCAGCAGTTGAGGGTTAATATGTTAAGCTCCTCTGGCGTGGAAGCCATGGTGGCGGTTATGTTTTGGAAGTGGCGTTGGTTGATATAGGATATGTGGCAAAAGACCTTTAAGGAGCCATTGCTGGTTCTTCTTCAAGTTAGTAGGAAGGTATATTGCTGGCAATGGTTTTGATAACAAAGCAAACTGAATAAAGTAACGTGGCCCTGGAAGACAAACTTGCGAAAGATATGGCGGCATGAGATTTGGAGTCTGGAGCAACGTTGCGAGAACATTGCCCGAACGGGCCAAGAAGGTCATAGCTCCGCACATCAACACCACGCCGCCTGGGCCTGAAGGTCGCATTATTTGGCCCACCTTCAATCACTTTCGAACAACGTCCAAGTTACAGCTACACGCTATGAAGGAAGTCACCAACACGCTTTTATCTACTACCCATGTTTTTTTTGACAATATATACTGGTGATGCATAGATTATCATATAATTTGACTTCATTGGAGCTTAATACATGAAAAATTAAATAGGGGAGTGAGATTCCAAGGTATAATTATCAGTATCTACCATTCAATCAACCGTGGGCTTTCCCAACGAGTCCAGGTTCAATAGACTTCAGATGAGACTGTATCTAAGCCAAGAATAACCATTGAAGAAACTTCATCTATCTAACCCAACTCCCAGCCTTATTAAACGTCGCCGCATGAGCTGACAATTCGGTCCCTCATCTCTCATATTTATATAAACGGCACTCCGATACACCCCATTCCAACCCACAAACTAACTATATAGTTTCCCACCCCCCATTGTTGATATCTTGCTCCAGCTTCCGGCTAATTACACTTGGAATCCCGTGCTGCAGCCATGTGTTCCTTAACAATGCATCATAACGCTTCTGGTGGAGGTGAAGCTGTCGTCCATGGCGGAGACCTGGGTCAACCTCGCCGAATTTGTCAATGTACGGCGCCACCATCCAGCTGCCGGAGTTGTGATGCAAATAGAAGACCGTGCACTTCCTAATATTGATGAAGAGGCCGATGTGAATTTGGCACCTATAGTACGTTAGTAATGTTTCACAAAATTGTATGCGGGTACTACTTACTTCCTCATGTGCTGTTGTGCGCCACCAATCTTGACAGAAGGTTTGCCTCTCGTCTTGGGTTCTTCCTTCAGGCAGCACATTGCTTGACCACAAAAGATTGTACCACAGAACAAACAGAGCATGGGGTCTGTAAGATCTTTGCCGGTGGTTGGGCAGCGTCCTTTCATTGTCTCTTCCATTAGGGTATCGTAGTTCTTGGGCAATCCGATAAGCTCGAAAATGGAAGGATGAGAAACAGAGATGTCTTTGGCCTTTTTATCGGATTTTCCCTCTTCGGGAGCATGCTTTGTTTGCCAAGCGAAGTGGGCATGAATCCACCCCCAAATAATGTGTTGCGTGGTGGAGATATCATCATATGACAAATTATCGTCATTGTCAATGATGTCGTCTATCTTCGCTGTGCTCTTTTGGACAATAAGGTCACATATATCGTCAAACGAAGGCAGTCGAAGGGCCTCAGAAAGACGTCCCAACTCATCATCTGAATTGTGAGGGAAAAAGCTGTTGAAATCTGTTCCATATCGAACGTACAGTAACAGAGATGCTTTGCGGAGGAACACGAGAGCGTACTTCTTCACGAACTCCTTGCAATCATCAATGCCACTGAAGCATTCTTGATCAAACCCTTCCAACTCATCACCGGGTTCTTCGAAGGGCTGTGCGTTGTCCAAGCCTAGCATTACCCTGTGCCTCATATCTAGCTTTGTGATATATGAGCAAGCACGTTGGAATGAGCTCTCCTCTGTAGCTTTCTGGTCGTCATTGAGAAGGCCAGCCCAAGACAGCCACTTCGCGGAAGGAGCGTTACGTGCCATGGCCAGAACCACCTTGACAATCTCCGCAACGTAGCAAAGACATAAAATATGCATGATGTCAAGGTCGAGAACTGGAGCCAAGCAGAGCGATGTTTCCGTGAGGAAGTTGAAAATATCACAGTTGAGCAACGGATAGTGGTCTCTTTCCTCGCAATGCGACCTCAAAGCTTGAGGGTATCCACAGAAAAGCTGTTCAATCTGGCGGTCATAGGTATTCATGAATGCAGCTGCTGTCGGATTGTTACCTTCGTTCTTCAATCCTCCAATGGCTACGTAAGAAGCCGCCGTTTCCGAAAGAATTCGTAAATGAGTCAGGCTCTGTTGTGGAACCTTCTCTATGAAAGTTGAACCACTCTCTGAATCAACACCACGTTGGAGGATTTCTACGGCGGAAATCGAGAACCCAAGAGCTTGGGCCACAGTGTCACCTGCGTAAAAGGCGTCTGCGCCTTCTGGACGCGGCTCGGGAATCTCCCGACTAATCAACTTGTTTCTCACTATGGTGTCAGAAAGGCGACGGAATATTCTGACGAGTTCTATCAACCCAGGATCGGCAGTGCTCGTTTGTGGCGGGGTAACGTTTGGAAGCTCAAGAGCGGCGTCAGGAGGAAATGCGCCCGGCAGCATTCGCATTGGCGCTCTGTTTGCTTGTAATATGTTAAGGGCGTTATCTGATAGAGATGTTGGAGACGAAAGTACAGCCTCCCATGCTTCGTCTAGATTAGGCACTTTACTTGACAACGACTGAACTACATTTTCCTGGATGTAGTTAAGAAACATGTCTCGGAAACGAGACCCAGGAAATTCTCCATCACCAAGTGGTGCAGCGCTCTTCTCCTGCCTTTTAACGGCAGAGGGCAAAACGGAATCAAGCCACTCGTCATATGGCGCAGAAGTATTCAAAAGTCCCGGATACGACTCCTCTTTGCCGCGCCAAATGATTGGAAGGAACGCATTACCCTGGGCTTTGCATAATGGACAGACAAACTCGTTGAGGTCAAGCCTCTCGGGATGGTGTCTAGCGATCTGATGACTCTGTCGTCGGGATGAAGCCTCGTAATATAATTCGAAGCATTTATAATGCATGATGTGTCCGCAGCCGACAGACACAGGGCCAAGCTTCATCGATTTAGAGGGGAAGCCCTTGCCTATCGTCTGCCTCTCACTAACAACCTCCTGGCCATTGGTAGCAATTTTGTGCACAACATGTCTGTTCTGACCGGAAACGCCAAATGGCCTGATTGCCTCAGCAAAACGGTCAAGATTAGCGGGCACGCTCGCAGCTTCTTTGACAAAATCCTGATCCGAAAAGTCTGTTTGACGCAGAATACCACTCTCTTCCATCATAGCGAAAGTACCATATGGCTTACTGTCATTCGTATCTTCTTGGCAAAGGATGCAATTGCCAGACGGATATTGCCAGTTGTTCTTGCGCTCTTCAGCTTGCACGTCCATATCCTCATCGCTTAAGTCTTCTTGGGCCCAGTCGGCGTCACCTTGATTGCTGAGGAAGTTCTTTTGTTGTTGCTGGAATTGGGCCATGACCTTTGCTTGCCTCTCAAGTGCTGCCTTCTTCTTCTTATCTCGCTCCTCATCTGGATTCACGATGGCCGGGGATGCTGTGGATACTCTGTCAACCGAAGCTCCAAGTTTTGCAAAGGCACTCTCAAAGCCCCGAGGTCTCTTTTGCCTCATTCTCTTCAAAACCAGGCTTATTTTAGGATGGCAGGATTTAAACGCCTCTCTGGTTGACATAATTTCCAAGATGGATACTATAGTCTTCGCCTGAGGTGCATCATTCATGAAATTGCTCCTCGCATTCCTTGTTAATGCAATGTAAACGAAGGATTGGAGAGCCTCTTCCGACATGTCGTCCTCTTCAGTGTTATCTTCTGCAATTGAAATAAGGACTAAGTGTAAAACCACATGGAGGAAAGCCTCTACCCTTGTGGCAGGTACAGTTGGAGTGAGCTCCTGTGATTTTAGGGGATACAACAGGGAGTAGTAAATGATCTGAGCGAATATTCCGGTCTTAGTGAAAGCGGACAAATCCATAAAAATACCCGATTCAATAGGACGAAGCTTCGACTCAAATACAACATCGGCCGCCGGTCGTCCGGTTTTCTTGGATACCCAGTTGCGATACGCAGTTTCTGACTCTTCTCTTTGGTTTTTGTTATAGTGCGCAATGTAAGGGTCAATTTCCTTCAGAAATTGTTCTTGTAGCTCAAACGTTCCAACATCAGAGAGTCCCTCGGGCGCTTTGAATATCGTCATTTCGTCCAATAGATCCTGGCATTCTTCTTGTTCTTGGAACTTATCCGGCAATTTGCTACAGATCTCTGAGAATGATAATGGCTTGAAGCAAAGGACATGCACAATATCGCGTCTCAGGGCAACCGTATGTGGGTTGGGCTCGGACTCGATAGGAACCAAGGATGTCCTATCGCAGAGCAATACAATGAGCAGGTGTATCATATCTTCTGCAACGTCGAGCTGCTGTTGGTGGTCCAGAACATCAGAGTTCTGCTCATAGATGCCCTTCATCCACATTTCCAACCCATATCTATCAATCATCGATGCCAATACGCGACTCGGCGAGCAAATGACCATAGCGGTTTGTAGCAGGAATAAGTCTCGATGGTGAGTTACATCTCGCTGGGTAACTCCTCGGTATGTGCCAGCCTGATGGCGAAGGCTCATACCATTGCGAACCCACATACTAGCCTTCATCTGCGCCAACCACGCGCAAACTCGAAGTGGATAGTCGAATGCTGCCATGAGTAAATCCTCCGAGCTATACTCATGGGTTGGCATAAGTCGCTGGCCCATAAGCTTTGGCTTTTGCATTAAGCCGTCTTGAGTAAAAGTAAGCAGGTTAGAAAATTCATCGCGAGACATGCTCTTGCCGCACTCAATGAGCCATGATAGCGTGTAATGCAGAGCATGATGAAAACTGATCGGCTGATCTTCGACGATGAACTTGATAACACTGTGTTCGCCAGTCTCCGAAGTATCAAACTCATAATCCGCAACTGTTTTGAACTTCACTTCTTCTTTGATCTCAGAGCCTTCAAATCGTCTGCGCTCCAAGCCCAGCGAGTTTATGATGACTGTATTCGCAGAGAAACGAATGGCCCTATTAATAGCAGACATATCTTCGCCAAGCTTCCACTTGAAAGACTCTGAGAACTGGCGGCATAGGCGGTTGATCTCTCTAGTCACTAGGGAGGCGCTTATCCAAGCATCAGTCTCGTACTCGAGATGGTCGCCTACGGCTCTGACATTCGGACATATTCCTTGATGAAGCTTGACAAGGTCAAGGAACTGCATCATGTATCTCTCGTCTGTCCGGAGCCTTTCATGAACGTGTGGCGCATTGAAAAGATAGCGAAGATCCATGAAAAAGTGATACATGCGGCGGTTGGTTACAGAACCAGTTTCAAACTTGAGAACGGCATTTGGATTGATCTCAATTGGCGGCGCAACTTGCCTAGCGGTTAGGAACGTAAATAATATAGACATCAGATGTGTCAAGAAGTTCCCTCTCTCGACAATTTCTGACGTGATGGATGGTGTCGTGAGCATCTGTAAGGAGATATTGATTATCGAGTAATCAGGCTCGCGATCAGCAATTAAATATAACTGCGCCAAGAGAGTGTATAATCCAGCAAAGCGAAGTCCCAGCACACGCTTAAACTCAGGGATTGTGACGACGGTAGAAATGTAAAGGTCACGGAGATCGACCCGGACCTTTTTCCACATCCTTAAGTCGAAGAGGATCATCCAGTCAAGTCTTACGCGCTGCCAAAGATCTTCGTGTAGCGGTATAGACTCCCTATCACTGAACGCTTCTGGTGTCTCAAGCCAGTATCTCGGTGGCCTTCCAACCTTCTCAGGTCTAGCATGCTTCGGCCCTGGGGTTTTGGGGATATCCATATTGGCTTTGGCATAGATGGAAGATGTTATTAACGGCTCTGCCATATCCGAATCCGACGGAGTAGTTTCACGATCCATTAGAGCCCTCTGGGTGTCTAAACCTGGAGGTGGCGGTGGTGGAGGGGGAGGCGGCGGCGGATATCCAGCCATAGTGGCTTCATCTGCCTCTTGCGCTGATGCATCATCCGTCATCTCGACATCTCCATCTTGATCGCCACCCGCCTGTGCCTCAACTAGCATGACGTCCATAATTGATTGAAGTTCTTCTTCGCCCACATCTTCACCCTCACTCAGCTCACCTCCATCTTCATCTCCGTCTTCGTCTTCGTCCTCCGAGCTTTCCATTTCATTCGCTCGTTCAGCCTCCGCCATAGCGGCCTCCAAACGTACGATCTGTATATTCCGCGCCCCTAATAGCATCATTCTATCTTCGTTTTCTCTTTCTTGGTCTTCAATTTCTAGGTCGTCGATACCGCTCTTGCCGATTTCTGCGTTGACAGCCTCACTTCCCGTTCGCCAAGATTTGAGCATTTCCTCGCATACAACGTCTCGTAGGATATTGTGGTCTCCACCAACGCTGCAGCCCGAGATATCTCCAAGCCATTGGATAATTGTTCCACACATCTGTTCCCTGAATGTATCTCGAGCAGAGCGGATGCTAACCGTAACTTTGATGTGCTCGATGACCTCCGCGACGGCAAGTAATTCGTTGATATCAAAACTGTACTTCACAATAGCCCGTCCCATGTCATCGGTTTCGTAGGCTCGTTGTAACCCTTCCGCTACCCTGACTTTGCAGGCCCGAGAGACTTGCAGGCTAACCTCCTCCACCGTATGCTTTTCGTCATTCCACAATATCAGGACGTACTCAATAGGCTCTTCGACTATATCTCCTCGGTAGTAAGGGGATGTGAGGCGGGACATTCGCTCATCGAGTTTGATGCTATCAACCGTCTTAGGGAGTCGTAAGTGTTCTGGCGAACAGGATATAACATCGCATACGTAGTCGAAAGCTCGGCCAATGGTCATCCTAATGCTCTCGATAAGTTCATCTGGCAGTCCAGACGTCTCTTTTGATTTCCCAGACCTTTTTGCTTCATGCTCGCTCTCGCTATGTATCGTGCAGTGCACAGGGCGTTTCCATGCCTCAGGGTCGCCACAGTCGCAGCAGCCGCTGTTTCCAGGGGATATGCTAATATACACCATGTGGTCCGTATGATCAGAAGAATCGTAGCATCTACTGCAAAGAACACAGGTATCATCTGCGCTGCACGTCTTGCATCTGTATGTTGCCTCGCCACTCTTGAAGATATGACCGCAAGCCTTGCCCCTCGCCGCCTCTGTGTATTCTGCTCCATCCACGGCGCCTTGAGCTCCCCGAAGCTCCCATTTCTCGTTTGGTGCAGGTTGACGTCCCTCAGGAAAGAAGAGTCGCATATACTTGTCCTGGCCGCCTGCTAAAGACCAGAAAAGGTTATAAAGAAGGTCGTTGCTTGCGGATTCGTCATAACGGTTCTTCTTCACCAGCGGCAAGTCTCTGAAAAACTCGCAGAGCTGCCGCTCCTGTGTCGACATTCCATTCGCTGCCATCGATGCTATCCCATGTGCTTGGTGGGCAGCTGCAGCTTCATTTCTTTGTGGTGAGTTGATGCTTTGTTTGCTTTGCGGTTGCCACCAACATCTACGATAACGATAAGGAAGGGTTAGTGGCTGTTGGGCTCACGGCTGTTCTGTGCGTCACGACTACGACACCCCTTGGCTTTAAACCACAGAATATCGCAGGCACGGAAGGGTATGTTCAATAGCAGAAAATAAATTCAGATCAGGCCTGTCGTGTAATACAATATCCTCACTATATATAGGTACTTTCCGGATCACAATAGATTGAGGCGAAACTATGGCGTTTTGTCATGTTTCACTCCAAATATTAGTTAGGTTTGAATTGGCCCGCCTGCCATTTGAGCCTCTGAGGGGCCGCATCAGTTCAAAGTCAGTAATCTCTATTCCGATGCCATGGGGGATGCAGATTTTGAGAAAGTTTGCCAATAGACGCAATGCAATATTTGTACATTCGATCCCCAAGTCTACTCGCTTCACAGTCTATTGTTCGCTATTATCGATTCCTTCCTTGCTTGTCCCCCATTGGCTCGACTTTACTCGTCGTCGCCTGCCTCGACATACTTTGCACGGATGTCCTTCCATTGTCTCTGTAAATGTTATTAGTTACTGCCGTAGAATGCCCGGAGTGGTGTAGTAACATACGCCCTTGTTGATCTTATCCCAGAGCGAGTCTGTAACAGAGTCGAAGGTCCTGCCCATCCATTAGCAGTTGTTGTAATTCGCCGTCCACATTCCAGGGAGTGCTCACATCTCGAAAGCGAAAGCGCCGGCGAAGACCGTCCCGAGGAAGACATAATTCCTGCGGACGAAGAGGCTAGACGTGTGTTAGAAGAGGCGGTTCGATTCAATTGCTGATTCACGGGCATCGCGAGGGGGGACTTGCTTGTAGAAGTTCTTTCCGATCTGTGAACAGAGTCATTAGCTATTGCCCATTTGTAAATTTGCGCGGTTTAATACTCACAGCCGACATTGTGACGTTTGAAGCGTTGCGTTCAATAGGTTATGTGGACAAGAGAGGCTGTAGAAGCTGTTGTCGTGAAGATGTTCGGCCATTGACTTCTTTGCTTCCGGGTATTACCGGGCTTGTGATTGGCTCCTGATCTAACAGCGCAGCCTCGTGCTCTAAAACTTTTTAGTTTGAAGATCAGGCACAACTATTCCGGACCAGTAAATATCGCTGTACAATAAAGAATTAAATACTAATTTTCATTGTATGCGTTCGCTCATGGTATAAGATACCATGCCGTCTGTTCCGACTCCCTCCAAAGCTGGGATTATTCAGGGCGAATCTGGAGACCGCCATATTCCCTCGTCCACACGAGCTGACGGCTCGAAGCGCAAAGAAATCAAGATTCGGCCCGGTTATAAGCCTCCGGAGGATGTTGAAGTTTACAAGAACCAGACGGCTGCGGGCTTTCGGGCCAGGGGACAGGGTGGAGTACCCGGTGCGGCTGCATTAAAGAAGGAGGAACCCGAGTCCGCAGCTGCGAGCAATAAGAATTCGAAACGACGAGAGGCAAGAAGGAAGGCTGCTGCCACTGCGTTGTCGTCTTCTACCAATCCTGAGACGGAAGCCCGCACGGAAACAAACTGGAGACAACCCGCCACCAACCAACCCGAAGCTGCAGCGGAAGAGGCTGTAGATCCAGAAGCCGAACGAGAAAAGAAGGCACGGAACCTGAAGAAGAAGCTCAAGCAGGCGAAAGATTTGAAGGAAAAGAAGGAAGGTGGTGCGGCATTGCTTCCGGAGCAATTTGCGAAGGTGATCAAGATCAACGAGCTTATCCGAGAGCTGGATGCCCTTGGTTTCGGTCCAGAAGGAGAACCCAAAGAAGTCGAGGCGAAGGCGGAAAAATGATCACTCTGAGTTCTAAATTATGTCACATTTATGAGGGCGTTGGGCATATTTTTGCTAGGTTTCGGTGTTATAAACTGGGTTGGCGTCAAATGACATAGACCAAGATGAGCATGCAATCACACGTGGGTGTCAGTCTGGCCTATATGTAGCTAATATTTTAATCGCTAAAGTAACTCATCCTTCGGCCTAGAAGGAAGCTCTTGCAGGGTATCATCTTCCATATTAACTTCAACATCCATCGGTTCTTCAGCTGTGATCTGCTCGCCTGCATCTACGTCGACAAGCCCGTTTGCACCCCCTCCACTTTCTTTGCTTCCATCTTTGGCAGCACCCTCATCTTGGAAACCTCCCATCCCAGTGGATGAATCTTCGGACCTTGAGCCGTGTTGCTTGTCCGATTCATTCAACAAGGAATTGGACGTTTCCTCGTCGCCTTCATTGATCCATACCTTGATCTTGCTGTCTAGCCCGCAGCTGACAATCCTACCACTCGCTGGGTGCGTATCAACGTTCAGCACAACTCCGTCGTGTGCATCAAGCTTCTGAAGAATCTCTTTACTCTTTGTGTCCCAAAAGACTACCTTTCCATCTTCACTTCCAGACACAATAAACGCCTCGGAGCCGTAAATACCGAATGCCCCGGAGATACTGTATCTGTTATTCACGTGGCCCTGATAAGTCTTTTTGCAAAGGCCTGTCAAGTAATCCCAAAGCCGTATGCACCCATCGAGTGTCCATGCAAGAACATGTTTTCCATTTGGTGAGAACTTCACACTCACAACACCGGCATTGTCTTCATGAACTATTGTTCTCAGGCATTGGCCAGATGCGGTATCCCATATCCGAATAAGCCCATCGCCAGCGCAAGAAACAGCCAATGTCCCATCTCGAATGCAATCGACTCCAGCGACAGGGTCGGAGTGTGCCGGCAAGCTTCGCATTTGGCGCCCTGCGCGGACATCCCATAGAAAGACGGCTTCGTCAAATGAGCCACTGACAAGGACATTCCCCCTGGGAGAAAATGCTATTGAATAAACATAATTGTGGTGGCCTTTCCAAGGCTTTGGATGCGGTTTTCCGGTGGTCACGTCCCATAGCCGTATCGTCTTATCGTCAGAACCAGACGCAATAGTCTGTGAATCAGGGCTCCATGAAACCGTCGATATTCCGGCAAGGTGTCCTCTCAATTCATGGACAAGATTCCCTGTTGATGCTTCCCATATCTTTATAGTTGCATCTGCAGAGGCACTTGCGATCCACTGTCCGTCTGGTGAGAACGCCACTTGCGAGATGCCTCTCTCGTGAGCATCTAATTCGTACTTAAGCCTGTATCGAACTTGTAATGGCTCCTCTCGGCTCTTTAAATCTGCCTCTTCATTGTTGTCGTGGATCTCCGTTGAACTCGGTGTCTGGGAAGGCGATACAGATTCGGACTGGCTTTGGTGGTCATGATTGCTCTCAATGTCCTCTTCATCGGCGTAGAAAGTATGAGCTAACTCATCATGGCTTGGACTTCTATCAGGGCTGGATTCTGCGGCGGCTTTGCGCCGGCTTGTATTGCCTTTATTGGTGTTCATGCGCGAGTCCCTACTTGCGGTTTGGTGATGTTCGTCGCCATTTACGACAAGCTCGTCTGGGAAGCTGTATCTCGGTGTAGCCTTATCATCGTTGGAAAGTCGTCGCCTCTTCACAGACCGTTCCGTATCTACAGGCGTGGTGGCATATGAGTCGTCATCGGACATTGTGGGCGTTGCATTTGTAAATGTCGAGGAGAGGCTCAGCCTGATGCGCGCGGCGCGCTTCAAGCGAGCAGTACCGTCTCTTGCGTCTATGGCGCGACTAAGCCCGTCTACAGATATGCAGCACAAGACAGCAACAAACGTGATGCATAGCTAAAAAGCACCTGCAATGGATATTGATGATATTCTGAGAGAGGCAGACCCCGAGGATTACTCTGCGCCTGGCGATGATGGAGATTTGGAGGCATTGACCAGGGCATGGGTTGCTGAACGTTCAGCTCCCGAGTTGTTGGAGTATGTACCATACATCGTGACTACGCTCGGGAAATATCAAAATTGGATCCTAACGAATGCTTTCTAGTTGGCCGTCTAATGGCCTGATCCAAAGAGCCAACGAGAAAATTCAGAGGCAAATCGAGAAGGTCGAAGTCATGACCGGCGACGTGGACCCCAAGACAAATTTTGGTCTCGTTATCATCCAAACTGAGCTAGAGAGGTGGAAGTACTTGGTGCGGGGATTTTTGAGAGCAAGGCTTGCCAAGGTATATATTGTTGTGCCTTTATTAACTTTTGATACTAAACATCTTTGCAGATTGACAAGCACACACTTCACTATCTATCTTCGCCCTCTCTTAGGTCACGACTCTCGCCGTCGGAGATTTCATTTGCGACACGCCATCAAGCTCTGCTCCACGAGCATTATCTTTTGTCTTTCTTGCAGTCATTTCCTCCCCAGTTAAGGAATCTAGATGATACCGCGGGTGGAATTAGCATGGTTGACGCTCCTGAACTTGACACAGCAGTCTTTATCAGGGCCCTGAAAGACTGTCTTGTTGGAACTCAAGGGGGAAATGCAGAAGATATGGTGGAAGCTTTGGCCGGAGAAGTGCTGATTTCCAGGTGGGCGGATGTAAAGCCTTTGGTGCTGAGCGGGGATGCGGAACTTGTTTGACGGAATGGATTTCAATGTTTCCAAGAAAGGAGCAACATGCGATTCCTGCCCTGGTTGCGATTTCTTGTTCTCAGATACTGCCTATAAGCACGTTGTTTGGTCACCTTTTGAAACGGAAGGCACTAAGTTATTCAAGACGGCGGGCTTGAGAGATTAGAGTCTGATCTCCATGTTGTAGTTTGAGATGGGCTAAATATATCAAAGGATCTTGAGCTCTTGCCCGAGTGACAGAGTAAACTGCCACTGTTACGGAACACGTCGAAGGTTGGAATGCCAGCGGGCAATGTGAGCCAGATCACGAGTTTTGATTAACGAGATCAAGGTTTACGGCTATTATTGTTTGTCGATATAGCCAGCTTGTAGAGAGACATGCTTTTATTACGAGCTGGCAGTATATGGAAAGACTATAGAATGAAAGAAAGTATATTGAAAGACTATGGAGTGAAAACGTAGCAATTATAACTGAGGATTGCTAGATTCTCTTGTTCAACATGCCAGTCACAATCTCCAAGCAGCCCATGGTTGATATTCAGTTATCCGTGAGTTTCCATAAGCGCCTATCAAGCAAACTCCTTTGTTCTATGCATAATATTTATATGTGAGAGCAGAACCTAGACAATTAATTGCAACTCCATGACCGTCACAACCATGGGGGAACCAACGCCAGGTTTGACGCGTTAATTGCGTCCCGTGGGTTAAAGGAAGGAGAAGAAGCATACAATAAATGCAAAGCTAAGTTCTTCATGGACGCGATGAAGGTTGTCAACGACAAGGTTGCCAGTGGAGACCCAACAGCCAAACGCCTTGAGGCCGAGTATGCAACACTCGTCGAAACTCGTGGATCACAAAATCGTATTCCGAAAATGGAAAAAGCAGACAGCAATAGCCAACCCCAGGCGACTGAAGATCTGGAATCGAAATTCCAACTTCTGGCTAATGCTGCAGGCACCCTTCCAGGCCAACCTGGCTACAAACGACTGCTCCGCAAATTTCTCACTGCAGAATACGCCACAAACGCGCAGGAATATTGTTCCAATGCAAGAAATGTCAAAGACAAGAATAAGACGTTCAAGTTTGAGGCTCTTGCACTTGTCTGCGGTCTGAAGTACGACAGCCCAAGTTACAACTAAGTTTATAACAACTTCTTCCAAAAAAAAGGAATCTTGCTCACCAGCGCCTTGAAATCCACAACGGGGCACGAGAAGATCTCTTCTACCAAGAACATGGCACAGGAAACGAACCATTGCACCCCTGAAGCTGCATCTTCTCAGCCTGACAATGAGAGTGCCACCATGAAGAGCTTGCGCAACAAGATCGCCGCAGCCCGGCTTGATGGCGCCGTGTCAGCATCTGCTGCCCGAGTGCTAGAAGCGGAAGTAAGATTTGAGGAACTTGCCCTTTCCCTTAGACTCATCAAAGGAAGGAATAGTTACAAAAACTATCGACGCCAATTTTTCGAATATGAATCCTCAAGAGATCACATTCTTAAATCGGGAGATGATATCGCCATTGAGAAACTGGAGAGATTTGAAGAGAGTTGTGCCGCTCGCGGGTTACAGCAAGGAAGCAAGGAGTTCAGGACATTCAAGAAGCATTTTGATATCGAGAACGAAAACGACACCGAAACTTCGACTGATAGTTCGTTCTCCATGTGTGGGTTTACTTCAGCGGATGATGATTCCCAGTATGCTCTTCAATTCAAAGGCAGATTGAAAACGGGCAACAACCATGGTCAACCCGAGGGCGGAGTGGTGGGTGGCCGCCAGGTATCAGACGGAAAGCAGCCCAGACACGGCCATAATCGTGCTCAAAAAGATGGTTCTCAAAAAGGCAGTGGTCCAAAAGATGGTGCTCCAAAAGACAGCCCTCTAAAGGACGGTGCTCGGAAAACTGGACCTCAGAAAGGCAGTGCTGGAAAAGATGGTGCTCCAAAGGATGGTGCTCAGAAAGGCCGTTCTAACAAATCCCGTGCCGAAAAAGCGAAGGAAGAATTCAATGCTTACTTTCCTGATACTCACAAGCTTGAAAACTGGCAGAAACTCTGTCGGGACCTTGGTATCAACCCCGTTCCCAGCTCTATCACAAAGTGCAAAATGGTAAGCAGCTCCTGGCACTTTGTTCGCACCCTATTTTGGTTGTTTTCTAATGCATAATAGGAAACGAAGAAGATTTATGTCAATATCTACCAGTTTCTCCATCAGATTAAGACGGGTTTTCCCGCGACTAGGTTCCCCAGTCAGAAGGCATTGGCCAAGTACTGTAATGGAGGGAGCAAGAGAAAGTTCCCACGGCAAATTGCAAAAGAGAGAGGCGCACTTGCTGGCTTGCTTCATTACCTCTATTAGAGAGCAGCTCTTGGATAGGCCAGCCGATATGTTGTGACAGGGCCTATCAGTTCTCAATTCGACCAGGCACAAATGGGACGAATGTTCAACAATCTGTAGCTCGGTGAATTGCACTTGCAACACTAGTTGGTCATGTCTAGTCTTGGCTGAATATAATTGCACTAATTTATATCTCAACTTCTCACGAAAGACATGATTTGTATGGGATATGTATCTGGTATTATTCGCAGTGACATGGCCCAACCCATGTTTGGCCGCCATTTCTGCTCCCCATCGAATTTAAATGTAGAATGGCATACGAAGCCTAGATATTCCAGTACATCTTTGCAGTCAACCAAAAATGCCGTTAATATTACCTGGACACGTGTAAGTGATCATATGGCTTCCACCATTACTTGGGCATTCAATCAGTAAGTTCTGCTTCCACACGAAGTCCATTACTCAGCCCTTTCCCTAAACCATCGAAGAGATCAAGCAGTTTCCCAGTTTCTATCCATAGACGGCCCAGCGGATTCGGTGTTATCTGAAGCTTGATGCCCGATTTCTTACCTTTGTTTCCGAGAGTGGTAGAATGGGTAGGGTTAAATCTGTAATATTGTTAAGAAAAGATATTTGAACTGAGGGGCTTAACGTACTTAAGCAATTCTTTGAGTGTCAGGGGATCAGTTGGATACGCTGGAGACACAGCAACCAGGAACCTCAAAATAGCACCCACGTAATCACAGAAAAAGCTGTTGTTCTTGCCGACCAGGAGTCTAAGGTTTTCAAGGACGGTTTTATCCGCTCGGCCAAGATCGTTGCCCCATCTAGTACACAAAGTTACCGCGATAATAGCTTGGACCTCATGCGTCAGCCCCGGAAGACTAGCGATAGCTCCTGATATTGTAGTATGCAATGACCTCGTAGCATTCTGGTCATCGGAATTGCCCAGATGAGTCCAGGTGTTCCGAACAACGTAATCGAGAAGTCCTGATGTAAATATGCTCGGGGAGTCCTTGGGGAGGGCGCTCCTCACCAGCTGCACAGCGGCGCTTACAGAGGCATCTGTAACAGATTCTGAGCTACCAAGCAACAGAGGGAGAGGGTCCTGCTGCCGGAGAGGGGGCGGTAGCTTCATATACAGCACGCCATCTCTGTTTCCACCGCTGCAAAACGTGACCTGCTTTATCTTTGGTACTGCTTCAACAAGAGCCCCGACAACCATTGCAATGGCAGGGAATTGCTCCCGCCTGCGCTTGGACATTCCAAAGATCTTGCCATCTTTATCGTTCTCCTTGAGCATTGCCTCCCAGTTTTCGAAGCTGGCGCCGGAAACCGAAAAGCCACCAATTCCTGGAATCGGATATGGCTGAATTTCATGAGTGTGGCGAAGCATGCTTCCATAACCTCTGAAGCCCCCGCCGCAAAAGTATATCGAAATTCCCTCTTCGCTTTCAGCCTGCTCTCTAAGTCCTGCGAACTGTTTCTTCATTCCCTCAAAAGTGTCCCTCATCTGAGTTCTCAGCTGCTTCTGCGTTGTTCCCTCCTCTTCCACTCGCAAAGTATCCGTTAATTTTGCAGCGCCATAGGGCATACTCTTCGCGTTCTGCGCAGCTAGTGTCTCGTATCCGTTGCTCTTCGAGTCCAGGTATGTCATTTGTACACTCCCTCCACCAAGGTCCATAAACAGACCGTCTACGTGTTCGAACGCCGAGCGTGCTCCCATAGCGCCAAACATGCTCTCCATAGCTGGGCTAAGTATCTGCACACCCAACCCGCTCGCTGCATGAATTGCGCCGACCATCTCATCCTGATTATTTGCAGTGCGCATGGCTTCCGTCGCAAAAACGCTGATCTGGTTCTCTGGGACTTTGTATTGTGTGCAAATGTAGGAGAATCTTGCTAGAGTCTTAGAGACCTTGTCGATAATCTCTGGTGAAAACACGAACGGCACAGAGCCGGGTTTGGACTCGTGGAGCGCATCGTACAGGGAGATACCGGCGCGCTCGCCGTATATGCAAGGCAAATGTCGCGAGTTTGGCGGTGTGAGGTCTGATATGGAGAATCGAATGCCATTGCTAGGTGGTTTTAGACATTTGAGCTCGTCGAAGTATCCGAAGATGAGGAGGAGTGGGAGGGCGTTACCTTCCCATGTCTACGAGGCCAAAGAGACCACAGCCATCAGCGCTAAACTTTGCCAGTTTGGACTCAAAGTTGTCAATCGTGACAACCTCATCGCTTGAAAGAGCCATTATGAACGGCGTAAAGTGTAAGGTTGTTGAGAAGAGAATGGTTCATGATGGCGGTATTGGCACGGTTATGACGATCCCCGAACCCCAGGTCAGAGTGGGGTGGGGTTAGTACCAAAACGATGACCGGCCATGTGCGATCAGTATAGAAAGCGACTCCAAAAAACGAATTGGAAAGCAACGTTTATTTAATATTGGTTTGCTGTGACTATCCTCAACCATAGCTCAAGTTGCATTGGTTAATGTGATATTCCATATATGCAGCATACTGGTCTCAAATCCACCCAGTGCCTGAGCCTTCATCAACGGGTGGCCGTGCACCGCCTGCACCGCCTGCAGCAGCAACCAGAACATCCACCCCCCCTCGCCCCCCAACAACGGCCCCGACTACGCGCCCTACAACCGGAGTGCGCACCGCTCGTCGCTCTCCCTGCAGCTCTCCCTGTCGCTATCTTTCCCTATTCCCCTCGAAAGTACAATCCTCGCGTGCTGGTCCCCTTCGGCGTAATAATGTTGATTAAAGCAGACTGGCTCCTATACTCCTGTAATTGAGCGCCAGCGGGGGGTATCATTCCTTCTTCGCCTCATCCTCGAGCGTAAAATCAAAGATGCGGAACGCCGTCTTAAATGCCTCGACATCACGTTTCTCTTCATCAACTGTCTGCTCACAATCTCTCCACTGCAGCCTCTTCTCCAGACCGAGCAACTTCGCAAGCACCTTTCGCCCGAATTGCAAATCGAATCTCATGGTGTCATCGAAGGGCATGGTGATGGTCTTTGATTGTCCTTGAGCGCCGTTTTCTTCCGATGGCGACCAAATCCACACCCGGAAAAAATCTCCCTCTCCCTCCCCAAGGCCAGGATCCCTATTCTGAAAAGAAGGGTACTTCATGTTCTCTGCTTCAACTTTAAAGGCTGCTTCAACCAATCCCTTAGAAACAAGCTCGGCCGGAACGGGAATAAACTGCCAGTGGGTATGAACACCATTCCCACGACTAATTTCAAACGTAACGGAACCAAGTTTGTCATCGCTCCTAGCTGCCACCATTTGCTGAAGTGACCTCTTGTACTTGTTCATTTCCGTGTATGTCTTTTGGCGCCCCTCTTGATCAATACGTGCCAATGTGGGCTCATGGCTCAATGGGATAATAAGAATATGAGCTGGAAAATCGAGGCCATTTGCCGCATTCATTGACGATGTAGTCAGTGGACCCTTGGCGGTTGTTGTGTATGCATCTTCGCCGATAGATGTTACGAGATGGGTGGCAAGATTCGGGTTCGACAGACAGAAAAAGCACGTATCTGGTCCTGGCGGGGGCTGTCTTTCTCTTCGGCCTCTTTTGTGGCGATGGTGGTTGCCATCATCCGGTGCAAATCGGGAATAGGGTTCGGGCTCCAGCGCTGCTCGCTTCCTGCCTCCTGGTGCTTTTGGAGAGAAAGGTGAAGCTGTCACGCCAAGCGGAAGAGGGGCAGTTACATCCACCGTCGCTCGCAGATTAAATGCAGATATTGATTTCTGCTTGTTGGGGTTGCCGTGAGCGGCAAGAGATATGAATCTGGTGAGGGGTCGGAAATCAGGGGCGTCCTCGGTTGGTGTGTGAAAGAATGGCTCACGCTCGTAGTAAAAGGTGGGCGATGACGAGAAATGGTATCTGGGCTTCAATTCCGCGCAAAGTTGTGAGATATGGTCGTTGCCTGTTGGTTCAACCCCGGCCTCTGGAATCGGCACCTTGGAGCCAGTGCGAATAGAAGACGGCCAAGAAGCTGTCAATAGAATGTCGGCAGTGTTCGCTCCACGGAGGGCCTTGGCATCATCCACAGTATGAAACGGAAGGTACTGTTCTTTTGATAGGCCTCCAATGATTGTGTCATCCAATTGACCCCCAAGAGCAACGATTCGGACTCCTTCGGATGTTTTCGTTGTGCTTCGCTTTCCCAAGAAGTGAAGATTTTCGCAGAGCTGGCAATTATCAGCTATGGCCACATATCAGAATATAATTAGAACCGACTCACCTCATCAACTTTTGCGAGTTTATCGACAACCCGCTGGGGGAACTGGCTCCGTCCGACCGTAAAATACGTGGGGAGAGGGACGATGATCTTTCCGTCTAGCAAGTCTGTAACCTCATCGTCATCCTCGGCAAAAAGCTCCCCAGATATAATTGCGAAAGTGAAACTGTTCTTCGCGTGAAGGGTGCCGATCTTGGAGAAGGCTGATCGCAGTTGCCCTTGGACTGCGCCGACGACTATACTATTCAGAAAAAGTGAGTTTTGCTGAATCGTGACGTAGGAGTGATGTCGGGGAGATTTGTTTTCAAATGGGGCTAAACTTTGATAATAACTTACATTTTTGAAGCCATATTGACTTGAACAATGGCTATGAAAAGAAAACCAGAGTCATTGGCAGGTGGAAAGCGTGTTTCGTGACGAGACGCTTTGGTGGAAGCTTGGTTTTAAGCCGGCAGAAACGCCAAGTGTAGCTCACCGCCTCAAAATTATTCAAATTGATAACATGGATATTCTCGATAAGATTTTAAGGTTCCTCTCACATCACCAACCAGAGTGACGACCACCAAAACCTACGGCGAAGATGCCGTCCACATCTTCTGGAAGGATTGTGAAGACTTCGAAAGGGAAGAAGGGAACGGCTCACTCAAAAAATCATAGATGGGAGTCCTTCACCGCGAAAGTCTCGAAACTTAACTCCCTCGACCCTCTACGACGAGTTCGCCGCCATGATCTCGACAGTGAGGATCTCGGGGCAACAACGTCTTATTTTAAGGTGGGGTTGGAACGATGGCAGGAACTCAATATGTCCGAGCGGTTCATACAGTTTTCATACGATGTAAGCTCGATGTGCGACAGCTTGCCTCAAATTCTACATTTCGAGGACAAAATCATGGACCTTCTGGTCAACTTTTTGGAGGCAAAAGAAAGGGAATCGATCGAACCTTTGCTTTCACTTTTGACCGACTTCGCCCATGACCTCGGTTTGCGCTTCGAAAAGTTCTATGCCCGGGCATTGTCGTTGGTTACAGACATCGCAGGGACCAAGCAGGATGTAGAGGTGATTGAATGGAGTTTTACCTGTTTGGCATTCCTGTTCAAATACCTCTCAAAGCTGCTTGTGATGGACCTGCGCCCTACATACGATTTTATGGCTCCTCTACTGGGCAAGGAACGACAACAGCCACATATAGCTCGCTTTGCTGCCGAGGCGATAAGCTTTCTCATAAAAAAAGCAAGTGCGCCAGCTATTCGCGAAAAGGCACTACCGGTCATAATATGTCACGCAAAGACTGACCTGGAAAAATCAATTGGCACTCGTGAATACGGGCTTTACTATCATGGCATCATGACTATGTTCGCCGAGTCGATGAAAGGCAACGGGCTGGCGATCCACTCCTCGGCCCCTGCGACGTTGGCCTCGATGTTCGCACAGTACAGCTACTCTGAAGAGACGGAAGAGACATATTGGGCTTGGGGAGATGTAATTTGTGGTGTGTTGACTAGTCTGGTCCACCATACGAGTTCAGATACCTTGGGAGAGATAATCGACAGAGTTCTCATGCACTCCGAGGCAGCTGTCAAATCGTTCGAGGAATCACGAACTCCAGAGTCATTTAGGCAGCTGATGCTGCCATCGAAAGCTATAGGCGTAATCGGAGGTGTCCGAAAGGGATCGCGAGTTGCAAACTGGAAACCCTTCCTCTCCAGCATATCCGATATTTTACAAGCCCTCTCCAGAACCACCAGAGGCTCATTATACGATGATCATGACCGCACAATATGGGAATCCGTCGTCTTAACTATATCTATGGCCCTTCAATACTCGCCTATGGATGCTTTAATACCTTACGCGCCAAGGTTCTTGGATTCACTTGTCAGAGAGCCTTTGGCCCGCTGGTTTTTGATGTTTTGTTCATACTTCACTAAGGTTGATGTTGAGCGCTTCCGGAGCATTATCATGCCATATTTCCAAAAATTCATCGTCACACATTGGTCCGACAAAGAAAATGAGGATACACTGTGTGTTCTCGTTCCCAAGATGGTTTCTTCGGGAGTATTTATCAGCAGCACCGGTAGTAAAGATGGCTTCAATATCCCGCAATCATGGCAAGATCAAATGGTGAGCAAGTTCGAAAGGCTCGAAGTATCGCCATTTCCTGAGCAGGCATCTCCAACCTCATACGGCAGTGGCACAAAAACATGGCATGACCGCTGTCTACCAAAATACTACGCCTTATTATCCATCATGGATTGTACGACAGCCCATCCCTCGACAAATGCGAGAATTGCAGAAATACTCCAAAGAAAACTAAAACTTGCGTTGCGACCATCTTCAGCAATCGAACCTGAAGAATCAAGATTTATTGCTGGCCGCGGATTTGACGCATTTTCTCGCATGACAAAAGCTGCTGGAGAGGTGGATATCTCCTTGGAGCCTCTTCTTAGAGCAGCGGCTCCTAGATACGCTCGCCTACCTGGCTTTCTACATGCCTTGTTGTCATATTTGACGAGCTTGAAACAATCGCCATCTTACAAACCTGTTGCGGATCCATGGTCTACAAATGGAGGCGAAGAAGCAGACTCACTCATTGAAGCTCTCATCCTCAATTTATCGACAAATTCTCACGATCTGCGGCTTCTTTCTCTCCGCCTTCTGGACCACTTATATACAGCATCCACCAATGTTGCCTCTGACGCCATATCCACCATGATTTTGATCGAACAGACGCCGCTGGACTTGCAAACTGCTCGGTCCGCCTCTATGAATATCCGAAGACTTGCCGCCCTCCACCGTACCCATGTATCTGATCGCATTTTATACCGAGCAATCCCACACTTTTGCTTCGGCATGCTTACTGTCAAATTCGCGCAACTTTGGGAAGACGCTTGTGCTGCTCTTTCCGAGATTGCCCAAACGGCCAAAGAGGAAGATGTCATTACTGAAATCGTATTTAGTTGGCTGGAAGCTCCGTCAGCATTGTGGGATGGGTCAGCACGGAATGTCGAACACGCTCAGAATGCTGGCCTCACTGATTTCGAGTGTTCAAACTTGATAAATCTGAGAAAGCTTGCCTCTGAGGTTGAAACCGAGGCCAAGGATGCCCGAGACGTTATGATCCGGCAGTTTGAAGAATCGCAAGAACTTGTTGCTCCACAACCGCCTATGGCACGTGCTCAAGCACTGCGTGTTCTTGCCAGTGTTACGAGTATCGCCGAGCGCCGTTCACGCCAATTTATTCCCATGTTCCTTTCATGGGCGAATAAGGAGGGCGAGCCATACCAGTCAGATGAAGATCCTATCAACATAAGCAATTGGACGAGAAAAGATCAAAAATCTCAGCTAGATCTCTTGCAGAAGTTCCACAACCCTAGAGTTTTGTTCAGGTCACCAGAAGTATTCGACGCTTTGCTCGGCCTTCTGATAAATGGAGACCTGGAAATCCAGAAATCTGCCCTCAAAGCTATTCTGACATGGAAAATTCCTAGTGTTAGGCCTTATGAAGAGAACCTATTGAACTTACTCGACGAGGCACGTTTTAAAGATGAGCTCACAATTCTTCTCCAGGGAGACTCCCGGATACAGTTTGAACATCGGCAAGATCTCATGCCAATCCTCCTACGCATTTTATATGGACGAGCTATTTCAAAGAAGGGCGCAGCTAGCGGTCGACAGGGCATGTTAGCCACAAGGCTAACCATATTACGCAATCTGACAGTGGAGGATATCGGGTCATTTTTGTATATCGCCCTGGGGGAGCTAAAGGACATCGACGTTATAAGCCAGTCTCGAGATGAGCTATTCGACAAGGAGATACTAAGCATCCGAAAGCAACTTGGTTTCATGAATATGATGGAAGGCACCTTGAAAGAGCTTGGCACAAAAATGTCGCCTTATACTAGCCAATTACTATCCGCAGTGCTCTACTGCTTGGTGTACTCATCTCGCCAGCTCCAACGCTCACCCCACTCGATCGACGATGAGGAAGACTTCACTAGCCAAACCTCGCTGTTAAAATCTGTCCGCCAGACCGGATTTAAATGTCTTGTATTGATGTTTACCAACGACTCCGCTTTTGATTGGTCGGTATATCTAGACCTCATAATGAGCGAACTTATCAGTCCGCGGTTGGCGAAACTGCCAATCGAAACTGCACAGAGCATTTCCGGGGTTTTGCAGCTTTTATATACCTGGTCACTGTCACCAAAGACTGTTCTCTTCCTTGGTGAAGACGATCAAACCTTGGTCACTGTAGCGGAGTGTTTAGCTCAGCCAAAGTCCAAGGATCAGGTCCGACTGTTCGCCCTGAGTATCATTGACAACGTGGTTGGTATCGCCAAGAGCGATCTTCCTGAAAACGAAGATCTAACTGGCCGCGTTAAAACGTCCTTACTTTCCAAGAATATGGACTCCTTTTTAGTGCCTGTCGGGGATGTTCTTAGACGGCAGCAAGATATCAGCAAAGGCCTTCTCGAAGCCTGCGTTGAAACTATTTCCGGACTTGCACAATTCGTTACCCAATCTACGCAGGCACACAATCTCGTGGATATCACCACTTTCTTGCTTGACCAGCCGACCCGAAGAGTTAATCCCAAAACTAAGAGCGGGCTTCTTTTGGTTCTGGAGCACTTTGTGCCGCTGTACGATCTTCAAGATGACGGTGAGCTCAAAGACAGGGTCTATAATACTGTAACTTCGCTCTTTGGATTTTTCCGGGACAGAAGCAGCAGAGAAGTGTTATCCAGCGTGTTAATCGTCTACTCTCGAAAGGATCCCGTACTTGAAGAAGTTGCAGAACTTTGTGTATCGTTGAATTCATTTGCTGAAGGACGACTGGACGAGCCGGATTATGATCGCCGACTTAAAGCATTCAATCTGATATCGGCGCCGAGAGAAAAGCAATTTACTGCTCACCAGTGGCGCCCTCTGCTCTACAACTTCCTTTACTATATCAGACACGACGAAGAGTTCGGTGTTCTGTCCTCAAATTCGTCTGATGCAATTTGCAACTTCTTGGACAGCGCATCCAAAACGATGGATGCAGCCGAAAGTTCAACATTCTATGATATGTTGTCCTCCATTCTAGTGCCTGCCATTTTCTCAGGCGCTCGTGAGGCATCGGAGATTATCCGCCGAGAGTATGTCAAGGTTATGGCACATGTTGTAAAAACATACCCTGACTGGACGGAGGTCAATGATATGCATACCCTTCTTCGTGGTGATGATGAGCTTGAAGGTTCCTTCTTCAATAACATTCTGGCTGCTGGTAAGGGGAGGCAATCCAACGCCCTGACTCAACTGTCAACGGCTTCAAAAGATGGACTTATAAGCAGTAAAAATACTTCTCACTTCTTCATCCCACTTCTCGAGCACTTTATTTTCGACAGAGCCGAAGGAAACGACGCGCACAATCTTGCTGCTGAAGCAACAACCTGCGTCGGCATTCTGGCAGAGTCATTAGACTGGCCTCAGTATCGTGCTATATTGCGCCGATTCACTGGATATATCGCCACTAAGCCAACTCTGGAGAAGCAAATTATACGCCTTCTCGGCAAGGTCATAGAGTCACTGGCAGTTGCCGCAGACTCAAAGCACAGTATCGTAGATGCGGAATCAGTCGATACTGCGATGGAAGTTGACGCAGCACCGACCAAGCCATCACTGTCCACCCTTGCGAAGTCACTTCCGAAAGAGCAAAAGTTCTATGATGATTTGACTGGGAACATCTTGCCTCCGCTGATCGACTACCTACACCACAAGGATGAAACTACCGTCAGTCTCCGTACTCCCGTTGCAGTCATCGCAGTTAGGGTTCTGAAACTACTTCCTCACGATCAAATGGCCGAGAAACTTCCCGCCGTCCTTACCAATATATGCCAAATTCTTCGAAGCAAAGCGCAAGAGGCCCGTGATATGACACGCCAGACGTTGACGGATATTTGCGTCTTGCTTGGGCCTTCTTGTTTTGGATTTGTGCTGAAAGAACTCCGAGGCGCTCTGGCTCGTGGATCTCAACTCCACGTTCTGTCCTACACAATGCATTCCATTCTGGTTGCTACAATCCCGCTTTACTCACCTGGCGACTTGGATTACTGCCTTCCTTCGATTGTGGCTATTATCATGGACGATATCTTTGGTATTACTGGCCAAGAGAAGGACGCAGAGGAATATGTCAGTAAAATGAAGGAAGTGAGGAGTAGCAAATCCCAGGATTCGATGGAGTTGATTGCGAACACAACTTTGAGCCGCCTTACAGACCTTGTCCGCCCTATCCAGGTTCTTCTGAAGGAAAAGTTGAACCTGGAGATGGTCCGAAAAATCGACGAGCTTTTGAACCGAATTAGCTCAGGGCTATTGAAGAACAGTGCAGCGAAGAGCAGAGACAGTCTAATATTCTGTTACGAAGTCATTCAGGATGTGTACAACAGCAACAAGCCTCAGGCAAAGGTCAAGGAAGACTACCGCTTGAAGAAGTACTTGATCCAGAAAGGAGCGAAAAGAGGCAGCAACCAAGGCAGCACTACCGTCTACACCTACAAGTTGATTCGCTTCGCTTTCGACGTATTGAGAGCGGTGTTGAAGAAGCATGATAACCTTCGCGTTGCATCCAATTTGACCGGATTTGTTCCAATAATCGGAGACGCCATTGTTCAAGGAGAAGAGGAAATCAAGATTTCTGCCTTCCGTTTACTTACAACAATTGTCAAGGTTCAGATGAAAGCGATGCATGACGGTAGCAACCTGTACAAGGTTGCAGCCGCTGAAGCTCTCAGGAGCATCAATGCCTCTTCATCGACCACATCTGACGTTTCCCAAGCTGGCCTGAAGCTTGTCTCTGTCATTCTCCGCGACAGAAACGACGTTCCAATTAAAGATTCGGCCGTCGACGGGTTGCTTTCGAGGCTGAGGGAAGACATGACCGATCCAGAGCGCCGACATGTAACGTTCAATTTCCTGCGCGCCGTTTTAGATTCGAAGCTTGAAAGCGCCGTTGTTTACGATACAATGGATTACGTCGGGACAGTAATGGTTACGAACGACGATAAGGATACCAGAGACCTAGCTCGGGGTGCTTATTTCCAGTTCCTCCGCGAGTATCCGCAGAAGAAGAACAGATGGCAGAAGCAACTGGCATTTATCGTTGCCAATCTTAACTACGAGCGAGAGGGAGGCAGACTCTCTATTCTCGAAGTGCTGCACCTCTTACTCTCCAAGTCGTCGAACGATTTCATCCAGGAAGTCTCAGCAACCTGCTTCGTGCCCCTCGTTTTTGTTCTCGCCAACGATGACAGCGAGAAGTGCCGTATGGCGGCTGGCGAAATTATCAAGGAAATCTTCCGCAAAGCCGACAGCGAACATATCACCACGTTCTTGAACCTCCTGAGATCCTGGATCAGACAAGAAGACAATACCGCGGTTCAACGTTTGGCTTTCCAAAGCTACGGCTTTTACTATGAAGCCCAAGATGCCCCGCCGGATAACGACGTGAATGAGCTACAAATTTGTATCCAGCGCTCGTTGAAGAACTCAAATGGGACGGAGTCTGACTGGGAACTTCTCTATTCTGCTTTGCAATTGGCGTCCACACTGTGTGAAAAGTTCCCGGCACGACTACTGGCTGCAGGTGCAGTTGATATGTGGGCTTCGATACGCACTTGCTTGACATATCCTCACGCATGGGTCAAGCTATCTTCGGCGAAGTTGATGGGAGTATACTTCACCGACTTTGCACGCGCCAACATGGAGTCTGGGTTATCCGGTCTGCCATTGGTTGGATCCAAGGGTCTGTCATTGAATGCAGACGATATTAGAGATCTCATCCATCGGACTGCTAGCATGTTCAAGACTCCGGGGCTGACGGAATTACTCGCCAATGAGATTGTCAAGAACCTGAACTTCCTAGGCCGTATCGCCGCATCCAGTTCCTTGAAATGGAAGAAACCGCAGGCAGATGATGATGTTTCCGACAACGAAGAAGGAGAAGAAGGAACTGTCCGCGAAGATGGGAAGAAGCTGACAACTCTCAACTACATCTTTGGAAGAATCTCTTTCATCCTACGACGCGAGAGCTCTCCGCCACGAGCAGCAGTACTGGTCCCCAAGACTGCCGCTCTGAAGCTGTCTCAGGTGCTTTGCGCCAAGCTAGATGCTGAGACTCTGGCGCTCTGCCTCGCGACAATTCTCTTGCCACTCCACAACTTGACGGATCGAAACATTCCAGTTCCATACTCAACAGACGATTTGTTCAAGTCCAACTATGAGAATATCAAGACCGAATGCACGGAACTCATGGAGCAATTGAAGATCAAGTGCGGCACATCTATCTACACGGAGCAGCTACTTAAAGTCCGACATGGTGTCAGAGAGCGCCGAAAGCAGCGTTCGAGCAAGCGCAAGATCGAGGCTGTTTCGGAGCCTGAGAAGTTTGGCAAGGATAAGCAGAAGAAGGTGGAGAGGAAGAAGGAGAGGAGGAAGGAGAAGGGAATGGAGCATAGAGATTTGCGAAGGGGCTTTTAATCTCTTGTATATAGTATGTTATGCGGTGTATGGAGTTATACATGCTGGAGGCATGGCACATGATTGAGCACAGAGTTCATTATGTGGGTTTGTAGTTGTTGCGATATATATGTAGTTCTATATCCTGACTATATTGTTGATTTATACAGCTTCTCGTACAAGTGTTATACAACCTATCTTACAAATCTATGTGTGACAACCTCCAATAATACTACATGCCGGGAATTATATGCCAATCGTGGTTATATCTTGCACCTATTCAAACAGTCGCCATCATCACCCGTGAAATTCATGTTGCCTTATAGTTTCTCACTGGGGGCTGCCACTTCTTGTGTCTGGGCCCCTTCGCCTTCTCCTGTAGGCTTGGGCCTATCGGTCACAGTTCCATCGGCCCATATCTCGAAATCCCCATCCTCGCTCAACGTTCCCTTCTTAACCAGTTGGCCCTGCTCTCGGATTATATCCTCGATCGTCATTGATTTATCGCCAAAAATCTGTGTAGTTTCATGTCAGTGTCGGATACTATGAGTTGTCTGTAGTCTATACATCCCCAGCGCAAAAATAATAATCAAGTGGTGCTTAAGCTTACATTTAGATGGTCGCTAATAACGTGCCTGTTCTTGCACCCCGGGCAGCTTATCAGCACACTCCCCTTATGGTACCCCTGCTTCGAGACTCGATGTGTTGAGCGCGTGGAGCACGGCTTGCAGGTAAAGGTCATTTCGTAAGCAGGCTGATCGGCCGGGACTTCAGTGGTTTTGCGAGGGATTTCGAAGGGTTTAATGGCGCTTCGCAGGCTGGGCGTGGCGAAGAAGTGGAGGGGCTGAGAGATCGGTTTCTGGAAAGCCGCTATCCTGGGGGTAGACTTAAAGTCTTGGAGGGCTATCCGCCGCAGAAGGCGAAAGGAGGCTTGTCGTGGCAACATATTTACTTGTTGTGAGGTTAGTTATCGGCTTGTTAATATTGCGGGTTAGTAAATAGTGAAATTCAACACCAAACCCTTGGGATGACGTTTTGGGGGACAATAAAATGTGAAACCTTAAATCACTAGCGGTTCCTTGCCCGCCAAGCCGCTAGTCCTACAACTCCGAAAGTCAATGTCAGCCGCATGGCTTATACGCTAGGATAAAGTATAATCCGAATCTTAGGCTTCTGGGCCTGTCAGAACGGAACGATGTTCACCATCTCGACATTAAGATCGATCTACTTCCGTGGTCTATTGCCACTCTCACCGGGGCAGCTTCACAACAGACGCACCAAGACCAGCTCCGTTGGCTGGCATTCTATGCCTTGGCTTTGGAATACTTCATCTGTGCAGAATGACCTTTGTGTGCCAAATCTTTGAGGATTCACTACCCCGCCACTAGATCAAGAGACTGTTGCCCAGTGCCCAAGTGACGGGAAATATCAATTTCGGACTTCACGGCCTGATTAGGAAACATGATTTCTGGCCGTGGTAGAGGCGGTAAAATACGCCCACCAAGACGTGTAAGTTCACTTGTTGTTTATCCCACATATTCACTCCTCAACGACTGCGCCAACTACACTTCATTATGGCGTCTGCCTTTGACAAAGCAGTTGCTCGAGCTCTAAAGCTAAGCCTGGTTGGATCGAGTGTAATGAGCAACGTCTCCCTTCTCAGTTGCTCACAACTTGTTACTTAGATACACGGAGACTAACATTGTCACAGCATGCTCTCAGTGGCAAGAATAGCGACCAGGATGACTTCGAGTCTATTTGGAACGCAATCTGTGTTGCGCTCCGAGAAATCCACACACGAAATGCCTCCCAGATCTCATTCGAACAGCTATATCGCCTAGCGTACAAAATTGTGCTACAGAAGAATGGCGATAAGCTATACGAGCGTGTCAAGGAGTTCGAGGAACAATGGTTCGCCGAAGAGGTTATGCCGAAGATCAGATCGCTGATCACCAGAAACCATACAGGCCTGGCGGTAGGCGGTGGGTCCAGCTCGACAGCAACCGAGACGACGATATCCGGCGAGAAGTTCCTGAAGGGGCTCAAGTCGTCATGGGAAGACCACATTCTCTGCATGAACATGACAGGTGACGTTCTCATGTATATGGATCGTGTGTACTGTACGGACAACCGGAGGCCATCGATCTTCACCACTTGCATGGGACTATTCAGAGACCATATCCTGCGCTCTAAGCTGGTGGAGTCTGATCTTGACCTCAGCACTTTTGATATCCTCAACTCCGTTCTACTCGACATGATACAGATGGAGCGCGAAGGCGACGTTATTGACAAGAATTTGGTCCGATCCTGCCTGTACATGCTGGAGGGACTATACGAGACCGATGAAGACGACGAAAACGAGAAGCTTTACTTGACCGTTTTCGAGCCGAAGTTCTTGAACTCCAGCAGGGCATTCTATCAAAAAGAATGCATGATGCTATTGAGAGAATCAGATGCGGGTACCTGGCTCCGCCAAACTCAGAAACGCTTGATGGAAGAGGCTGACAGATGCCGAACTACGATTTCGCCATTGACCGCACAGAAAATTGCGGAAGTCATTGATACTGAAATGATCGGAAGCCATTTGAACGAATTCATCCAATTGGAAAGCAGTGGTGTCAAGTCAATGATCATGAACGATCGATTTGATGAGCTTGCTCTTTTATACCAGAACGTCTCCCGTATTGACCCGAAGAAAGCAGCCTTACGCGATGCTCTACAGGGACGAGTGATGGAAATGGGCTGTGATATCAACAATATCATCGCCAATACCGATTTCTCTGAGAAGGCTCCGGCGGCTGGAGATGCCGACAAAGCTGCGAAGGGCAGGGTTCCACCGCCTAACCCGGCTGCTCAACAAACTGCAGCAGCCATCGGATGGGTTGACGGGGTGTTGCAGCTCAAAGATAAATTTGAGAACATGTGGGAGAAGTGCTTCGAGAGCGACCTGATCTTGCAGACTGCATTGACAAAGAGCTTCTCTGATTTCATCAACCTATTCGATCGCAGCTCCGAATATATTTCGCTGTTTGTCGATGTGAACCTGAAGAGCGGCATTAAAGGCAAAACCGAAGCCGAAGTGGACGCCGTCCTCGACAAGGCGACTACGTTGCTTCGTTACGTGCAGGACAAGGACATGTTCGAGCGCTACTACAAAAAGCATCTCGCGCGCCGCCTGTTGCATGGGAAGTCAGAGAGCGCAGAAGTAGAGAAGCAAATGATTTCTCGCATGAAGCAGGAAGTTGGCAATTACTTCACGACCAAACTCGAAGGAATGTTCAAGGATATGACCATGTCAGACGAACTGACCTCGAACTACCGAACGCATATTCAGGGTCTAGGCAAAATAGACAGGAAGCAGATTGACCTTGGCATTAATGTCTTGACTACAAACCACTGGCCAATGGAGGTTATGGGCGCTGCGCAGGCACGCTCGGAAGACGGCCGTGTTCAGCAGTGCATATGGCCACCTGAGATCAAGCTTTTGCAAGAGAGCTTCACGAAGTTCTACATGAAGAAGCACAATGGAAGACAGCTGACCTGGCTCCCATTCAGCGGATCCGCCGACATCCGTTGCGTTTTCTCGAAGATCCCAGGCAAGGAAGGCATCCTTGGTCGCGAGCGCAAGCACGAACTCACAGTTCCAACTGTCGGCATGATTGTCCTGCTGCTGTTCAATGATCTCGAGGAAGGCGAGTCTTTGTCGTTCGAGGAGATCAGAGAGCGTAGTCGCATCGAGGTGAAGGATCTCCAGCGCATTTTGCCTGCGCTTGCGATTTTGCCCAAGGCCAAAGTCCTGAACAAGGATCCCCCTACGAAGACCCTCAAGCCTAGTGACCGCTTTTCGTTCAATGCGGCGTTTACCAGCAAGTCGGTCAAGATCAAGGCTCCGACTGCTACGGGCATGAACAAGGTGGAGGGGAGTGAGGAGAGGAAGCAGACGGAGAGTAAGAACGACGAGATGAGAGGTGGCGTGATCGAGGCTGCGATTGTTCGCATTATGAAGTAAGTTCTAAGTTCTTTTTACTCAAATCTTAGTCTCTACTCTACTAATACATTACTTTCAGGCAACGCAAACAGCTCGAGCACCAACAACTCCTGACCGAAGTAATTACTCAACTATCGAGCCGCTTCCGCCCCGACCTCAACATGGTCAAGAAGCGAATCGAGAGTCTGATCGAGCGCGAATACCTGGAGCGCATGGAGGATGTCGAGAGGCCAACATATAGGTACCTAGCATGATTTTATGGGAATCAAATGAACGGAGTTACATGGCCATCGGCGGTGAACTTTGCGGTGCATTGCTGGGGCGTCGGCATCTGGGATTTGGTGTTTGAGAGATGGGTTGGTTGGGTTAGCATGGGGATCCTAGATATGACGGGGGTGGGAGGAGCTCCTTAGGTACTCTGTACGAGAACCAGTACCAGACTTCTTCAAACTAACCTTATTGGAGGTGTCTATTTCTCTGCATGTTCTTTTACCGTGGCCAGAAGCCGGACAACCTGGCTTGGTCTCCAATAAAAACAGTATCGCGGCATAAATACGTGCGAGATAAATGCTTTCCTCGAATCCGCGATAGGAGTACTATTTTATTTGTGTTCCCTGGATGGGGTTGGTAATTTGGGGACTGAGATAGGAGGAGGGAGAGTTGGTGAGGTCTCCCCGATAGTTGGCCGAATGGATTCGCTATACCAACCAGACTATACCCAAATATTTTTACTACATTCTTCAAAGCAAGGGGATGTTATTATGAATAATAATGCAATACACGCGTGAAGATGGACGCATTTTAAACTCCAACAAGGCTAGACGCTCCCACGAACCTGGATCTACTCCTCTCCCCCCAATCCACGTTCCCCCGCATCTCCCCCGCAGTCTCCCCCGCAGTATCACAGGAGCGGGATGCAGTTGTGGGACATATCCGTTGTGGAAACATGCATTGTCGCCGCGCTACTCTGAGACATCGCCATACGAGTGGCTGGGATATTGGACTATGCATCGATCGTGCAGTGTGGGGAAGTTGAGAGAGTGTAAAGGGCGGGTGTTAGCCCAGAAACTATTTGTTATAATATACAGGGGCTACAGTAAGCGACCACAGGTAGAACCACAGAAAAACTCTGCCCTTACGGCTAGAGGCCTCGAAGGGAGAAGAAAATTTACTCAACACTATTTCACGAGCAGCATCACGTGCGGATTACGATCACGTGCGATACGGTGCCAAGGCGGAGGTCTTCCCTATGAACCCCGCACGGAAGTGTCCACTGCTATTAACCGAATTCCAATTTGACGCGTAACTCGCGTCGCGTAACCCACCCCTCCTTGTACAACAACCATAATTATGCCACCAACTCGGAGGGCTTTGGCTCCAATTGATGGGAATCGACAGCCTGGTGGCCAATTAAGCCCATACCAACGCGGGCAGATTATTGGGAGGCAGTCAGAGGGTGCAACACCTACTAAGATTGCACACGACCTAAACCTTGACCGAAGCACTGTACGATATACAATTGCCGTTGACTCAATATGCACCGAAGGCAGGAGCCTACCCTGTACACGATGGGGAAAGTCATATACAGAAGCAGAGCAACGCCTTATACTCCGCCACGTACGCCTAAACCCAAAGGATACATACCAAGAAGTAAAGGATGCTTGTAATGTTGCTTGCTCAACTGTAATGGTGGGTGCACCAGATGTGAGAATCTAGCCACCCAAGGAAGGGATGATTTTACTAAGACAACACACTGTCTTAGAAAAAGAGCCCAAGGGTCGTAGCTTAGACTATTCCACAACGCAGCAATCAGGTGTATGATATAGTGGAGTGGTTTAGACAAGTTGTAACAAATGTTGAGTCTGAGAACTCAGGGATAAGTCAGAGGTTAGCACCTCACTGACTTTTCAGAAACAAGTAGTAACAAGATCAATGCTTGGAAGCTTGGAAAAGACGTGGAAGTATGTGATAGTCGATTTACTGTATTGTCTGCTTGCCCTTTCTTAAGGAAAGGGCAATCCTATTTATGCTAAAGGAGTGTAGTTCTCTCATTTTCCAAGACTTTCCATAACTAACCAGGCTTGGTAACTGTAGTCGACATAAGAGAATCCCATAGAACCATCTCCTAGGTTCCTAGCCTATAGGAAGTGAAAGGAGGTCCAAGGTCAGAGTACCCCTATAGACAAATTATGTCATAACTTAACCAATCTTATGGGTAACTAAGGAGCGATGACGTGTAATGAATCATAGAGGGTTGTAGAAGCTTTTGGAGCTATCGTTCATGTTCCTAGGCCTCTAGTTGATAGAGATATGTCATGTGTAGTATTAGCCCAGTAACTAAGGAGTGATGTCATGTAATGAATCATAGAGGGTTGTAGAGATATGCTATGTGGTCATATCGGCCCAGTAACTAAGGAGCAATGACATGTAAGGAATCATAGAGGGTTGTAGCAATCGTTGAGTAGTATTGCTCTTGTTGTTGGTGTGACAAGCCAAAATATGTATAGTGACTTGTAGATTTGAGGAGGAGATTTCTAAGTTTGCTCTTGAGTTTGATAGCAAACTGAGTGTAACGAATGTCAGTATGACACTTTTGGGCAGAAGGCCGGAGCAATTTATACCTTATGGACCATGACTTTGAGTCAAAGAAGTTTGGATATACTGCAAACTCATACCATGAGGTTCTAGAAGCAGAACTCCTCCCTATTTTTGAGAGTCTTGACTCTAGCTACTCATTTATGCAAGATAATGCTCCTATCCATACTGCGGGTATGGTTACAGACTTTCGTGAGGACCATATGATTACTACACTCTATGGGTGGCCGCCCTACTCACCCGACCTCAACCCAATTGAGCACATTTGGTGGCACTTGAAAACCCGGGTGTGTGAGATGTTCCCTGAAATTGCAAAGGATAAATCAAACTCAGAACATGCAAGACAGCGTCTAGAATCATGTTTGCAAGCAGCATGGGACACATTAGACAAGTCATTCTTTGATAAATTGTATAAGAGTATGCCGAGTAGAATTGAGGCGTGCATTCAAGCAGACGGGTGGCATACAAAATACTAGAATACTCATTTTTTATACTATAGGCGCTTCTTTTGTAGAGCTTTCAATTCTAATTACAATGGATCGATTTTTACATCTATCGCTCTAAAATTGCATAACGTGGTTGTACACCGAGTCATGAATGTCACTGAGTCGTGAAACTTTTTTTATACCCACCACTGTAAGGTATAATTAAACAACCACAACATGTATTAAAACCAAAACTATTCAGAATCTGATGAGCTAAGTACTTCTATGACCTCCTGACAAGTTCGTGCATTATGGCCAGTCTGTCATACTGACATTCGTTGCACTCAGTTTGCTATCAAACTCAAGAGCAAACTTAGAAATCTCCTCCTCAAATCTACAAGTCACTATACATATTTTGGCTTGCCACACCAACAACAAGAGCAATACTACTCAACGATTGCTACAACCCTCTATGATTCCTTACATGTCATTGCTCCTTAGTTACTGGGCCGATATGACCACATAGCATATCTCTACAACCCTCTATGATTCATTACATGACATCACTCCTTAGTTACTGGGCTAATACTACACATGACATATCTCTATCAACTAGAGGCCTAGGAACATGAACGATAGCTCCAAAAGCTTCTACAACCCTCTATGATTCATTACACGTCATCGCTCCTTAGTTACCCATAAGATTGGTTAAGTTATGACATAATTTGTCTATAGGGGTACTCTGACCTTGGACCTCCTTTCACTTCCTATAGGCTAGGAACCTAGGAGATGGTTCTATGGGATTCTCTTATGTCGACTACAGTTACCAAGCCTGGTTAGTTATGGAAAGTCTTGGAAAATGAGAGAACTACACTCCTTTAGCATAAATAGGATTGCCCTTTCCTTAAGAAAGGGCAAGCAGACAATACAGTAAATCGACTATCACATACTTCCACGTCTTTTCCAAGCTTCCAAGCATTGATCTTGTTACTACTTGTTTCTGAAAAGTCAGTGAGGTGCTAACCTCTGACTTATCCCTGAGTTCTCAGACTCAACATTTGTTACAACTTGTCTAAACCACTCCACTATATCATACACCTGATTGCTGCGTTGTGGAATAGTCTAAGCTACGACCCTTGGGCTCTTTTTCTAAGACAGTGTGTTGTCTTAGTAAAATCATCCCTTCCTTGGGTGGCTAGATTCTCACATCTGGTGCACCCACCATTACACAGTCCCCCCGCAAGTGCCACAATGTCGTACACCTGGTTGCCCCTCATTCCTACCAACCCCTCCAGAGCGCTTCTCGCGATTTATTTGTTCCGTATCTGCCCTTTGGGACAAATCATCATGTGCATTCCCTACAGAAAGTGCATATCCTTGACGGACACGTGACTTTTTAGCCCTCCGACGTTTGCTAAGAGCTTCGTTTGCTGCTCGAAGGGTGCGGACTTCAGCTGACAATAAAGTCATTTCATGTGCCAAAATCTCTGTCCCTTTAGCTAATGCAGTAACAGTAGCAGAAATGGGGGTTGGCGAGCTTCCTTGGTGCCGTGCAATGCGATTTTTAACTAGAGTAGTCTGTGAGAGAGCATCTATTGGGTTGCGAGGCGTTTGAGAAACCCAAGGATCAGCATCTATAGAGGGGGGTCCTGTAGGTGTAGGAGTCCTCAACTTGACGTCTAGCTTTGAAATGATTACTTGCGGATCAAAGGGCACTAAACCAGCTCCGCGAAATCCAGCTTTGGCGTTTTGAGTTGTTATTGACTGGTTATAAGCTGCGTGGAAAGCTATAAAAAACTCAACCTTTGTAATATGGTTTATATGAGCCTTAATAAAGGTCTCAATTTGACGCCCATACATGCGTTTAAGAACACTAAAGCACCCAACATCAAGTGGCTGAGTTAGGTGAGATGAGTGAGGAGGTAGACAGAGAGTTATGATGTTGTTTGCTTTGCAATATTCCTGAAACGCAGCTGATTCGTGACTTTCATGCCCATCTAAAACCAACATCCGATATGGTCCTTTTGCATGACTGCAAGTATGTTTATCGAAGTGTTGAAGCCATTCCAGACCTGTCTCGTTGTTGGTCCATCCATTGCTTGTTGGTTTAATTACCCAATTGTGAGGAAGGCCGCCTTCAGTATACCAACTTGAAAGGTGACATTTCCCTTGAACTACTAAAAACGGAGGGATACTCCCGCCTTCAGCATTCACACAAACAATTGCTGTAGCCCATTCCCGATTGCCAGGCTGAACTGCCTTGCCTCTGCCACGTCGATCGGCGCGCGTAACAACTAAAGCTGAGCTAATAACGCCCATCATGAAGCCCGTCTCGTCAAAGTTGTAGAAATCGCAGTCTTGGATGCCGTACTTTGCTCTCATGTTCTGCACAAGTTGAAACCACGCTCCAATAAGCTCAGGATCTTCGCACAAGGCTCTTTGAAAGTCATAAACGCGATTAAAACGCGTCTTTAACTCGGGGCGGCGTTGTATAAATCGATATGCCCACCGCGTCCCAACGCACAATGTCGACGCCAAAGTAGCACACCATGAGACCTACGCCGATCTCCCTCCCATGGACCCCGTTGCCTTGAAGAAACTCACGCGCAAATGCAACTTCCACGTCGTCCCGCCGCTCTTCGTCCTGTTCCTCCTCGCCTCCCTCGACCGAACAAATATTGGGAATGCGAAAATCCAGGGCCTGCTTCGTGGCTTACATTCTGTTCGAGGTACCGAGCAATATCCTGCTGAAGAAGATTGCTCCGAGCACTTGGCTCTCGTCGATTATGTTTTTCTGGGGTCAGCATATCCGGAGATTTTATACCAGCCCCTTCTGACATTATCAGGGATTGCGACGATGGGACAGGGGCTTATCAAGGACTTTGGTGGGATTGTTGGGATGAGATTGTTTTCCATGATTACGTCGACGGTTTTTTCTGGGAGATAACCATCCCTAGGTCGTGGGGGTTGTGAGGTTCGGCGCTCGGAGGAGCTCCCATTTCTCGCCAAAATGGCCAAGTCCAGCATGGCAGAATGGGAACGATTCAAACGGGTCCAATGAAATGCCTCGGCTGGCAGGCTCCACCTGAAAATCCCCCCTCTTAAGTTCGTCTCGAAGGGGTCAGCGTCCTTATTCTAAGGGTCCTCACCCCTTATTTAATTCTGCAATCTTTGGGAATATATACCTATACTTCATCTGAGAATATACTTCCTGAGAACACAGAATTTATATCCTTCATTCCTAATTGACATATATACCCTCATTCAATATGCCAGCCCACAAAGGATACATACCCCGTGAGGGTAAGTAGCTCATCCGTCCCCCTCCCCCCGCGTTACCCCAGATTTCTAAATAGTGCCGCCACAAACTGACATCTCCACCTCCCCAGGCCTCTCCTCTGAAGTACTCGGCTCCCTCATCAAGAAGACCATCCTCAACCCCGCCCTCACCCTCCCCCTCGTCCTCCTCGCCCGCTACACAAAGAAAGGCCAAGACCTGTCCATCCTCCACGAAACCGCCTTCTCGCGCCTTCTCGCGCCTCCAGACCGCCCTCGCCCTCGGCCTCGTCCGCTATGCAAACAACTACCTCTCCCAGCGCGCGCTGGACAACTTCAAATCAGACAAGTACATCTGGTCGCAGGAGGTCGTCCTCGTCACCGGTGGCGCGGGTGGAATCGGCGGCGCAGTCGTCCGCATGCTCGCTGAGAAGGGCATCAAGGTCGTCGTGCTGGATGTCATCCCCATGACCTACGAAGCCAGTACGTTACCCCGCCGCGTTTGCCTTTTCTACCTCCATCATTTCCTTCGCACCGGCCAGACCCCAGGATGAAATCTAGTCTGATCAGGATGTTCCGCGTGTAGAACTGACATTACCCTCAGCGGCCAACGTCCACTATTTCCAGTGCGACATCACCGACTCCGCGACCGTCGCCAGCGTCGCCGCCGAGATCCGCCGCACCGTCGGCAACCCCACCGTGCTAGTCCTGAACGCCGGTGTCGCGCGCGGAAAGTCAATCCTTGAGGCCACAGAGAAGGACGTCAGGTTCACCTTCGACGTCAACTCCATCGCGCACTACATCCTCGCTAAGGAGTTCCTGCCCAGCCTGATCGCGCGCGATCACGGGATGGTTGTCACGGTCGCGTCGATCGCGGCGTTTATTACCGTGCCGAGGATGGTGGATTACTCGGCCTCGAAGGCGGCGGCGATGTGCTTCCATGAGGGGCTGGGGGCGGAGCTCGCGACGCTGTATAATGCGCCTAAGGTGCGCACGGTGATTGTTAACCAGGGGTACACTAAGACGCCCTTGTTCCAGGGGTACACTAACAGCTCGCCGTTCATGGTGCCGTCGCTGGAGGTTGACACTGTTGCTGGGGGGATTGTGAACCAGATTTTGAGTGGACACAGTGGTCAGCTTATTATGCCTGGGTTCACGAACCTCTTGACGTTCCTGAGGGGATTCCCGCATTGGTTCCAGAGGAGGACGAGGCATGGTGGTGTGTCGATCATGACGAAGTGGCATGGTCGCCAGGTCATTGATGTGGAGAAGGAGTATGGTGTGAAGAAGGATATCAGCGCGTAAGTTGTGCTGGGGTGTGAATGAAGTCGAGCTCGTTGTGAGAACTAACCTGGGTCCAGGTCAACTGTGTTGGTGGATAAGGAGGATTAGTCGCCGTATATGGGATGGGAGGCAAGTATTGAAATGTGATGTGATGTGGAATGGGAGTTTGGGAACCTGCGGAAACGCATGGCTAACGCTTCGAGGTGGTTTTTGAAGAATTTCCTCGTTATGAAGAGATGGAGCCTGCATCTATGTAACCTCTTGCTATGTGCAAATGATACCCGCACAATGTTGTATAAAGAAACTTATCTGTAATGAGCTTTTGTCTAGTGCTTGTGACTCTTATGGTACCTCGATATAGTCAAATCTTTACGAAGGTGTTGTTATAGTTCACTGCGACGTATAACCTCATAGATATGTAGAAGGAGAATTGCTGCTACTGCTAAAGCTATATACATTGTAAGTTTCCGCCGCAACCACCGTCGTCCCAAAGCTAGCCATAGCTACCAAGTTAAAGACAGTATCGCAACGTCTACCCCCCATCATCATCAAAATCCAAATGCTCCCCACCCGGTGATCCCCAAGCAGCAACAGTCTACGCTCTTCTTCCACCCTCGCCAATATCCAAACAACACACCCCGCTAACATCCAACCCTCAAAAATAACTAAAGCCAAGCTCCCCATCCTTGCCAAAAGCATCTCTCATCCCCTCATCAATCTCCTCATCGCTACTCAAAAACAGGCCTCCACTGAAGGGTTGAGCTAGTCCCTCCGACGGACCTTTGTGCAGAATCAATCTATTTTCCGTAGGCGCCTGAACATCCTCCACTATGCCCATACTATTATCAGGGTGCTCAATTTTCAGCACCTTAGTAGCTCGGGGAGGAGTCGCGTTGTAAAGTTCCCCATCATAATCAAGAGGGTGTTTCAGCTCCGAAGAATCCAGCCGTCTCCCTCCAACGACCCCCGGATGCGGCTGAAGCTGGAACTCCGATTCGGAAATATAACCCCCACCCCCCATCTGCCTCCCCCCCATCTCAGCAACCGTCTTACGATTCTCCCCCGACAAAGCAGCCTCTCTCCACCTACCAACCCCCAACCCTCCCTGAACCCCAACCTCCGATTCCAGATTCCCGTCCTCCCCGTCCTCAAACAACTCTCCCAATCTCTCCTCCATCAGTCCGCTTTCACCCTGCACCCTCCCCTGCTCCGCCCCCTGCTCTACCCCCGCCCGAAAACCGGCCCCATACCCCTCCATCCTCGCTTCCCTTCTCACCCTCATAAGTTCCTGGAGATGACTCCTCAGTAGCCCATCCTGTATATCGCCGATTTCCTTAATCGCCCTCTGCTGCCCCGCCACATCGCCTTCGGCGCGGGCCTGGGCGAGCTCGGCTTCCCTCGCGTCGTCCGATTGCGTGGCAGCGATTTGCTGTTTCATGGTAGCGATCTCGGAGGAATGATCAGTTGAGCGCTGGGAAGCGAGGGCGCTAGAGAGGCGGGAGAGGGAGGAGCTGAGGAAAGTGTGATGCGTGGTAGTGGAGGCGAGGAGTGTGGTTGTTAGGGTTGTGAGGGTGCGGTTGTAGGCGCTTGTTAGGTCGCGGTTGAGGGTGGTAAGAAGTGCTGGGATTGGGTTTTTGGGTTGTTCGTTGTTGGGATTTGGGGCCGCGGAAATTGACGGGGTGGGTTGGTTCGGGGATGGTCTCTGCGGCGTGGTTGTGGCTCGGGGAGGGCGGGTTGGGGTGTGCTCGGGCATGGGTACGGGTGAGTCGCTGTTCCTGGTGCCGGGAAGGGGGGTGACCGAGAGCCAGTTTCTGTCGAGAGCTTCTTCGACTAGGCGGCAGTGAGCGGTTGTCCATTTTGAAGGAGCATTCTGTGGAAAACGACGGAATTTGTCGGAGAAGCACCATTTGTAGGCCCCTTTTCCGGAGGGGTTGTCATACAGGAGATGGCCGTTTTGTTTCGCAGGGAAGCTGTAGCCGGTGGTATTTTCTGGGAGAGTTAGAGACGGGTTCAAGGTGTTTTTGAGAGTACGTATATCAGAGAAGTATCTGTGTAATACTTACTGAGGAGAGTCCTCAAGCGGTCCATGACCCTCTGATAATGTTTTGGTGTTATAAGGTCCCTATGGCATTTTGCGGGCGACTCCACAGCAGCTGGGGTATCAGACCTTGAGCGATAGTTGGATCCATCGTTTTCTGCACCGTTGCGAGAGCTGATTGACGAGGCAGACTTATACGCACTTGAAGATTCATCTGAATGATGCTCCGAAGCAAGATCAGGCTCCCACGCAGCTGCAAAGAGGTCACCCCTTTGGAGTGCTTTAATGCAGGTCTGGGTCTCCCCGGCAGTCCATAGCTGGTGAGTCCTCGGTAACATGGACACCTGATCGTAGCTGTCGCCATTTGGAAACTGTGGATACTTGGCGCTGAATTTCCACTGAAGCTTCAGGTTCTTGACAGTTGCTTGCGTTGCATCACTATGCGCGTCCCACCATATCGATCGTGCAGTTCCTACAAGAAGTTAACATCGTATTCTCCGAGCATTATATGCTACCATACCAGTTGCGGCTGCGATTTCAGCTTGTAACATTGTCAGCATAACGTTCTGGCTTTGCTGCAACTCCTGTGATGTTGAAGCTGTTGTGTGTGATAATGTCTGGCTGGTTCAGAGAGTTGAACGGGCTCATATGCTGGGCAACGAGGAATATCTCTTTATGCCAAAGAGATATATTTGGTGGTGAAAGATGAATGTGGACACCATTATGGCGACGTGAAGCATATATGCCTGTTGTGAATAGACTGGAGCCGGTAATAAATGTGAATTCACTCCAAGCCTTTATGCAGAGAAAGAGCATCAAGGAACATAAAGCAAAATGCAAGATGGTTTTGATAATATGAAGTTTTCCCACAATAAAGAAATGAAATTCCGGGGACAGTAATGGAAATTGGTGGCAGAATCTTGGAATCTCCTGTAGTAACATCTTGCCAATTAGTTGAATATGGATTCAAGTGGTGTAACATCTTGAGGACAAAGACGTCCAGCAGTTTCATATAATTTATCATAAATTTCTCAGACCCAAATTATTTTGCACCTAATATTTTAAGTTATTCCTAATATTCTTATAATTGTACAATGTGTGTGAATAAGTTATGCACGCTATGCAGCATAACGAGTGATGCAACATAGCGAATGATACAGTCCAATGTGCTCACTCAACAAATACTATGATAATTCCACTACAACGCTATAAATCAATTAAAGCTATGTAGAATACTCGTCCTCAGATACCTCTATTACCATCTGACAGGTGCCTGCATCGTGTTTTGTGCCACCACAGTTCCACAGCGCCTTGCGCGTGTTTCTTCCCTTGGCTTCCGACCACTCCCTGCCTGTGTTTCTTGCTTTACTTGTTGCGCAAGGTCCCTCTCATCTTGTAACTCTTGTGCTTCGTGTTGTATAAGTGATCCTCGTTGCTATAAGCGTGTTTTTTTTAGCCCTTCTGCATTTGCTAAGTTGTTCCATCCCTTGCCAAAGCATTTCGTTCTCCCTAATTAATACATCATTTGTGATGCTCCCTTTGCAAATTAGTCAACAGCATCGTAAATAAAGGTTGGTGAACTATTTTGATGATGCGCAATTCGATTTTTAATGAAAGCTGTCTGTAACAAGGCTTTAGTTTGGTTATTTGGTGTCTCGGAAACCTAAGGTTGAGCGGTGCTAGGGCGGGAGTTCTGTGGTGTGGGGGTTCTAAATCTAAGATCAAGCATAGAAACACACTATCAGGATCAAATGGGAAAAGCCTAGTGCCTCGGAAGCCTCCTCGAATCTTGTTTTCAGTCATTGCAATAAAAAAGCAGCATAAAAGGCAGGAAAGAAGTCATACTTACTAATATACATGATGTGAGCCTGCATCATGTTTTCAATTTGCTGCCTATAAGCCTTTTTCAGTAGGCCAAAACACCTAACATCGAGCGGTTAGAGGATATAAGAAGCATGAGCCAGCATACATAGAGTGATAATATTGTTTTCCTTGTAGTATCCCTCGATTCGTCTAAGTGATGGCTTTCATGACCATTAACGATCAACAAACGATAACCACCTACAGTTCAAGGTTTTGTATGCTTCTCAAAATGCTAAATCTAATTCACGCCTTTCTCATTTGTTGTCCAACCATTATCTGTAATAGCGATTACCTAGTTTAGTGGAAATCCACTGTTTTCATACTAAGATGTGAGTGTCATACTGACATTTGTTGCACCCAGTTTGCTATCAAACTCAAGAGCAAATCTCCTCCTCAAACCTACAAGTCACCATACATATCTTGGCTTATCACACCAACAACAAGAGCAATACTACTTAACGATTGCTGCAAACTCTTCTACTACATCTGTTTATGCTACATACATCATGGCATATCATTTGGACACTCATTGAACATGTTATTAAGAAAATCTCCTCCTTAAGGGGGTGGGCCAATACTACCACATGGCATATCTCTACCAACTAGAGGCCTAGGAACATGAACGATAGCTCTAGAAGCTTCTACAACCCTCTATGATATATTAGGCCACTTCAGCAGCTGCTACACTCGCGAGTGTAGCAGCTGCGATGTGGTGTAGCTTTAGCTAGAGTAGTTAGCTGCTGTATATAGCGTAATATACGATAATTTGAGGACCTGCTTGAATTGTTCACATTTTACAACCCTGGACTTTGCCATTTTGACGAGAAATGGGAGAGCTGCGGAAACTGGAGTTTAGATGTAATTCTCCCCTTCCAGCCATACCCCCCACGGCGTTCCTTTGTAACACCCCACGTGACGTAGAGCCCTTTGTTCCCTCTGTAGAATACTGGCCTTTGATAAATTTTTCTACTTCAGTAAGTGCTTTGGAACTGGGCAGGAAGGGGGAGAGGTGGTGGTGGCCGGAAAAAGATACATCACGGTACTTCCATTACCATACAAATATATATGCAAGTGGAAGTACCTATATGTACCCTTTTGTGACCGCTGCCAAGTCTAGTATAGCAGAATGGGAACGATTCAAGCGGGTCTATAATTTGAAGCTGGAGATGTCATCGTATATAGGTACATATGGTGATCCGCCTGTGATTCCGCCTATAAAAGTGATAATTATAATGCCAGGAAGCCAGAGCCAAGCCCGAGGCCGAAGCTGGAGACAGAGAAAGAGGATGATATCGTTGTCAGGTCTTCTTGTCATCCTCGCAAGTATAGTAGAGGACGAAGAAGAAGAGCACCGAATATGGGCTCGGCGTCATCAGTATCATCATCGCCGTCATATTCAGCAACGCCGGCGCATCTCATTTGAGAGTTTGGACGATGTCCAAGCACGGCAACTACTACGGTAAGCACTCCTCTTCTTTGCCCCTTTTCATTTATATTAACTAATAACTATGTAAATAGGTTCTCGATGAGTGAGATCCACCAACTTACTATTGTAAGGACACAGGGCACCCAGCTCACAGTAATAGCATATGAGAGTGTGAGTCGGAGGCTAAACGGATGCTATCCTATAGGTCTACTACTGTCACGGTTCACCAAGGTATAGGGCGCCAGTTGGGTATTATGAATTAAACTCAATCTAGAGAAGAAAGGAAAGAGAAGAGGAGCACTCGAGCAGTGGCTCGATCTATATACAGCTATGTTGTTGTGGAGTGAATTCTCTTTAGCGAGACTAGTTCTGAGAATTCACTCCACAACTGAAAACTTCGCTCCAACCCCGGAAAGCTCCCCACACCCCTGAACCCCCACTCGAGCTGCAAGGCGCACTTGATATCGTAACACTACCCCCCCCCCCTACTCCAGAGTTGATCTCCTGATCAAGAAATCCCATTTTCAAAAAAAAACAATTGTCTCCAGCTCTCATTTTGGTTTCTGAGGGTATTTTCTGTGATATGCTTGGGTAACTTCTGGAGAATTTTCAAAGCTCTCTGCAGTATACCATGTCTTATCCGGTGGATAGTTTTTCCAAGCTGCCTTGTAGAAAAGCTTCTTTCGAATAACTTTCGAGTCAAGGATTTCGTCCACTTCCCACTCCTCTTCGCCATTGACAATGACTGGAGGCTCTGGCTCCTGTTGCTGCCCTTCGATTGCATCATTCGAGTCAAGTCTTAATAGATTGGCATAAAATACTGGATGAATCTTCATGCTGTTTGGAAGTTTGAGCCGATATGCAACTTGCCCAATTCGCTCTAGAATTTCAAAAGGTCCCACTTGCTTGTGGTCTAGCTTCTTTGATGGCCTCTGTGTCTTTATATTTCGAGTTGAAAGCCATACTCTGTCTCCCACTTGATAGCGTGGTGCAGGTTTCCTTTTCTTGTTCGCGAAATGTTCCATTTTTGCTTGCGAGAGCATGATTTCATCCTGCAGAAACTCCCAAACCTTTGCCATAGTCTGAGCTATGTTCTTGTGCTCTTGTTTGGCTTCGTGATATGCTTGCTGCTCTGTATCGAAGCTTATTCTTGGTTCATAGCCCTTGTTCGCAAAAAACGCACTTGTCTTGGTTGCATCTGATGGCAAACTGTTGGCAGCAAACTCCGCCATGCACAAGTATGAAACCCAATTGTCTTGAAGATAGTTCACATGAGCTCGCAAGTAGCGTTCGAGCTCTGCATTGAATCGCTCAGTCTGTCCATCTGTTTCTGGGTGGAAGGCAGTTGAAAGTTTGGCCGAAATTTTCCAAATTTTGCAGAGCAAACTCCAGACTTCTGCAATGAACTGAGGACCTCTGTCTAATATTATTGAGTTTGGTAGACCATGGTGCTTCCATACATGTCGAAGTAAGAGCTGTGCTGTAGCTTCTGCAGTAGTCCCTTCTTGCCCAGCGAAACACGGAATGAAATGTCTTTCTTTCGTCAACCTGCATGCAACAACCAAGATAGCATTGTTCCCTTCACAGAGTGGTAATCCTGTCACGAAATCCATTGATATATCCATCCATGGTCGACTGTCAATAGGGATTGGTTGTAGAAGTCCATTGTAGGAATCTCGAGATGGTTTTGATCTTCGACAACTATGGCAGTTTTTGATATATCGAATTATTGTTTTGTCCATGTTTGGCCAGTAATAGTGCTGTTTCATGACTCGCAGCATCTTTCCAGCTCCTGGATGTCCCATAGAAGGTTGTTCATGAACTTCTCTCAACAAGTCCACCTGAATGGTTTCTGGCACCCAAACTCGATTTTGATATTCTAGCATGCCGTTTTTGAGTTCGCAATAAGCCAATGCAACCTCTTTGCTTGTTTGATCACCATTCTCAAGCTTCTGTAGTGTAGCCTTGCAGAATTTGTCTTCCAGTTGAGACTTTTGGATTTTCTCAAGAATTGTCATTTCTCTGATATGAGTTTCCACTGGAGCTAGCTGAGCTGTTTGGCCTTGTTCTATGTCTGGATGTAGCCTCGAAGGTGGTAGCAACACCTGAAGCTGTTGCTTTTGTCGATCATCCTCATCATTGCCTTCTGGTCTGTCACCAGGCCTTTGAGTCAAAGCATCTGCTTTTCCATTTTGCTTCCCCAGGCCTATAGATGATCTGGAAGTTGTATCGAGAGAGGAATTCAGCCCATCGAGCTTGTCTTCTTGTCAGCTTCTTGGTGGACATGAAGTATTCCAAGCTTTTGTGATCAGACAAGACTTGGACTGGAAAATCTGTCCCTTCAAGTTCTGGTCTCCATGCTTCGAAACATCTGATGATTGCAAGCAATTCCTTGTCATATATCTCGTAATTGCATTCTGCAGGTGCTAGCTTTTTTGAGAAGTATGTCACTGGATGTAGAGACAAATTATGTCATAACTTAACCAATCTTGTGGGTAACTAAGGAGCGATGACGTGTAATGAATCATAGAGGGTTGTAGAAGCTTTTGGAGCTATCGTTCATGTTCCTAGGCCTCTAGTTTATAGAGATATGTCATGTGTAGTATTAGCAGGAGTGATGTCTTGTAATGAATCATAGAGGGTTGTAGAGATATGCTATGTGGTCATATCGGCCCAGTAACTAAGGAGCAATGACGTGTAATGAATCATAGAGGGTTGTAGCAATCGTTGAGTAGTATTGCTCTTGTTGTTGGTGTGACAAGCCAAAATATGTATAGTGACTTGTAGGTTTGAGGAGGAGATTTCTAAGTTTGCTCTTGAGTTTGATAGCAAACTGAGTGCAACGAATGTCAGTATGACAGACGCGTGGTGCGTCGCATGTTGCAAGTAGCCGATTTGCCATATCTTCAACAATAGACAACTGAGGAGGAAATCCTTTTGTAGCTAGGTCGAGTATGTATTGAACAATGACTGATTCCTCTAGATTTAAATCAATTTACGTGAGTTGGCTTGGATATCGCGTCGTGAAGGTATGCCTAGTAATCAACGACCTAGCTTACGGTGGTCCACAGAAAAGATCCTAGCTACAGCTCGAAGGCGTAACTTTGGGTCGCTTTGTAGAGCTTGGATAGCTAGCAGTAATTGCCTTTCATCGTTTTTTGGCAGCATGTTTTGTTGTGGAGGAATTTAACATTTAGTTGGGGGTTATTGTCACCGCATCATTTTGGCTGGTTCGCTTGTTTGGCTGGTTCGCTTGTTTGGCCGGTTCGCTATACATGTACATTAGCGAATGTCAAGACAAGTGAATGCCACACTGCATTTTACACCTTAAATCACGTATTTCATTACTTGATATCTCAACAACCCTTCATTAATAAATTATAAAAATATATAAGTATCACCTAGGGGTCGTCTGGGTAGCAGACAGGATCCCTTTGGCATGACACCACTATATAAGCAAGTAGTTAGTTCTTAGATAGGAGCTTCGTGCTCAACTAAAAATAGTATTCATTATATACTGTAACGTGTTACTTGAAAGCCTTTGTGTCTGATCCCCTGCCTCCTCTGTTAAGTCAAACCCTTATGCAAGAAACCTCTGTGTCTATTACCCTTGGTAGTTGTAAGGCCAGCATATGGGGGCCTGTCATGTGGGCCTACCTCACGTGGTGCCCTACAGTGGGGCCGCTCAGCAAATGAGGGCACCACGCGTTCCTGGATAAAAGGGGCTGGAGGCCGAGGAAGAAGGCCTCCAGTCAATAGTCGCTGCATTTACGTAGACCTATTGTCCTTACGAATACGATACCCCTTTCCTGCCTCTTGACCTGGTTCCCTGGACTCCTGTGAGACCTGTAGGTTTACGAACCTTACAGTAGTAGTTAGCGTTACACATTAGTTCAAGGCCCTTTCCTTTGTCGTTCTTTCCAATGGTAGACATGCTTCGTAGATTGAACTAGTATCTCGATGGTGTAGTGCTTAAAGTGTAACGTCCGTAGACTGCTCTATGGTGGAGGCGGTCTTAGGAGTTGGGTTTGGGTTGTAAGATAGGGATTTAATGATACGAAGGCTTCGTTCTCAAGTATGCACGTTACTAGTATGTGGGAAATACTGTATTGAGTTGAGCATGAAGCTCCTATCTAAGGAAATAGCTGGTTCTTAATAGAATCGTTGTGCTAAGGGAATCGAGGCCAGTCGAGGTAGTCGAGCTGGACTGCCTTCGACTCCTTCGATTCATAGGTCACGTGATCATGGTGTGCCGTAACAGTATATAATCGTGGTCGAATAACCCACCGCTACGCGGTGGGCGCAAGCGAGTTGCATCGCGAAAGTGAGTTGCATCGCCCCAGATTTCTCAACCACCCAATTTGTATTGCAATTGAACCTTGAACAATGCCACCACCTGCAACCCACGAATACAAAGAAGCTATAGCCCAGGCAATTGCCTGGGCTACTGCCAATCCTGACGAGAGTGAGACTTACCGCCGCACGTATTTTCCACGTGAATCCTCAAACCCTCAAATCGAGGATACGACGAAAGAAGCAACGCGACGACCGCCCTCATATAATACACGGAGGCCAGAATCGAATCCTCTCTAGGCCACAACACGAAGCTATTATTACATATGCAGACGATATGCACAGGACAGGCCTCGGGGCTACGAAACAGATGGTCTTTGCGATAATCGAATACCTAAAGGATCTAGAAGGCAGACCGCGACCGTCCTGGCGATGGTTTCAAAACTACATAAAAACAACCCCGGGTTTTCTTCATACACTAAAAACAAAGCCAATTGCACGAAACCGAGTCGGTGCACAAGATGTTAAGGATGTACAGGATTGGTTCAAGAATTGGATGACGGTGCGAAGCCCATGATATTCAGCCTGGTGATATTATTAATTTGATGAAGCTGGGTTTCAAATTGGAGTAGCTTCTGGAGAAGATATTCTTGTCCCTACCTGGATAGTAGATGTATGTATATTCCAGTTATAATATAAAATATAGTATAGCTAATAAACTATAGCCATTGTATACACCTAGCCCTGAAAATCGACGTTCTATTACCGTTATAGAATCGATTATTGCAAATGGAACAACTATTCCTCCTGTTCTAATTGTACAAGGTGTGAATCATATGATGAATTGGTATACCTTATTAGACGGAAATACAAGGGTATTAATGTCTGATTCTGGATATATCAACTCCCAATTAGCTCTTGAATATCTTGATCACTTGATTCTTCATATACAAGCTGGGGCAAACGCACGTCCTGGGGTTCTATTAATGGATCAACACGGTAGTCATATGAGCCCGGAGTTTATTATTAAAGCTACAGAAGCTAATATACACCCGTTTCCTTTTCCTAGCCACTTGACGCATGTTCTTCAACCTCTTGATATCGGTGTTTTTCAGCCGTATATGTAAGGACACAGAGCACCCAGCTTACAGTAATAGCATATGAGAGTGCGAGTCGGAGGCTAAACGGATGCTATCCTATAGGTCTACTACGAAGGATACAAAAAAGATGAAGGGGGAACCCCGTTGAGTCTGTTTCCTTAGGTACCCGAAACGGGCCCGACTCGGTTATCCCAACCCTAGCCCTGAACCTTCCACCGCAACAGGTCTGCATCGACCCTGAACCCTATACACTTACCACCCACTATAGTGTAACTCGCTATATGCTCCTCTACTGGTTTGAAACCCCACCGAGTCGGATTCCATGCTTGTAGTGACCGTAACAGTTCTTGAGACAGGTTCTTCGAGTATCTAGGTACGGAGGCATCCTTACAGTATAAACACTGGCACCGGAAGGCTGTACAAGATGCAACCCGGCGTCTAGATATTGAATATACAGTTTCATCGTTCTTCCGGGACTTAACGGAAATCAGGGAAAAGACTATGAAAAAAGAGACTATTCAAGGTGCCTTCCGAAAGTCTGGGATCTGGCCATTTAATTGCCAGAAAGCTCTTAAGAAAATGAAGACGTATATGGTACCAGCGATGGCGATGTCAATGGCGACAGCGATTGAATTACCCTGTCCTCAAACACCAGTAAGAGGTGTTCAAGCTGAGAGATCTCTTCAAGAAATAGCATCAAAAATCTCAGAGAAGATTGATATATTTAGTAGTCCTACACGCCGGAAAATCGACTCTACAATACGAGGGGTCCAGAACGTCCTTCTGACTGCAGAAGTCCGGGACCGGCAGTACGAAGACCTTCATAATAGGGTTCAAAATCAACAGAAGTCTAGGATTCGAGGGAATCGGAAAGGTCTTACAAAAAGGAGGGGTCCTTACAGGAACTCAGGCACGACAGATCCAGGAAAACAAGCGTGAAAAGGAGTATATGGGGCCGTGATTCAATTGCGTCAGAAGACGAAGAAGATGAAGATTCAATTCAAGATGCGTTTTCATACTTGTAGTGGTAAAATATTTCCCATAGTCTACGATTCAATTGCAATACAAATTGGGTGGTTGAGAAATCTGGGGCGGTGCAACTCGCTTTCGCGATGCAACTCGCTTGCGCCCACCGCGTAGCGGTGGGTTATTCGACCCACGATTAATCGATACTCTAAATCTCGTGCCCAGCAGGTTTGAAGCTTTCATTTTGAATGATTTCTATCAACTACACGTGTTGTTAGCAATCGGATCGCGTTAGATAGGGAGATATTGTATTTCAGCAATAACATGAGAAAAGCACTTACATATTCATCTGGGTCATGAATAAAGGCTATACGGAAGGGGCCATCCATCAATCGCTTCTGCCACGAGACACCCTTTTCTTCGAATCGCTCACAAGCAGCCACTATGTCGTCGACTGATATACAAATGTGACCGAAGCCTTCTGGACCTTTGTTACCATTGTCGTACACCATGCCTTGTTTCTTCTCTGTTCCATGGTTCCAGGTCAGCTCCACCATCCCCTCACGCTTCGACCGAGGGTCGGTTCCATGAATATTGTCGTTTGCAACAGGTGAGCCATAACCAAGTAAGTAGCTGTCAAAAACGGCGTCAGGGTTACTAGACGTATGTTCCAGTGTCATTCCCAAAACGTCCTTGTAGAAGTTGAGCGAGACGTCTTTGTCTTTAATACGCAGCATGGTATGGTTCATCTTGTAACTTTGGACGTCTGTCCCATTTTCAGATTCATGAATGAGATTCTGCAAAACGAGCTTGACCCTATACTCGTCAGGATCGGAGATGAATGAGGATCCGTCTTGAAGCATCTCCTGAGACTTGTATCCGGCATCGGACAGTTTCTTGCATGCAGCCTGAACATTGTCAACAGACAAACAGATGTGGCCGAAGCCTTTCGGATGCTCGTTCTCATCATGCGTGTCTCCAGCACCGTAATCGTGACTCAATTCTACGACACCCTCGCGGTCACTCGTGTGCTTACCATGAGAGGCGGACTTGGGAGAATCTAGAGAAGAGTTAATATTGGCAACAGCAACATCATACAGAAAAATTTGGGATAATAACTGTAGGCGAGGAAATAAAGATCCAATTTATATTCAGGGAATTGGAACTTCTGCAACACGCTCATGCCGAGTCTCTCATAGAACGCGACACTTGCTGAAGGGTCTATTAATTGATTAGTGACTATAAATTGGTTTAATGGCCATGTGCATACCCTTGACCCTGAGCATGGAATGGTTGAGCTTATACTTGGTAATGTCCGTCATGATCATGAAGATCTTGTTGATTTCGCAATGGTTTACTTTGAAATCACCCAATTGCTTGAATAATCTATTTCGCATGTGGTTGAAATTATTTTAGAAATCAATATCAGTCACATGACTAAGAAGAAGAGAAACCCATGTGCTATTTTCGGGTTACTAGATTTTCTACCTTATGTTTTTATGTTAGGTTGAAGAGGAAAAATTCCCATGGCTTACCCATGGGTGGGGCTTTGAGCGGCCTATTCGCGACCCCACTAGCCCACACCCTCCGCACCCTCCGCACCCTTTTGCAATATTCGCGACCCCCACTAGTCCACACCCTCCGCACCCTTACAGGATGACTGATTAGCTTTATGCAAGTCCTACTATTGGAGGTAATGTTCAAGTAGGCTCGACTTTCGTTCTCACAGCAAGTCGGCATTCTCAAACTTGTCTTTTCCAGAAATCCTGTCACTACGAGACCTCACGCTCATTGTGAATATGAAATGGGTCCCGTCAACGCTCACAGAAGTTTATTCCTATCCGATGCTATCTCTATATACGTCCAATTCGCCGTAGTTGGAAGCATTCTATGCGGAGCATACTATGTCTGGAAGACTTTGACTTCGGAACGCCGCTTGTCGGGCTTCGCAGTCGCGACACTCGCTGAAGAAAGTCTTGGGCCGAAAGAGAGTTACTTCAAAGACTCCAACAAAACGATTGCTGCCGGACTGAAGTCGAACTCCGGACCATTTCAAATTATCACCGGTACTGGGCCTAAACTCGTCTTGCAGAACAGGTTCGCCGACGAGCTCCGAAATCGATCAGAGCTGGACTTCAACGAAGCTTTTCGCAAGGACTTTTTCGCTCATTATCCCGGATTCGATGGCTTTCGCGCGAGCTTGGACAATCCTACGCTGATTCCGTCGACTCTTCGAGTCAAGATGACGCAGAGTTTGGGGCTTGTCACAAACCATCTTGTCGATGAGGCTACAACCGCTCTTCATGAGCTTTATGGTGAGAGTCGAGAATGGCGTTCCATTGCGGTCAAACAGCATAACCTCAACCTCATTGCACGCCTTTCGTCGCGAGTCTTTCTGGGGAGACCGATCTGCCGCAACGAGGAATGGATAGAGATTGCAAAGAATCACACTGGTCGGTTGTCGATGATTACATTTAGCAATATTTGGATACCTTACTGACTGGCCTGCAGTTGACTCGTTCTTGGCCGCTCGTGATCTTCGTGCTCAACCCTTCTTTTTGCGTCGTATCAAGCATTACTTCATGCCGCATAATAAGAATATCCGTAAGGATTGTCCTCTAAAGCTATTTCCTACATTGTTACTTACAAGAACTCCAGAACGGCATTATACCGATGCCAAGCAGATCATCAATACCGAGGTAGAGAGGAGGAAGATTCGAGCCCAGATAATTTTGGCCTCGGGTGGCAAGCCGGCAAAGGTATCAGACGCCATTGGGTGGATGGTCGAGATGGCTGGTGGAAAGGAAGTTGATTATGTCGCGGCTCAGCTCTCTCTTACGGTTGCCTCAATTCATGCCACGACAGAAGCACTGACAATAGCCCTATTGGATCTTGTGACTTATCCCGAAATCATCCCCCCGCTCCGTCAAGAGATCATTGAGGCATTGAGCATAGGAGGGTGGTCCAAGCAAGCGCTGATCAAGATGAAGCTAATGGACAGCTTCTTGAAGGAGTCGCAACGACTGCATCCGGTGAGATCTGCCGTTCAGTTGCAAATGAGCTATGCCAAGTTACTGACATAATATCTTTTGACAGCCCAGCGATGGTGAGAATGATTTAACACGACCCTATATCATTATGTATGATGCTGACACTATCTCAGTCTCCATGAACAGGAAAGTTATGCGTCGCCTTACTCTTTCCGATGGTACAGTCCTACCAGTAGGCACTCGTCTCATGGTCGCAGGAAGATTCCGAGACCCTGAGATCTATGAAAATCCCGATGAATTTGACGCCTACCGGTTTCTCAAGCTGCGCGAAGGCAATCCCAACGGTGCTTACCAATATGTTTCCACCTCTGCGGACATGTTTGGTTTCGGTATGGCCTGACTAAATTCCTACCCCTTTCACCTACAGTGTCAATCTGGATAGATGCTAATGTTGACAAATCTCATAGGACACGGGAACCATGCATGTCCGGGACGGTTCCTTGCTAGCAGCGAGCTGAAGATTGCCCTAGCACACATGATTCTGAAATACGATTGGAAACTCGACCAAGAAGACACGATGCCAAAGTTCTTTCAAAATGAGACTGCCCACATGACTAACCCAGGCATGAAACTCATACTGAGGAGGAGAACAGAAGAGATCAACCTTGATCTGAACGTGGATCCAGATCTGATTGACGTCAAAGAATAGATCAGTTCTGTTAATGGTGCAATCTCAGGGATGGGCTAGATTATGATAGAAGTTTGCCGTCATAGCCATAGATCACAACTATCTTGTCGAAGATGTGCTGATTTTGTGTCTTGTAAAGCTTTCATATATTTGCCATGGACATTGCTTCTGGTCTACTTTTGTTCAATATTTAACGTGGCAGCTTCCTTGATCGGCGTTCAAATGTGCCTCGGAGTTGTAAGGATGCCTCATCCCTCAGACCTTCAAAGGACCCAACTCGGGGCTGTTACGGTCACCACGTCGTACTAACCAGGCTCGGTGCTGATTGTTCGAAGTGATTATGGGAACCGGGGATCCACACCCAAAATCGGGTGGTATTCTCCGGTAACCAAAAATTCTCACAACGGCACAACGGAACAGGAGGCTTCAGGTAATACAGTATATAGAATAAATAGATCGATTGAATTTCTACACTATCTAATGGTCCTACATACAGTATTTGTAGGCTTCGTAAGGAAGCAGAATATGGGGCCGAAACCCAGTATTAGGCTGCGCACTGGGTACTCACGAGTCGAGTAGTAGAATTTTTACTCACCCAGCTGAGTTACTCGCTCATGTCCCGAGTATTGTTGAATGAGGATTACTCACTTGCTGAGTACCTAGTATGGGTCTTGGCAACTCAGTTATATCACGTGTTTGATTAGCCATTACTTATGTTAAAAACGGGGTGCGACTTCATTGATCAAGACGCCATAACTCCAACTCCATTCCCATATTGTTGATGTCCTATTCCACACTATAACCTTTGGCCTTTAGGTACCAGGTTACCAGATGGTTACCAGAACTCATCTGACCTTCATTCCTGGGTGAGAGACATTTCCATCGATTAAGCCCACAGCTTAAACATCATATCCTGCAAACGCCGAACCAATATCATACCCTTTGCCTGAATTGTCACTCTCTTCGCATGAATAGCGAGGAGGTTTGTCACTATAACTGTTAGTATGTCCCTGTCACTATGTTTAAACATCATACTCTCAAATTCTCGAATGAGGAAGCATTCAGCAGCTTCCTAAAGAGCTAGGATAGCAGATTGCTGGAAGCGAAGATTGGACTTGAAGTCTTCTGTGATTTCCCTAACAAGACGCTGGAATGGGAGCTAGTATCAAGTTGCTGTCTTCTGATATCGCGGAGAGCCTTGGTGCCTATATGTTTATTAGAGAGTTCTGGTAATCCTCTGGTAATCCTCTGGTAATCCTCTTACTAGACTTTGTGCAGCGCGTGGCCTTCTGAGCATGATTGTTGCTAGCTTGAGATGAGCAAACTGGAGCTTTTCTTGCTGTGCCCACAGCCTTTTCCTGTCCCTTTCCGCCAAGCCCAGAGCCAGCCCGTAATCCAAGTGGCATCCTTGGTGCTATGCCGCCAGTTGATCTCCTAGCAGTTTGCTTGGTACGAGTCATTTGCTAATATCAAGGTGAGTTAGTAAAGTAAACACAAGATAAAGAAGTAGATCAAAAGATATGTGTACTTACAGTGAGTTTGTAGAAAGAATATTGCAGAAGAAGAGTATAGTAAAGAGGTAGAGGTTGAAAGGTATGTGTTTTATATGAAGGTGCGCATTGTGGTGTTGTTTTTGGAACAGTAATTCTTTGTAGGTGAATATTCCTTCACAAATATTTTTGTTTGCAACTTTAAAATAACCACGACCTTAGAACCACCTTCCTTGGTTACTCTCCGATCTACACATTCTTCTTCCCTTTTGAGCCTTTACCTCTTCACTAGGACTTCAACTAAGTTTATTATCTTGATTCTATAGCCAGAACTTCTGGAGATCTCTGCTAATCACGTGTTTAGTTAGTATGGCGAAACTCAAGGCACATGAAGAACTCTCCACTAATGCGAATACTATCAAAGCTCGCAACTGCGTCTCCAACCTTACTGAAGATGAGAAGGCTGTTCACTTAGCACTCAAGGCTGACCATGCTGATCTGAGCTACTACTTAAAGAAGTTATATAAGTCTGCAAAGTGTAAGGATGCCTCCTTACCTAGATACTCGAAGAACCCGCCTCAGAGCTGTTACGGTCACCACAAGCATGAAATCCGACTCGGTGTGGTTTCGGACCAGTAGAGGAGGACATAGCGAGTTACACTATAGTGGGGGACAGTAAGGGTGTAGGGTTCAGGGTCGATGCGGACCTGTTGCGGTGGAAGGTTCAGGGCTAGGGTTGGGATAACCGAGTCGGGCCCGTTTCGGGTACTTAAGGAAACAAACTTAACGGGGTTCCCCCTTCATCTTTTTTGTATCCTTCGTAGTAGACCTATAGGATAGCATCCTTTTAGCCTCCAACTCGCACTCTCATATGCTATTACTGTGAGCTGGGTGCCCTGTGTCATTACACAAAGTATATCGCTGCCTCTACTGAAGACAAGACACGTCTACAGAATGAATTGAAGGTTGAGCGTATTTGTGTTCGGTAAGTTCCTTCTGGTAATCTCTGGTAGCCTCAATCTAACTATAAACAGGACTGAGAAGGGTACCCATGCATCTTGCATTGCGAATCAGAAAGTCAAGAATATTAGCGCCTCTTCTTCTCCACAAGCCCCACCATCTACTCTGCCCAAACAACTTCTGTCTGAGCTTGCTGCATTTGAGGGTATCTCAAGTATTCCAATCGATGACAATCATAACAGCGAATGGGAGGATACTGAGGTTGAAGACGATTTGGAGTTGGAGCTTATGTTACAGCGCGAGATATTTTAAATGACGAGGCTGTTCTACCAGATGAGCTTTCCGATGAAGAGATCACTAGCACCCAGGCTCTCTTAACTCAAGCGCACATTGATGTATGCTACCTCATAATCTGGTAATCTTCTGGTGATACTAATAGTTGATAGGCCCATGAAGAGTCCAATTTCTGCAAGTGGCAACATTTCTGGGATAGCTGTATCCACTCATATACGAGAAAGGCTGGAAAGCTGAGAAAGAAGCCTGAGCGTCTCTTTGAGTATATGCCGTGGATTGATGTAGAGGAAGGGTACGTCTCTGATCATCCTAGCAATCTTCTGGCAATACTAATTGTTTATTATAGCACTTTTCACGAGGTTATCCCACCACATAAATATTTCTGTTTGTACGAGCAGGCAGTTTGGAAAGTGGGCCTAATTACCAGGACCTGTGCAGTGGTACCCAAAGTCTTACAATCTTGTCGACAATGGATGGTTGCAAATATCCACTCATAGTTCTAGCTTCAAAGAGGCGTTCTTACTTGTCTACTCTAAGAAGTTTGATAAGAAAAAGTGGGCTAAGGTATCAGCTGCACAGGATATGTTGTTCCTGGAGCTAGAGTAGAGGAGAACTTGAGTTGCTAAAGTTATAGCGCTGGAGTACCTTTCGCGTTGGAAAACCAGGTATTTAAGTACTTCATCGTAGCCAGACTTCTGGTAACCTTCTGATAATCGAGCAATTTGCCAAATGCCATCTCAATACTCAGAGTTGTTTGATTCTGACAGTATTCTCAGACTCTTTTCCGTCTTCTCAACGACTATCCTCATTAAATCAAGTCTGTAAGGACACAGGGCACCCAGCTCACAGTAATAGCATATGAGAGTGCGAGTCAGAGGCTAAACGGATGCTATCCTATAGGTCTACTACGAAGGATACAAAAAAGATGAAGAGAGGAACCCCCGTTGGGTCAATCTCCTTAAGTACCCGAAACGGGTCCGACTCAGCTAACCTGCCTTAACTCTTATCATGTGACCGTAACCTGCCCGACTCAGATCCTTTCCATCACTGAGGGACAGGCATCCTTACAAAGTCCCTGCAGGCCTTGAATATATTGGCAAGTTAAACCAATTCGTCAAATGGACTAAGGATACACACGATATATTCATTGAGTGGTGGAAGCTATCACGATGGTATGAACAACACTCAGATCATACTACAAAACTCCTTATGAAGATTGCATGGGATTCAACCAACTGGAGTTCTCAATACTGGAGAAGTTATCACCAAGGAGCAGACCGGCTTTCTGGAGAACCATGTGTTATTTGTACTTATTGTTCGAAGGCCCTTACGCATCCTGCAATCAAGTCTGCTGGCCCAAAGTCTATGGCAACACATCTTGCATCAGACATTTGCAAAAAGAAGTCACAGATGGGAAGGATAGTCTCTATCAAATGCGAATCAATCAAATGCAACCTCAACAAGTAAGGATTACCAGATTATTACCAGAATTATGTAGGTTAATACCTATAATAAGATCATATTCTCACACAAGAGACATTTTATGAACAAGTTCTATACACAGTTATCTTGACTCATAGCTCGTTCCGCTCAGTCGAGGATCCTCATCAAGACCCTATAAATACTTTAGGTATTAGTAGGTCTGGCCGGCCTCATCAAGCAAGGTGGAGGGATGTTCTTAAGCATATATAATAGATAATAGCGTTCTAATAATCTTCTGATAATCATGGTACTTAGATAGAGGAATATACATGATTCGTTCTCACAGCTTACTAGAGATGGCGAGAGTGATGCTAATAGATGTAATACTTTAACTTAACCATAAAACAGTATTAATCGTATGAGGGACTGTTCACATGATGCATAAATCTTACACGTGATAGCCGAGTACTCACCGGGTTTTTACAGAGTAACTGAGTATTGACCTCACTCACCGAGTCGAGTAAAAGGTTCAGCTACTCACCCAGCTGAGTAACCCACTGAGCGAGTGAGCCGAGTATTGAGCGAGTAGTGCGCAGCCTACCCAGTATACACCAGGTTCTGTTGGTGAAGCAGAGTGTGCATCACGACCCAACCCGAAACCCGTCCTGAGACTTCGACGGTCGGTATTCCAGAACGATCATTTTCACGGCCAAAAGGCCACCGTATTCCATAGCGCACGTCCCTACTCCCAACACTGATGTTGTTGAGTAATATGCGTGTGTATTCCTGTCTATCTATTGCTGCCTGAAATTGCGGGGAAGTGGTGCTGAGATCATGTGACATATTACAACACCCCCCCATGTATCCCAGTACCGCATACTAAGTAGGAAGGCTCGCAGGCAAATCCGTGGAGTTCTGGGCCAACAACCTTTTTCTACCCCCACCTCCGCCACTACCAAGCACCAACTTTCCACTCTCGCACAGCTCCGTACGTGACTCACAATGACTGTTTATTGGTGAAATCAAGCCTCAAGACATGGCTCTGGTTGAGATCAGGGCTGACCTCCATGATGACTTGCCGGAGTATGAGAGGGTCAAAATACCATCCCTACCCCCAATTGTGGTTGGCGTGGAATTGGCCCGTCCGTACGGTGTTGCTGGTGTGGTGGAGTCTGACCACCCACAACAGACAACGGCTTGGTACATCCAGGCTGTAGGAGACATGGATGCTGGCTGTGACCAGTGTGTACACGATCGGGGCAGTGCTTGGGCTCGTCCCTTCTTCTCTGCCTGCCATCACTATGGCGAGCTGCAGGAAGGAGCCTGTGGTAACTGTGCAATGAAGCACAAGTCAGCTGCTTGTTCCTTGAGTAAGTTTGTACCTTTCTGTTGATTCCTATGCTGCGTACGACACTAACACATAGTAGGCCACAAGAAAACTTGGAGACCTGCCACGCCACCACCTCCGCCATCTCCCAAAGCTGGGAAAAGATCTGGCACCCGTGCGACAGAAAGCTATTGATGAAGAAGCTGCTGCTCAGCTTCGTGGGTAATTTCCGTACGCCCTAGTGCTCTCAGTGTTCTGGTGCTCTCGGTGTTCTGGTGCTCTCGGTGTTCTGGTGCTCTCGGGTTCTGGTGCTCTCGGTTGTGAATGAGGCCTAAATGACAGTGGATTTCTCTGCAATTTTAATGTGACAGGTCCGTACGTAGTTGTGAGTGTGGGAAAATGGGTGATTCTCCTGTTTTTGTATAGTAAAAGTCAGGGATTTCTCCTGCTCTTGTCTGCCTTCCCCCCTTTGTTGAAATGGGTTTGGAATTTCGAAAAATGAATGTGAAATCTCCATGCATATATTGCATCTATGTCGTACGGAGTTGTGTAGTCTTCCAAATGAGTGTATGTTTATTATTTCCCAAGGTATTCCATTGGGAAAGTTGAAATAAGAACACATAGTAAAACTAGGTGTAACTGTAGGTGGCTTTGGTGCTTTTGAGAATTCTACCTCCGTACGGAACTCATCCATTAGCTATTCTTGTCTTGCCTCACTTTTCAGTTAGTGAAGTAGAAGACTAGACTCTTTGGTCTAGGGGGCTGCTTTCCATAGTACAAAGGTAGCCAGTGCTTCGTACGGGGTTGTGTTGTATGTATGCACTCCTATAGGAGATGCTTTATGTCTACAAGGTTCAAATGTTTAATGAACTCCTTGTGCTTCTGATGGGGTAGGGCCTTAGTAAAGCCGTCTGCTGGCATCTCGTACGTAGCTATCCACTTAATATTGAGGTTCCGATGCTCAACCTCCTGTCTTAACCAATGTGAGTGGACGTCAATATGCTTCAGCTTTGTAACTAGCTTTGGAGACTCCTTAAGTAAGATCCGTACGGTCTGCAAATTATCACAATTAAGTGAGTATTGCTCGTTTAGATCGAGTTTGATTGTGTTAAAAAAACGCTGCCACCAATAGAGCTGTTTCGCACTGTGGGACAAAGCTAGAAGCTCTGCCTCTGTTGTAGAGGTTGACACAGTCTTCTGCTTTGAACAGCGCCAGTCTATTGCCCCTCTGTTACGACGGAACAAGAAGGCTGGCCAACTACAGGACAGGAAGGAGGGAGGTCGCATGAGACCGGCCCTGGTATCTGGAGGGGCAGCGGGGAATAGTAGTTCCGAAAGTATCACGTGACGGACTCGCAGGATGATGAGAAGAGTCCTAAGAGTCCAGGACTCCGAGGACTCGAGTGAGTTCCCAGGAGTCCACTAGGCACGTGATGGACTCGCAGGATGATGAGAAGAGTCCTAAGAGTCCAGGACTCTGAGGACTCAAGTGAGTTCCCAAGAGTCCACTAGGCACGACGCCACTATATAAGTAGATAGTATTTCCTTAGATAGGAGCTTCGTGCTCAACTCAATACAGTATTTGTTATATACTAGTAACGTGTTACTTGAAGCCTTTGTGTCTGATCCCCTGCCTCCTCTGATAAGTAAACCTTTACGCAAGAGAACCTCTGTGTCTTCTATCATTTAGAAGTCAGCGTTACACCCTCCAAATAAGGTAAACAAATAACCCTCTGTGCTCTTTCTTGTTGATTCGCAGTCTGCGTACGAAGCGTCACTAGAGCATTGAAAGCGAGCCTCTTGAATATTAGGTCCAAACTGAAGAGCTAGGGTCTTAGTATCCTTAAGGTAGAGTAGAAGTCTGTCGACTGCAGCCATGTGGTCTGGGCCTGGATTGATGAGAAATTCCGATAGTTTCTGTGTCGTACGGGCTATATCAGGTCTCGTTACGACTGCTGCGTAGTTTGCTGATCCTACTTTCTGTTGGTAAAGATGGATTTGTTGCTTATCTGCCTGGCCGTCAAATTGGGTTAGGTTGTCTGTAACCATTGGCGTTCGGGTGGATCGAATAGAGGCTACTCCGTACGTAGTTGTGATCTTGTCGATATAGGAGTCCTGGCACAGCCATAGGGTTTTCTGGGTGCGGTCCCTCACAATTCTTATGCCTAAGAACCATTGAAGTTCTCCTATTTCTCGAAACTCATACGCTTCCATCAGTCTCGTACGGAACTGTGTTGCCTCCATTTTGTGGCTAGGATGGCTAAGGATGCAAATATCGTCAACATAGAAGAAGACAATAATCTTTGAAGATACAAAGAGGCACTGTGCTTCTGGGACCTGTACGAGGCCTAGAGCCTTGAGTGTCTCTGAGAAGTCTCGAAACCAGAGTAAGGGGGACCTTCGAAGTCCATAGAGTGCCCTGTTAAGTTTCCAGCATTTTCCTTGCTCCTGGTAGCCGTCTGCACACCGTACGTAGACCTCCTCATCAATACGGCTGTTTGTGAATGCGTTTATAGCATCTAATTGTTGTGTATCCAAATCAAAGTAGGCTGTGATTGCCATTAAGGCTCGGAAGGTTTTCGAAGCAAGCGTAGCTGCGTACGTCTCATCATGGATAGAATAGCGTTGTAGGTCGCCTCTTACAACAAGTCTAGCCTTATATTTAAGAAGGTAGCCATTGTCATTGAATTTGTATGTGAAAACCCACATAAGGGGTATCACAAAGTTCCGTACGGAGCTGTCGTTGACAGATGTGAACGTTCTATGCTTTCGAAGGTCTCCTATTTCCTTTGCAGCTGCAGCTTGGAATCCTATTCGATGTGGATGAGTTTGGAGTTGATTCCAGAACTTTGGAGCA